CGTGGTAAGATTAGAAAGCTTTTCCCCTCGTTCCCGAATTGTTCCGTACAAGGAAGAAGGTTTCTGTGGCATGGATGGAAAGTATTATAACACGAGTCTCACTACCGAAGAAGAACAAGCACCAGGTGCTCTCGAATCCTCATTCTCTCTCAACTCCATCATGCACAAAGGACCTTGCGGAATTTGTTCCAATCCACACGATTACGAAATTTACAAATCCACACGATTGACCTTGACTCGAACGGCAACATTATGTGCCGCTTCGTATTTACTTTTAGGAGAAACTTCATCTCGACTCTGTATGAAACATTTAACGAATTTAACAGATTCATGTGTCGAGTGTTGGATTTCGAATATTCAATGCACGACTGCACAATGTGCTCCGATTTGTGTCAAGTATTTTGTCCAGCAAGTGTTATGGAAGAATGTGGTGTCGTCATTCTATGGATTTCAATCGCACGAGAATGTGAAGAAGAACAACTTGGAAGAGAATTCGGAACAACAACAAATCGGAAAAACAGTCCAATTGAATCCATGTTATCAATGTGATGAAATTCAATGTGGACCTGCCTTTAAAAAGTGTTCGGGATTGAATCGAAGAAATGCTGGATTTGTGACAGATATTGAAAGACCAGAGGAAGAAATTTGGAAGAGAAATCCATGATGAATTAATTTATTCATTTATTTATGCAATGATCCAAAAAGGTGTACCATTATGAATACAAGTGGACCACTCATGACGATTGATTTTTTGTTGTTGATGATTAAATCATTTGATGGAATGAAATTGCGCCAAAAATTTACAATAATGAAATAGTTGAAAAAAATTTTGGACTCACATGTCGTCGTTAACGGCACAAGTTGTGGTTTTGAAAGAGGAAGAGGAGGAACACTTCTCAGATTCTCGGATCGTTGAATCATCATCTACCACTCTTGTGGGAGAAGTTACAGATGAAAAGAAACAATCCGAGGATCCTTTGGAATTGTTGATATTTGAAAAAGTACAAACTCACGGAGATTGTAAGCGAGGATTTACCTATTCCTTACTCAAGGAAGAGGAGAATGATTTCAAAGCAGCGGAAGTGGCTCGCAAGATCAGAATGGTGTCTTTGGACTTGCCGAGTTCCGAAATGAGCAACAAACCCTCTCGAGGAAAATGGCAATTGGATGTTTACAAATTACCATGGTCTGAAAAACAAGTGCCCCAACGAAAATTATATGATCCTGAATATCAAATATCATTTCCACTAGCTCCTGTAAATATGTCATCATGCTGTTCTGAACTATTGTCTCCACAAAATATCCTTAAAATTGAATCAAGTCACAATCATTGTTTACTGCTTACAAGTAAGTTTTGAAAGAGAGTACCCAGCAACATAACTTTTAATAATATTAATAATTTTATATTCAATTTTCAAAGAGGATGGAGTTGTTTACAGTATGGGTGATTCAGAATTTGGTAAACTTGGAAATGGTTATGAGCCACAACAAACAAACAATCATCCATTTATAAGAAAACCCATCTTGTTGATGGATAATGCTATAGATATTGCAGTCGGAAAAAATCATTCTGTCATTGTCACTAACGAAGGAAACGTTCATACATTTGGTTGTGGAAAATATGGTCAACTTGGACATGGCTCTGTTAAGAATGAGAATATGCCGAGAGTTATTGACGATTTTATCACCAGAGATATCAAAGTGATTTCAGCCTCTTGCGGTGACAATCATACTCTTTGCTTAACCAGTACAGGCCTTGTTTATGGATTTGGATCTGGCAGCTCTGGCCAACTTGGAATATTGAGCTTTCTAGATAGAAACCATGATTTACAAATCCATGAAAAAGCTCAATTAACGTACGTTTGCTCGCCCAGATTGGTGCAAGTCATGAGGCCAGTACAACAAGAAACTGAGGAATATCGTCGATTAAGAACAAAGAAAACCTTCGTTGAGATGGACAAAATTTGTTGTGGCGCTGATTACTCTGCATTCTTAACCAAACAAGGTCAATTATGGCTTTGTGGAAACGGATTGACTGGAGTCATTTGTAATGGAACGTTTGTCGCCAACAATTTCGAGCCCACTGAAAGTCAGTTTCTTGCACCATCTCCAAGAACAGAATCCTCCATTGTCACACAAATTAACCTTGCATCAGGCTCTTGCGATCCCAATACACTGGACGTGAGTGTTGACATGACGCTTGATGTAAAGATGGTTCAGCCACCCATTCCTAAATTTCTACCTTACTGTCATGAAAAACCACAATCCACGGTACGAACCACTCCGGTCAGTAGAGCTTCGAGTTCGGCGCATTGGCAAAAATACTTCCCCTCACATCAACAGAAAGCAGAAGGACAAACCATCAAATTTATTGACATTTCTTGTGGAAAGAGTCACATCTTTTGTTTGGCAAGAGATCAAAGAGTTTTTGCAGCAGGGCTCAACTTTAATGGTCAACTAGGTATTGGTTCCAGAACGTCTCAGTGTCGACTGGTGGATGTCACTCCTCATTTACCTCACCAATTGAAAGTAGAAGGAATACAACAGATTGTTTGTGGACCTGATTTTACCATCCTCATAAGTGCTTTAGGAACTGCATTTTGTTCTGGAAGATTCCCTGGTAACACTGAAGACTCACTGAAGTTTGTTCAAGTCACAAGTTTGAGCGATTTGAATTGGTCTGTCGAGAAGGTTTTTTCGAAAAGCTATTCCCAAGTGTTCGCATTGTGTAAGAAGAGAACTGAGTAGATTTGGCAGAACTCTCAACAAGATGATTGACAACTTCAATTAGAGACTCTTTGTTGTAGTACGCTCAAGTCACAAAGGGCGGGTCAATCTGGTGACCTGTCACTTGCCACGGACAAATCAAGAATGAAAAAAAGCAGCTCACCACTTCTTAACTTTCAATTCATCACAGGAGTCATTCCATCGGGTTGGAAAGGAACCAAATCATTGATTCTTCTCGGTACGGGAGAAGGAGGAAAAACCACATTTCAACGCCAAATCTATCATTTGAAAAATCAAGAATTAAATACAAAAGAAAGACATAAATATGCAGAGACCATACAATACTCGATATTCAATAATTTAAAAACAATTACAGAACATCCATCAGTGGTATTGAACTCGGAATTGAAGAAATTGGCCTCGGAATTGGCATCCTTGGTCGATCAATATGTCGATTCTCGATTTGACCATTCCCATCGAGAGAAACTTGTCAATCAAGGACCAATATTCCAAAAACTCGTTGATCATCACCACGTTCGAGAGGTTATTGAATCTTGTGAATTGTATCCACAACTGCATTTAACTGGAGATTACAAGTATTTCTTTAAACATTACACTAGAATTGCATGTAAAGAGTATCAACCAACGTTTGAAGATTTTAAAAGAATGCAACTCAAAACAGTGGGTGTCATTAAAGGAGAGGAAGTGGAATTTGAAAATTACAAAATTACCATGTAAGTGTGAAAATCATTGGTGACATGATTGTTTTTAATAATAATTGTTGGTGTGGAAACATGAATGACATTATCATGACAGAACTGATACTGGAGGTTTGTTTGTATTTTAACAAAATATTATTTGAACATTTAAATACATTTTGACTACGAAATTGTTTCATTAATGAACCACAGGTCAACGAAATGAAAGAAAAAAGTGGGCAAAGGCACTCTCGCAGCGCACCGATGCAATTTTATTTATGGTTTCAATGAGAGAAGCATTCCAAATGTGTTATGAAGATCATGAGTTGAATAGGTGTGTTGAAGTGTCAAATATTTAACTTTGTGTTAAAAAATATTATTATACTTACCGATCACAATGATACAAGATCGAAGGAAACGATTGATTGCTTTCAAGAATTGTTGAGTTTAGAGTATGTCAATAATTGTCCAATCTTTGTGGTGTTTACAAAGACGGATCTATTAGAGGAAGTTTTGAAGAAGCGAAAGGTGTCATTCAATTCTACATTTCCAGAATATAAGGGTGACAATTATTCTATAGAGGAAATTAAGTCATTCATGAAAGAAAAGTATCAATCGTTGGATTCCAACAAACAAATTAAGGGTTTTTTTTTCATTAACACCTTAATCAGTAAGGAGGTTTCTGACACATTACAAAAAGTGTTGGAACAAATTTAAAAGAGCCTTCAACAATAAATTGAACGGCATTCGTTTGAAACACAATCACTACTAACTTCATCTCATATTAAAGAAACGATTATTTACTTCTTTAATTTTCTGTTTCGTCTTGGGACTTGTGTGACTGAAGCCTCTGGTGAAGTTGAGATGTTATTTGAGGGTTTTGTTTGTTCTTCATCCTCAACACTACTAGAGGACTCTTTCTTTGCTCTTCTTCTTCTAATTGATTTCTTCTTCAATACAACATCCACAACTTCATCTTGAAGAGCATTAGACTCTTCAGTGGTTGGAGTTACTATTTCTTCCTGTGTTTGATTCGAAACATCTTCCTGAGGACTGTGTGACACTTCAATTGATTTCAATGGTGAAGTTGTAGTTTGTACAGTCTCGTCCAATACACAAGATTCAAATGTATTTGGTAACTCAAATTCAAGTGTTCTATTCACAGAGCTAGCAAGAAGCGGCTCAGCTTCCATGTCAGAAACACATTCTTTCGTCTTCTTAGTGTCCTTTTCAGCAGAACATGAAGGAGTTCTCATGGATGGTGAATTGGAATTCGAATCTTCGTCGTCTCTACCTCTCTTGGCTGTTTGTTGTCTTGGCGGAGTGTTACAAATAGTGTTCAGTTGTTGTTGTTCCACTACAGATTCTTGTGCACTACCATTAAGAGTCTTTTCATTTTCAATCATTGAAGAATCCAAGTGATCGTCATGTGTTAATTCAATGCGTTCATCAACATGTTCTAACACTTCTTCACTTGTTCTTTCAAATAATGATGAAGTGACATTCATTCGTGGAGGAGCATAAAAATTCATATTAAGGAAAGATTCATCATCTTCTCCAAAGAAGGATCTTGTTGAACTGGCAGATGACAGTGACCCATCAGACTCAGATTCTTCTGTGACAGGTGTGGAACGTTTTCGTTGGGAAGATCCTCTCGAAGATCCGCTGTGAGGTGTAGGAATAGCGTCCAGTGAATCTTCATCCTCAAATAATACAGATTGTGATTCTGTTGTTTGGGGAATTATCGGATCTACATCTTGTTCCATCATGTCATCATTGTGTAAGGCATTGTCGTCATGTCGTTCAAGATTAAAGTTTTCAGATTGAATCTCCTTTTCCATGACGACATGATCTTGTACCGATTGTGAGTGTTCCATTTCATTCATGTTATCTTCATCGTTCTTTACATCATCTTGATAAACTGTATGTGGTGGTTTGGGAATGGCAAACTCTTGCAAAAGTAAATCGACATCTACATCAAGAACTGGGAAAGGTGTAGTTGTGGGTGGTTTTGCAGATTCTAGAACTGGTTGTACTGTGCATTGTTGATCTCCCTGAATGTGAATGATTTGACAAATATTACTGAGGCTAGTAATATTATTTTGAGTCAAAGTCAAATCATCGGCATGAGAAGTAGTGTCATTGTCACATCCAAATGAAATGGTAGAATCATCAGTGGTTTGGGAGGATGATGTCGTGACAAGATCTTCATCAATGACAAGTCGATTGGCCGCAGATACTCTCTTTGGCTCATGACTTGGCTTGTAATATTGAATATCGATGGTCTCACCAAATGATACGGACTTTCTGGCACTATTACACAATGAAGAAGTCATTCCATGATTGTTCAATCCTTGATGATCCAATGAGGGCTTGTTGTTACTATTCTCAGTTGCTGGACCACAGTCAAAAAGAAGAGAAGAATTGGTAGCCACCGTAACACTTCCAACATGAACAGCATCGACATGGAATGAATAAGGTGTTGTGGATTTTCTTTGTGTGGAAATGGATTTTTTCTGAATGGAATCTTTTCTCTTGGGTGTGTCAACATATGATGAAAAACCCTTGTTGATTGGAGGACTCTTCATTTCCTGATCAGCAACAATAACAACAGGTGGTGCCATTTGGGAGGATGTTGATGGTTGTTGTTGTTGTTGACCTTTCAAACCACAAGATGCAGTGTTCATTGCTTTTTGATTGTTCTTATTGGGAGTGGTTGGCAGTTCAGGAATGACATTTTCCTTATTGAACAGCGGTAACGTGGCAACCACATCATTCAACAACGAGAGACGACGTTCTCGTTCATACTGTTCATAATTTTCATAGTACAACAACTTGTCCACAATTCGAATTTCATCGTCGTGTTTGAGTAAAATTCCATCCATGTCCTCATCGTCCCATAATCCTTCCAATACTTCTCCATTCAATTTGATGAGATTGGCACCTTCATAGACACATAAAAACATGCATGGATTTCCCTGTTCATCATAGTCGGGATCTAATTTGAGAAAGCATCGATGATTCACTCGAATGTTACACTCCCGATAACATCCAATGGTTAAATATTCTTCCTTATCTAACAAGATGCCTTTGGTGAGTTTGGAAAGAGAAGTTTGTAGAATGAGCGTGCCAAATTTACCTTGTTTCTTGTAGAAGGGTTGTTGTTGTTGTTGTGGATGAGAGGATGAACCAGTAATGACACTTGCGAAGGACGAATAAGGCGAGAAGAATCGACTTGCAGAGGGACTACAAATTCCCAATGTATGAAGATTGGTACAGGCATCTCTATATACTTCTGGAATGAGTTGAATGGGAGGAGGAGGTGGAGATTTGAGAATTCCTTTGCTTCGGGGTGAATGGAGTGTAGGAACGGTTAATGAATTTTCATCATCATCATGATTCAATTTCTGTCCATTAGGATAGTAATGATAATTGTTTCTATTGGGTGTTGTTGTTGTTGCTATTGCTTGGCTAGGAACACGACCAGATGAGGATTTAGTAGAGGCTGCTGTGGAAGGAGCAGAGAAAAGTAGCGGATCATAGAGAAGGGTTCCTCGTTTGGAAGGAACGGAATGAGTAGAGGATGAGGAGGAGGAGAAGGAAGGTAATTTACTGTGAGCATGTCGTGGTGGGGTTACAAGTGGATTATGAGGAGTACTGTTCGTTGTTGTTGTGGTTGTGGTTGTTGGCTGATGATGATTCTGTTGTTGTTGTTGACCTCGTGCCGAGAGTATTTCCTTTCGTCTGGCAGAGGAGGAAGCTGTGGGAGAGAGAAATCTAGGTTGTTGTGGTTGTGGACTTTTCACGCCTTCTGATAGGGCTGTTTGATGGTGAGTGGGTGAAGAGAGAATCTTGGCCTTGCTTGGTGTTTTCATCATTTTCTTTATTTTTTTAAAATTCAAACGTTAACGGTTTTTGGCGGGAAAGAAAAGATTTTGGTTTCTTCAATTCTTTTGAGGGTGTTTATGAGATGAGTACCTGCATATCCATTACACGAATAACGAGTACTTGTTAGCAGTGGAAAGCAGGGCCGAGTTGTGACTAGAACTTCCTTTGAATGACATGACTGCATTTGCTGATTTCGGTCGCGCACATGAAGATGCCGTCGAAGTGTTGTGGAAAAAGTCTTTTCTGAAAGGATTAAACGAGCTTGCATGTACGGGAGTTGGAGTAGTGGGTGTGACGTGAATGGCTGACGTGGTGGATCCCGTTGTTATAGAGTGTCTCCAAAATTCTTTTCTCTTGTCTAAAAATTCTAAGGTATCTTGTACAATGTTGGTAATGTCTGAGAGTGGTTTTTTAGAAGGATCTCCTGACATGGATTTTCTCAAAGCTATTTAAACATACATTTCATTCGGTGAGAAATAATATATAGCTGATAATATTATTAACTACTACTTACTCTTATCGGTGAGCAATGCGCTCAGGTACTCTTCGTCTTTGGTAAATTCTCCAAGTAAATACTTTTCTTTTCTTGTGGTGGTAGCACTCTTTGGTCTTTGGGAAGAAGGTGGTCGAGAGAAGGAATACGTCGAGCGTGCTGAAACGTTTCCACTTGTGTTTAAAATAGAATTAGTGTTGGCTTGATTGACGTCTTTGGATTGCATGGAGTTGGATGCAGAAATGGGTCGTTTTGAGGAGTTACTAGATGGTTGAGAATTGGAGAAGGGTTGTGATCCATTTCGTGTGGGTCCTGCAGACTGAGGTCTACCAAAGGGACCTGTTCCTCCTCGAGAAGTATTCGATTGAGATGAGACATGCCTTGCAGAGGAAGGCCTTGACAATATCGAGCTTGGGGGAGGTGAGACACTTGTCTTGCCTCCTTGAAAGACCTCTCTTGGCGACACTACTCTTCTCGAGGAGGGAATGGTCACAGAGTGCATATTAGATTTGTATGTGGTTGTGCTTGTGACAGACCTTGTAGACTTTGCTGACGAAGGTCGACCAGTAGAGAGCATTGTTCGAGCGGTGCTCACTCGGCAGTATAATGGTTGTTTCATGTTTTTGATGTTTCTGTCAATTTCGTCTTGTTCAATGGATTCGTTGATTGCAATTTTTGCTTTCCGAATTCCCTTCTTAAAATCCTCAATATCTTTTCGCAAATCATATCCTTTATAATAGTAAACTAGGGCATATTCAAACTTTCCTGACGCATATAAACACTCAGCTTTGGCCAAATATGCTCGATGATAGGTTGGGTCTATTTCTAATGCTTGTTCTGCATCTTCAATTCCCTTGTCAAACGCTCCCAAATTCATGTGACATTTTGAACGACACACAAATGCATACTTGTTTGAAGGATCATACTCCAACGCTTTTGTGAATGATATAATTCCTCTCTCCCAATTTCGATTTTTCAAACATTTTTCTCCCTCTGATAAAAAACTTGTCAACAAGGTAATTGTTATGGATTTTTCTCCGTTCAAACCCTTTTCATCTGAAATTTCATGATCATTTCGGGAGAAGGATTCTTGATTACTCGGTAGTTTGTGTTGTTGTGGAGTAGATGATCGTGAATAATGTTCATTTTGATTTCTAAGACTTTGTGATGATGATGACAGCACCGGAGTAGATTGTCCTCTATTGTACTTTGGAGCTTGATTGGATTGCTGTTTTTGTTGACTAGCATATGGAGAGACTTTTTCATTCATGGTACTAGTTCTCCGAGCATTGCTTGATGACATTGTCGGTGGTTTATGTTCGACGACTGATTTTCTCCCTAACGAATTGATCCTAGTTGTTTTTTGCATTTTTTTTTAAAGCTGTACGTTACTCTAAATTTTGGCGCCATGTCTTTTGTCATTGCGTTTCGGGAACTGAACAACAGTAGGTTGCCAATGCAGTGATATCCCTTCGTATATTCTCTCACCTTACTTTCATGGATTTCTATGGTACCAGAAGGATCTTCGTCATCTCAAAGATTCATTGAATAGAAAATTGCTTCAAAAAAAAATGAGCAACAATAAGCAGCCGATATCTTCGTCTCCGAGTGGCAGCACAAATCATGCTCCATCATCGTCGGGTGGTGGTCAAAGACAGCAACACAGAGCAAGTGGAAATCAGCAGCAAGCTGGAAAGAATGATCAGTCTTCTCTTTCCGGACAAAAGAAGAATCCTCCTTCTTCTGTTGCTATTACTGCAAACAAAGGTGCTAAGAGTACTACGAGCAACAATCCAAGCGCATGGCAAGGTAGTAGTGCTAATACTACTACAACAACAGCTTCTCCTAGCCAGCCATCATCAGCAGAACCAAAGAAATCCAATCCAACACTTGCAACCAATGTGGTCAATTCACCCAATACACAGCAGTCAATGGATGAAGATGCCGAAGGGTACAGACAAATGGAGAGTGGTGTAGTGATGGATGAGCCTTCCATTCAACTTGTCGGTATGTATTCAAAATTGTTTTCTTATGTGCAAAGTTTAATTGTCTTGATTTTATATGATGATTCTTGAATGATGTAATGATGACAACCCTAAAACACGTTTGGATTCATATGAACAATCCGAACCATCAACCATACGACTGTCAACATGGCATTGATGAATATATTAGTAAACTCCAAGTCGGGTGGTATTCGTAATTATTCAATTCGTTATCAGGATCAATCGAATACAACTACTGATAAGATTGAACTAATTCCCTCCGAGGAGGTTCCACAGTTGAGCACTCAACCTTCTGACCTCTTGATGTACTCTGATGACGGAACCTATTTGGCTTACCTTGATAAGATTGATCCATTCTCACCTAACAAAGTTTCCAGACTCTTTGTCATGGACTCATTCTCAGGCGTCAATAGATACATTCTTGTTCAGCAAAAAGAAATTGCCATCACAAAAGTTCATTTCTCTCCTCGAAATAGCTATTTAATAACTTTGGGAAAGTGGAACGGGGAAGCAACAGGACAAGATGACAATATTTTGAATTACAATTTGAGAGTGTGGAAATTAAAACCATCAGCAAGCACACAGGGTGGACTATCCTTGAATTTGTCTTCCACTCCAATCGAATTGAATGAGAGCGAGCATTTACTTATGAAATTTTCACACAAGCCTACTGAGAGCGGATTATGGCCAGTGATTCAATGGAATGAAGATGAAACTCTCATGGCTTATTTCAATCCTTCTCAAGAAACTGTCACTTTTTACAATGTTGAGGAAACATTGAATGAGCAAACAGGACAAAAACAAATATCGTTCCAACTTCGTAACGATATTGTCATTCAAAGAAAAGTGCACGCATTTGCACTTTCTCCAAAGAGTACATTTGCAATTTATACACACAACACTAACAAATCAACTGAGCAAAATAGTGTGAGACTGTACAAATTGTCCAATGTCAAACGTCCAGCAGCAACCAAACATTTTTCACACGATGTTGACTCTGTGGAAATGCGTTGGAATAAGATTGGTACCGCCTTACTCGTGTATACAGCAACAAACACCGACCAAAGTGATAAGAGTTATTATGGTGAAAACAAGCTATACTATGTGAGATCCAATGGTAATCTTTCTAAGGATATTCAATTGGAGGAAGAAGGACCAGTTCACGATTTGCAATGGTCTCCAAGAGGAAACGAATTTGTTGCTGTCTATGGCTATTCTGGCCCAAATATGAGAGCAACCTTGTTTGATGCTCAATCTCAACCAATTTTTGAATTCTTACAACAACCAGAAAACACTACCAACTGGAAAGTGAACAAAATTTTCTATGCACCTCATGGAAGATTTCTCGTGCTGGCTGGATTTGGAGGCTTCACTGGTACACTTCTCTTCTTTGACAGAGAGAGAAAACGTTTGATGGGAATTAATCAAGCTGCAGAACCAACCTTTGCACACTGGTCTCCAGACTCTCGACTCTTCATTGTTGGAACTCATTACCCCAAGTTACGTGTTGCCAACAAGTTCCAAATTTACAAGTACAATGGCCAATTAATGTATCAACTCACGTTGCCTCAAGATGATTTCCTCTATCATGCCATCTTTCGTCCTGTATTAGCAAGCAGACACAAGAATCGTCCTCCTTCACCTCGTGTCCTCAATCAAGGTGTCGTCAATGGAACCTCTTCAGCTTCAGCCAACAAGAATTCCTCTCAACAATTCCATTCACAATCTCCCAACACTACAGCTAAAGTTTCTGCCTATGTTCCTCCACACCTTCGAGGAAAAACTGCTGATGTTGCTCATGGACCACCTCCAGGAAGTAATTTCAATCCGTCATCATCTTTGAATGCATCGAAACCTTCTTCAGGAGGAGCTCCAGTCAAAACAGTTGTGGCGAATATATTTGCTGGAAAATCAGAGGCAAATCAACCACAAGGTAAAAACTCTCCACCTCCACCCAATTACGAAATGGCTGAAAAGAAGAAGAAGAAGAGAATTAGAAAGCGAAAGAAGAAGAAGGGCGTTAATGAAGGAGAAGCCGGTTCCAATGCACAAGGCGGTGACAATGACGAAGAAGATGTCGATGAAGAGGAAGCAGATGAATAAGGCAACCATTCAATGAACGATAGTTTTCTACATTTTACAAATAATTTAAAATATAAAACACTAAGTTTATGAAATGTGAGTTTACTGATTGATTGTATTTTCAATGTTGTTGGACGACACTAGCTTGTCTTTATGTGCATGTTTCACACAAATAATTCCCATACCGCCTAATTTAAAAAAAACCGTTAAATTTTTTCAAAAAGAAAAAAAAATACATGATGACCGAAGAAGACGAACGTTCTCTCGATTTTGGTGAAAATCCAGAAGATGAATTTTTTCCATCATCCGAAGCACAACATGTTCATGCATTTGCAGCCAATGAATTTGAGCCATCGTCCACGGCTGCATCATCAGAAGCCTCTAATGCTCATCCAATAATAACAACAGCAACAACAACAGCATCGGACCATCGTGAGTACCAATCGGCAACAACACCCATGTTGGATGAGGAGGAAGATGATCCCATGATCCATATGGTTGATTCAGCATCTTCTCATCATCAAGATGAAAACCAAGCGATCACACATTTTAATGAACAACAACAACAATCAATGGAAGGGGTGGAAGAAACCTCTTCTCCGAATATGAATCATGATGTAGAACCATTCATGATGATGATGGCCGAAGAAAAAGTATTAACCACCAACACCATCCTTCCTCAACCAATCTCTTCCTCAACCGCCGCCAACACCACCACTAGTGAACACTCTCCTTCCTCCGTAACAGCAGCTACTTCCACAGCAGGACAATCTCTTGCAACTACCAATGCACATTCCATTCAAAACACTTCGTTTGAACAAAATTTTGCTGAAACAGCTCTAAGGTCCTCCTCCAAATATTTGGAAGATGACATTGATTTGGAACGAGTGCATTTTCTTAATGCATTTACCACGACAATGTTTGAAAATGTCATGAGGTTGGGTATCAGTCACAACAGTAACACAACTCCATTTGAAACAGCTCTTTCAGCTTTCCCAAAATCTTTCCTAAAACAATATGAACCCATTCTGTCAGATTGTTTTAGTAAGATGCAACGAACGGAACCTACTCGTTTTATTGAGGATTTGAACGATCTTATGTCGAATTATGGGCTCAAGCAAAAATTGAATGCTCTCGATCGAACTGTAAAAATTAATGACCATTGGGTGTATTTTAAGAGGAATCCCAGTGAAAATGAGTCGAAATATGTGGTCGTGACGCCCGATATGAAGCAAGAGGAGAACACGTTACGAAAAAAGAATTGTCTTGCGAGCTTAAAAAGGTATCTAGAGACTAAGCGAGAGCTTCTACGACAAATGAACCATCACAAACAATTAATCAATCAAATGAATGAGCAGATACAGAGTGAAAACTCTCAGCTCATTAAAACCATTCAAGAGGAGTACATTCCAACCCTTCAACAATACATGTCACCCTTACACAACATTGAGAAGAATTTGGACAATTATTACCGATCTGATACGAAAAGTCAACAATCTCAACAATCGAGCAGCAGTGAAAATTCTGAGAAAAGGTAGTGTCTAAAATAGAGCGTTGAAGAAAGGCCAACAAAACATGCAGAGCAGAGAGCAAATTGGTATGGAGATGCAGTCAGTGAAATAAGACTGGATGTTAAACAAGCTCACATACTTGAAACCTCTAAGCAAATCTAAGTAACTTGATAAATTATTTTTTAACCAATTCTACGGTTTCATGTAGGTCCATTCTCTAGTCCGTGTTGATAGCAAAAAGGTGATTCACAATGGTTTGATGAAAATGTTTATTGTTGTTATGGTTTCTTAAGGATTTGACAGATTATCAGTACATCTTTGTTTAAACAACATAAATATTTAACGACAGGGCTTGTAGTTCACATGGTAGAATATTTCCTTAGCATGGAAGGGGTACCGGGATCGATACCCGGCAAGTCCAAAATTTTTATTTTTGCAGAAAGGTTCATGGATGAATTATTTTAACCCTAATTATAGTCCTTGTACTTTTTGACTTGATTTAAAACAAACGTTTCATCATTCAAAAACTCGATCGGAAAGAATTTATCATATTTTAATTCTCCATGTTCAAGCCATTTCTTCTTTCCTAATTGTTGTCTGTCCGTTCAAATATTTCAGTATTTCAGTAAGGTTCATCATCACGATTATTTGTATCTATCAGATTTATCCTCACGGGTTCATGATCTGCAATACGTTATTACAGTTTGTGTCCGTTTTTGTTTTTTCATGATGAGAATTCAATTTCCGATGATGATCATCGTCATCATTTAAATCAATGTATTTTCTGTAGTGTTTAGATCCAAATCAATAGTTATTTCTTTTGGACATTTTTACAAGAATTGACCTCTTTCAGCTCTGCAACAAGTTCTTCTCATTTCTCAGTGTAACATTTCTGTCTTCTTGTTGGTAACAAGTACAATTAAAAATGCTACAATCCGTGACAGTTGTCAGTTTCTTGTTGCTTGGGTGCCTCATTGACTTGATCACTTTTCACAACACGGCCCAACTCTATTTCAATCATCTACTCCGAAACCACCATCACACGACTTTATTTGTGAACGGCCAATCCCTCCCTCCTCCTCCCATCCATTCACTCATCATGGACTCGTCGATCAACTCTACCAATTTTCTCTTCTTTTATATTGACGCTCGGAGCAATGCATCCATCCAATGTGGAGACACTCCTCAAAATCCATGTCAACATTTTTCAAATATCATTTCAAATCTCTACTCGGAAATGAACGTCAGCACACTTTATATTCATGTTGCTAAAGGAATTTATTCGAGTGACGCTGATTGTATGGTGGCATTTCCATCTGGACGATTTGAAACTATTGTTGTGGAAGGAAATGATGCAATTGTGGATTGTTCCAATAGTAAGGCATCTTTTTGGATGGATCTGAGTGAAAAGAAATATCCTTCAGAATTTATCGTTCGAAATTTGGAGTTGAATGTTGACATGTCGTTGTTGTTGAATGCACACTTTATTTGTTATGAATGTCTGTTAAGAAATGTGGCCATTAGAGATACAAGAGTCACAGTCGTGGATAGTGTGATTCAAAACAATCAATGGAGTTTTCGTTCTCAAAAGACAATCATTCGTTCAAAAATCATCAATAGTCAATTTAAACATTCTTCGAGTTTGGAGATACAAGATTGGACAGTTACAGATTCAATATTAGAAAATGTCATGTTTGACTCGAGTTGGATTTCTGATTCAGAATATCAACCCATCAGTGCTCACTTTTCCATCACGAATACCACTATTATTCATTCAAATTTTACAATATTATATTCACAGGTCACACTTAACAACTCCAAGTTTGTGTCAAGCTTTTCCAAAATTGCCTCTTCAAATGTTGTGGAAATTCATGGATGCACCTTTACTGAACATTCGTTTTTAATGTCAGGAGGAGTTTTCTCATTGATCATTTCTTCATCCAAGTTTGAAAACATTTCAAAGAAGGAAAATATGGTTAGAGTCGTCGGAGGACAAAGTCTACGCATTGAGAAGTGCACATTTTCAAGATCAGAGGCGAGATCAGTTTCAGTGAACAGTATTTCAGCTGTGATTATTGAACATTCAATATTTTCACACACGGGAGGAATTTTTATTGATTTTCAAGACATTTCTTCGAACGCAAAATTATTAATTTCCGATTCCACATTTACCAACAATACATCTGTGAACAATGGAGGTGCATTGTCAGTAGCTTTTGCAAATCTAGTTGTTTTTAGACGCTGTCAATTTACTTTCAACTCTGCAACAAGCAATGGTGGAGCGTTATTTATCCAAGCACAACATTTAATGCTCTACACATCAGAGTTTTCAAATAATACGGCAACGAATGGTGGAGCTATCTATTTATTGAAACCAGAAAATGATTTAATTGTGCCAAATTATAGCTTTGGTTATACCTCATTTCAAGAAAATACAGCCCATATTCATGGTGGAGCTCTTTACATGGGAACAGAACACTCTCATGTAGATGCTCATCACTTTTCTTGTACCTCAAATATTGCAAGGTATAGTGGAGGTTGTCTCTATTCCTTAAAATTCTTGGAAAATTGGGAAAGAGACTCTTCTTTCTTAAATAATATGGCTCTCGGTTATGGAAACTCGTATGGATATCCTCTGTATAACTTGTCCTTCTCGAGTACAGTTGAATTTAATGATGGAAAGAAAGTATTGAGTGATGGATCGACTATTCCTGTCATGTCTGTTTATCCTGGAGAGAGAATAATGTCACTCTCGTTGAGTAATATTCAAAATTTTGATGGAACTCGTGTGAAATTCCTGCGTACTCCTCTTTCGATTCGGTATGATGAAAGCATGACAAAAATTGAGTACCTAACCTCATCAAGGAACACAAGCAAAATCGAAAGTATTTCAGTGAAGCTTCCAAGTGACACTTTACCAAGTGTGACAGTTTTAGCACATCTTCAGATTGATTCACGCAATGAAATACCTTTTCGAATCAAGATTTTGCCATGCCCGCCTAATTTTCATCTTGAAAACAGATATTCCATAGACGGATATATTTGTGTTGAAGATATTCCATTGCATGTCATTATTCCTGTCGTGGCCGTTGTCACATTAATTATTTTCGGGTTACTTTTAGCAGGAATATTGACCTTGGCTTACACATGTCACAAGGTCATTCAAAAATTGAAAACATTGGAAAGAAAGCAACGGTATGTGTTAACAGTCAACATTACTTTACATGTCTTTTCTACAAAGTGCTGAAAAACAATTAGAGACTAATTTTATAGGAATGAAAACCTATTTTGAAGCAAGTTACTCGACCTCTCTGTTAAAGAATGATTTTCTTGAACGACGATCGGACGAAGAAACCAAATATTTGATTCCAGTCGAAGATTTGAAAATTATTAAGAAAATTGGTGAAGGTATGTTCATTTCACAAATTTAGAAATATATATTGAAATGATGTTTACATAAAAACTTGCTGTTTCTATTATTCAAACAACCAGGAGCTAATGGAAGTGTGTTTCGAGCCAATTGGAACGGCACTGAAGTTGCAGTAAAAGCTCTCAAATCAGATGTGACTTCTGAGGAATCGGCCGAATTTCAGAAGGAAGCAGCATTGTTGAGCACGCTTCGTCATCCAAATATTGTCAATTTTTATGGAATTAGCATTTCAGACTCTACCAAGTGTATGGTTGTGGAATATTTACCTATGGGAAGTTTGGATCGTCTAATTTATAATTGTAAACTTGGTAATCAAGTGTTGACGTTTTCACAAAAGTTGGAAATTTTATTAGGGGTTGCCAAAGGAATGGCTTATATGCATTCATTGAAACCAAATCCAATTCTTCACAGAGATTTGAAACCAGCAAATATTTTGTTATGTGGAATGGATCATCATTTGATGAGTAAGGTTTGTGATTTTGGATTGTCAACTGTCATGGGCTGTTCCAATACAGCAACGACAAATATTGGAACATTTTTTTACATGGCCAATGTAAGTGAAATTCCATTTTCACACTATTTTACAAATCGCATCTGTAAATTTGACGAATATTGACAACAGGAAATGATTGAAGGAAATATCAAGTATAATCACAAAGTGGACATTTACAGTTTTGCAATCATTATGTGGGAATTATTTTTTGAAGAAACTCCATATGTGAGTCAACATTTGAAAAAGTTTCAACAATTCCATTTGGAAAATTCATATCATGAAGTCGTGAATGATTCTGGACCTCGAATTTTACTTCAAGTCGTGAAAGGATATCGACCAATGATTCCATTTTCCAATGAAGTGGAAATGGAAATGTGGATTCATGAATTTGTAGCTCCACAAAATCCAAATGTACCTCTCGATTCACTTGTGAAAAAGACAAGGATGTATATCGATTTGATGAAGAAGTGTTGGAGTTGTAATCCTGAATTGAGACCTGATTTTATTCAAATTATTGAGAGTTTGTCTTTGGTTTGAATGTTTTAAGCTCTGAATGGAACACCCAAACATTGAAGTGTGCATTCTGTAGAATTTGCAATGTGAAGCACTTTTCAAACTCAACCGACGCCATTTAATTCCATTTTCAACATGCGATCTTTTTAGACATGACTCAATTTATGAACAATGGAGACTTGCATTTAAAAAAGAGCATCATTGTATAATGTCCATTTGCCTGTGGTTGAGGTCTTGTAAAGCAATGACAAGGGCGATCAATTAGTATGATGATTTGTCATTTAATTGTTGACAGAATTTGAACAGTCATGATGAGAAACATTATTGTACACAAAATATTTACATCTACAGTTAGCTGACATGCATAGTTTGACGTAAGTTTCAGCTCAATTCTACTTTCATTTTGGATGACAGATGTTGAAACTTTTATCCTAATATCCTGTCTACAAGATTCTCAAATTACCGCTAATTCTTCACACAAACAAGTCCAAATTTTGGCTTTATATGGAAGTACTTTGTTGAGGTATTTAGCTCATGCAAAGCTGTTCTTGTAGACCAAAATACGTATTTGAACCACAATGTCGTATTGTATGAATTAGGGGCCCATCCAGATTTCGTCAATGTTTGGATCGAAAAACATCAAACGGGAAGCCACGGCAGACGTTTCGTCGAGATTATTAGCTGGCGTTCCCAACTCCCAGAAATAGTGTTACAATAGCATTTGGAAAGCACTTTATTTTTTAGAATCCTAACCATTTTAAAAAAGGTCGAGCAGGCTGTCGAAGTTTTGTTCTGGTGTTTGCTGGAGGTTTTTTCAATAAAAATGTTAAAACATGAACGAAACGCCTTTGTCGGTCTGTTGAGACCGGAATATCATGTTGCCATCAAAACAATGCTATTCGCAGTCCATCAATATATTAATGTCGAACATTTAATAGAAGATATTATTGATCAATGTGGATTTCATCGCAAGGATTTTAATACCATCCATCGCCATCTCGAACTATATTTCTCATACCTCATCACACACAACAAACGAGTCCCATTTGTTCTATACTGTTGCAAATTCCAGGTTGACAATTCAACAAAGATTGCACAATATGTTACTGATTGCATTGACCCGGACGAGGATAGTGCTATCTATAACATTTACTCTGACCCAAAATTTCAAAATCAAAGACAAAATCAAGAGTTAACATCAGAATGGATCAACAAACTACATTTTCAAGGCTATTTGAAATTGAAAGAGTGTCATGACGAGCTGATGCGAATTCGTCAAAAACGTAAACACTCCAAAACAAGTACAGCTTGCGAAGACCCACCTCAAACCTCAACAACGTCACAACGTTATTCTAGTTCAACCATCATGAAATTACTCGAACCAGAAAAAAATGTCGGCGTTATTGAATTACATAAAATCCTGGATCATGGTTTTGCTGAAGACTACATCACGTTGTCATATTCAACAAAAGAACAAACAGCACCGTATTACATGCTGCAACAACTAATTAACAACAAATTTATTCCAACACACTCATCAATTGTAAATACCAAGTCCGACACCATCTCTCATAATTTTGTAGACCATGCTGATTTTAAATCACAAAATAACGATGATGATAGTTATTATTCGGAATGTGATATATTTGATGAGGATATTCAAGAATTGAAAAAATTGTTTTTTCAGGTGTTAGGTAGTCGCAAATTAGTACCTCGAACTTTCTTTTTCACATATCTTCGTGATGCTTTTTCACAATTAATTTGCAAAGACAGTAGAGGCCATAGATGGAGCCCATCTGTTCTTTGTTTTGCTCAAGATTTATTGGTTATCATGGGATACAATGCGTATGAAGCATTGGCGAGAGGGTTGAAACGAGGACAAGAATTTGAACCCTCTTCTGAAAGATGTAACTTAGTCCTACCTTGTTCATCCACACTCGACCATCATTTTCACACCGCATCATATGGAGAAGGGAATACTAAACTAGACAAAGATGACTTTGATAAGCTAGTAGAAAAAATGAAGGTTATTGAAAATCAAAATTTTGGTCTTGTTCAAATTGATGCAGTAGATGTAACACCGCATTTAGGAATCAATACCAAGCTTGGGCTTGTATACGGTGCCAATGAAGGTCCATTGAAGATTAGTGATTGTACTGCACTAGCTCAGAGTCCGAATTTTCCACCCAAGGGTTTTTTAGCTGAAAAAATTGTTCAAACTTTATATTGCAGTATTAACGGTGAAGTTCGAATTCCTGGAAACTTCAAAGTATGCACTACTGAAACTGAACAAACCATTAGAGACACGATTTCTGAATTTCGTGACACATATACTCGAAACATCGTCTGTACTGTGTCAGATGCAGGGTCTGCTAATTACAAATATTTCACATCGAGCCCAAATGAACTACATCATTTTTGCTACAGTCACCATTGCAAAAACATGAGGAATGCAATTAATGGGAGACCAAAATTATATCCGGTTGCCACTAAAGTAGGTGCTCCAAACCTTCAAATTGCACGCCATTCCTCTGCTTGTATTTCTTCCAACGACAACGGAAACGGTTGCCATTTGATGAAAATTGTTATTCAAAGAACACAAGCGACCAACATACCACTTTCCTTCATAGTGAATGACAAAGACACAATTTCATTTGAATGGAAAGAAAAAGAACCACGGAATTTTAACTCTGGAGGCATTTCTTTCTATCATAGCAGCAATGACAACGAATTAAGTGTTACGTTGTTGAGTGAAACCCTTCATACTAACATTGGTAAAGTGTGTGTGGCAAATTTTAGCAATCAAGACATAGCTGTCACCAAAATTTCTTGTTCTATTTTACAACGATTTGAATTGAACACACTCGATGAAATATATAGACAACAACCTTTAGAGTGGTGTAAAATAGTTAAACGGAGCTCGTTTATCAAATATGATGATCAATCTGAGGATGTATTACGTGATGTATGCAATTTACAGTTACTTGAAAAATTACGATTATTGAACGAGAGAACCAACTATCGATATTTAGGATTCTATAAGTACTTAAAAGCGATACATGATTTATTTCATGTTTACGATGACAAAAATCATGATGGAACATCTTCACACAATTTGCACGAAGTGTTGCAAGTTCTTAAGGAAAATTTGGACTATTTGAATGAGTGGGATACCGTTTTCCAAGACGTCATTATTTCCAATAAGAATAATAATTTTACATTATCCGGAACCCTCACAAAAAACATCATTATCCATAACATCAAAACAATTCAGAAATTGATCAGAATTATTCCACAAGATGCAGTTTTTGATTTGTCTTTATTGGGAACACGTTCTCTTGAAGGATTTTTCGGAGAGTCACGTGATTATTCAAAAAGAACCACAGTATTGGACTATCATAGAAGTTACTCAAACATGAAAATCAAATTAGTGAAAAAAGAATGTGTATATCTTTCATACAATAACGATAGAAAGAGGAAATATTGTGATGCCCCTAGTCAAATTAACCAACAAATTTTGATGAGAATGACTGAAAAACAATTTGTTGACTTTAATAATGAAAGAAAGCAAGCTAGAGAAAGCGTGACATCCATTTCTTATAGTTTTACAGATCAAGATTTAATTTGTGCGAAAGACTTACAATTGCGATGTTTACAACATCGTGTCAACTCCATCCGTCAATCATACCATCAGTCAAGACATGACTATAGGGCCGGATTTGCCACCGATTTCATGGAGACAAGCATTTCCAATTACTACAACATTTCACTTCCTGTTTTCCATATTGAAACAAGTGAAGTTTTGCCAAACTTAACAGAACGACTTACATTAACCGACGACATCAGTTTTACCATTATTCAAACACACGACTCATTAATTCATGCTCAAAATCATATTGCGGCATTTTTGCTTAAAAAGCCCGTAGAATTTGAAATTAAGACTAATCATATTTCTTTGAGCAATGCAACCGTAGAGGTTCGCAATTTCAATGAGAACAATGAAAATGCATCTCGACATTCTGAACCAATTAACTCATTTAAAATATTTGTGGCACCAAATCAGACGGATCCATTCAAATTTAAATTAATTGGACAATTTTCATCAACAACCAGCACCAAGCTTTATCAAAAACAAATTGCTGTGATTGTTGGAAATTATCAGTTGTTGTCACCTCCTTTTTACGTATTTGCAAAGAAAACAAAAAACCTCGTTTCGTATTCCCAGCTGAGCCAGGTGGTGGCTTCGTCTCAAGACATGCAATAAAATGTCAAGCATTTTTCATCACAAAAAAAGTTCGTCCAAAAATTGGAACACGTTTAAAATTGTTCACCTATTTATTTCTTCCGACCACAATTACACCGTATTTTTCTAATCACAACAACATACCTCAAGTCGTTTTATTATTCATTATAGCTCCAGCAGAAGCCTTTGTCCTTCAACAAAGACAAAGCAGCTTTTGCTGGGCGAACAACAAAAAGCTAATGTAACAAAAACACTGAGACGTAGCCCGAATGAACCAAATAAAGGAATGTTACACCAGCGAAGTGGTAGTTGGGAACGCCAGGGCTGCAGCAACGGCCATCTCTACAAATCCTTGTCTTGCAACAGCAATGTCAGCAGCCATGTCACTCAAACTGTTTCCAGCAGAAAGTGCAATGGAGAGAATCGAGTCGCTCATGTTCCACATAATTCCAAAAGAATTCAAAACGTCGACCAATTCATTGGCAATGGTGTAAATCCATACTACGGACATGATGAATGACAGGCCTACTATTAAAATGTGATACTTGGGTTTTCTGCTTGTCTTAGATGTGAAAAAGATCAGTACAGAAAAGACAAGACCAATCAAAGCTAGTAGCGCCCACAATGGAAATTCAGAATTGGGAACGTTCACATTCAAATAACCTAGAGCAAATAACATGAATGGAGGCATAAAAATTGGGTTCAAAACTGCCCAAAGCTTGTTCCATTCGTTAGGATCTGCTTTGGGAATGGTTAAATTTCTAATCAAAATACTGGGAGATACGAGTAGAAAGAATAACTTTTCTCCTTTGGATTTTTCTCTCCATTCACATTGATCCAAAAATTCAGCCCATATGTGACAGGCCTTGCATTTAACCTTTTCGAATAAGGTTCTGCTTTCTCCAAGTTCGTGACATGCTTCGCACAAATCTTCTCCTTTGTTTTTGAGATCAAAATGATTTTCAATAATGACTGAACCAACATCGACGGATTCTAGGGCTTGTTGGCTGCTTAAATTGTCCAATGAAGGTGTCTCATAGAAATAAAATCCAAACTTTGGATTGTATTGTGCTCCATAATAATGCTGCTTCTTTTGTAGGGCTTCTTTCACCTTATCTGGAATGTCTTCAATCTTGGAGAATCGAAGTGTTGGTTGCATGCCTTCCTTCCAGCCCGACGAAGATATATCTAGCTCGTCGAAAGAGCTGGCTTCGGAGAGGAGATCGTCATATTTCGTATAGTATCGGTCATTGATGAGAGATTGCTTCTCAGAATTTGAAGAGGACATACCTTTTAGCACCTTACACCTTACACTTTAGTGCCGTTTGCAATGGCACGTAGTCCCAAAAAGGAGATACAAATAGCACTTAACACTGGAGTGCCAAATGCAAACAGCACCTGACACTTGAGTGCCAAATATCATCAGCACTTGTCCGATTTATTTTTTTTAATTATTTATTAAAAATTAGCAGATTTGCGACCGAACTTCGTGGCTTGCTCAATGTGAAATGCAAAGGAGCGACCTGGCTCAAAAGAAATTGCTTGAGAGCTTCGGGTCACAATTTGATCAGTTCTCGCTGTACAACCATCATCCACTTCGTCCAACACGTCATTTGAAGATGATGATGAGTACTCAGATTCTGAATCTGTAATAATTTTGCTCTTACGGGATGTTGTTCGAGTTGTTGCTCCTTTTTTCTTCTTTGCCTTTGGTTCTTCGACTTTTTCTTCTTCTTCCGACGTCACTTCAACAATTTCACCATCTCCCACTTCTTGAAAATCTTCGTCTTCAATTACATCATCAGCTTCCTGACCGGCGAACTCTTCCAATGCTGTGCGTTGGTCTGTTTTCAATCCTTCTAAAAAGTTTTCAAGAGCGTCAATAGGAGCGGTGTTTGTTGGAATCAAGCCTCTTGACACTGTGTCAGCAGGCCTGGAATCGAAAGGGTCGGCTCTTTTTCTCTTCTCGTTTCTCTTCTTCCTTCCTTGCTTGGTGTTGTCAGCATATGAAAGTGGCACATTTTCATTCAGGCCCAATAATTTAATGACGCCTGTAACATCCTCTCGGAGCATCATTTCAATTTCTACGATTGCATTACCATCATAAGTGGGTACTCCTGTAGCATTTAACACTTCTTGGACGTTGGTGTTTCTTGGTAGATTATTCTCCACAGCACTTGTTGCAAGTAACAATTTAACAATATGCGACTGCCGCCACCAATCACACCACGACTTCACACCTGGACAATAAAGTTCAATTGCATCAAGAATGGTTGTTATTGCTTTCTCAGACCTAAACTTCTCAATATCACTGGCCAAACCTTCCACTCTCGTCCGTACAGCTTCTTCAACTGGGATAACCTTTACCATCCGTTTCACACTTCTCTTGAAGTGAATAAAACAACCAGATGCCAATTGTTCAACAACTTCTTTACCAGCACTTCCAAATTTCTCCATAAAAGCCTCCCGTAATCCCTTAAGCTGAGACTGAGAAAAATCGACAAGGATGGACTTGATTCTTCGATCATTGCCTACAAACAATTCTTTCAAATCCAAACCACCGGACTCCAACGCATCCAAGAACATTCGGAAACAGGTTTTATAATCCTCTCTCTCAATTAAAAAGCGGCATAATTGGAAGCACATTCCTCCTTTCGCATGTTCAAAAAATGTACTTATGCCAAGGTGATTAAGAAACGGCCCTGATTTCGCTTGATGTTTCATATCAATGACTAGCATGTCTACATGTTCCATCAAATGTCGACTGATAGGAAACATTAGGAAACCTATTTTAGGACAAAATTGAACTTGTTGGACCCAACTACCAAATCCATCTGACAACGACATACCAAAAAGACACTCATCTGCCAAGTTTTTCGTTAATGAGGGAAGTAAATTCTCCTCAACCGAAGCAAGAATTGATGCAAAGTTGGAAGTGGAACCAAATTTTGTAGACATGGCTTTTCTTCTTATCCTCTGAATTCTTGTCCCGTTAATCAGAGCTCTGTTTTGGGCACCAGGAATAAATGGAACTCCAACTCCTCTTGTCACTTGTTTTGCGGTCAATGTAGGATTTTGATGGAATGCATGTTCTAACAATTCTTTCTCCTCAGTGCTTACTTTTGAAGGTGGAGGGTTGTGATGAAGATGTTCACCAATGCAAAACAGAAACTGCTTGCCAGAAATTTCGTTCTTGAAATATTTGAACTGAACAACACATTCAAACAATACCATTTCCTTTTGATGTACCGAACAAATGGCGCGATGAGCACTCTTTGCAGCAGTTTGATTACAACCATGTTCAGGACATTGATAACAGCCTCGACATAATCCATGAGCAAGGTTATGCTTTTGTTGATTGATGATTTTGGATGTGTAGCTTCCAAACTTGATGCTGTATTGAATTCCCGTTTTCAAAGAATTATCAGAAATAGAAGACCCCTCATATGAGTAGAGAATATTGGGCAACGGATATTGAATAACTTTAGAAAGATGTTCATGGTGAATCGATTTGTCTGAAAGAAGTTGCCAAGGGTTGAATCTGACCATTTTTTAATCAATTGTTTGATACTAAGGAACGAAGTGTTGGTTTTATTGAGAACAAAGTTTAACGGTTAGTTTCACATACTAGAACCTCCATTTCAATCAACATCCATTTCGCACCTTACACTCAAGTGTCAAATACAAATAGCACCTTACACTCAAGTGTCAAATACAAATCACACTTCGTTCATTTGGCACTCAAGTGTCAAATGCAAACGACACTGACACTAAGTGTAAGGTGTAAGGTGCCAAAATATAACAACTCGAATTTGAAGTGGAGTCACAAACCACACATGAATCCTCACCATTAATAATACATCTTCGTTTTTCTTGAGTTTTTTTTTGAATCTTGTGTTTCATGTTTAAGGCAAGCTTACTTCCAATCACAAACACCACATAGGCAACATAAATCGCCAAGAACGAAATACTTTGCCATAAATTAATCGATCCATCAACCATAACAATGACAAACACAAATGTAACACTGATCAAATACGTGATGACATCTCTTAGAAAAGGGAATGCTGAAACTTTTGCTTCCTTCACAACAAGAGTGACACACGCAAGCAGCACACTACAAATAAAGAGACCAGAACCAATTGGCTCTCCTAACCCAAATCCTGTACTGCCAGAGAAAATTCCTGCTATTGTACTGAAAATATCCGGAGCACCATTGCCAAACGAGAGAAATGTCACACCTGCAATATCAGGACTCAATCTCAATATTCTAGAAATTTCAGCAAGGCTAGGGCAAAAATAATCTTCAGCAGTGGCTGTGTAATATTGGTGTTCGTCAAAGAGACAAGCATTACAATTCAACTACGTACTTGAAAGCATGTAAAATAAAAAAACCATCCAGAGTGTGGCCAAAACATAGAACAAAGGTTCTAGATTCTGGAAGGTACAATAACGAATCAATAAATAATTTAACATGCCTCCAAGTGGTGACATGCAATTTTCCTTTGCGAATTGACATTGATCCAACTCATAGGTTGAAATTTTTGTGCAAATCTTTGTGTTTTCTTGAGTGGAATCTTCTTGAGAAGAGGAAGCAAAATTTTGGGACCTGTTCAATAACATGAGAGGTTGTTCAAGATTATTTAAGGAAATGGGAGCAGAATTGAAAAGAGTGACATGGAAAACACTTTCATTCGACGACCATGAAGCCTTTCGAAATATTTCAAAATAGGACAAACCCATGCAACCCATACACAGCATGACTATCACCATGCCCTTTATCAACATCCAGTATCCATTAATTCTGTACGTCTTAGTTGGCTGATGAGGTGATTCCATGTGCTGGTTATAACCACGTTGATGCGAAGAAGAGTAGTACGGCGAAAAGCTTCCGTCGTTACTTGAATCCATATTTATACCATTATTAGGACGATACACCCATCTTGATAACAATCTCATTCTTTCCGATGAGTATATATGATTATTGAATATAGAGCAAGAAGCCTTGATGGTTGTATGGGGCCAACCCGAAGCAGTCTCTCAGGGAATTTGTTTGATTTTTTTCTTGAATCTTGTTACTGCAGCGAAATTTGTACTTTTATGGGTTTATGAGTAGGCAGAGAATAATGAGGAATTGGTGAGGACAATGATTATAACAAGAATGGAGAATTGAAGGGAGTGTCCTGTGCTTAGTCAACTTGATCATCAGAGAAAATGGAGTGCGTGTTCAGGAAATTTCAACCTCTTTAAAAGGAGATTTTTTGAGTCAAGTCCCTTTGAGAATCTTGACTGTGAAACTATGGGACTTGAGAAAACAAACTCGGAACGAAAGGAAGTCCTTTGCAATATTTACAACTTTTTCAAACAACCTCTCCTTTTCAAATTCAATAATTGCATCAAAGAAACAATGTTCAATTTGCAAAACTTAGTTGGGAATCTTGTCTGGTTGTTTTCAAGAAAGAAGAAAAAATATGCAAATCACAATTCTTCATGATGGATTGATTCATCTCTCTCAAGCCATTGACATTACAACTCAAAAACAATTGATTGAACACATTATTCAACAAGAAGGTCCAACACTAGAAAGCTAACACACGAATGGTCTCCAGAACAACAACGACGAATCAATATTCTCATTTTCGACTCCCATTCCATACACAAGTGTGAAATTTTACATTCACTCGCTCAACAATGGCTTCAACTCGCTCACGAACATTGAGAGTGAAAATTTTGATCTCATTCGTTTAAATTGGTATCCTCCAAATGGTTCCATAGGTTTTCATGCAGATACCATTCCGAATATGAGCACTCAACAACATTTAGAATTCACTCGACCTGTGGTATCCATTTCATTGGGAAATGATGCTCTCTTTCAAAATAGAAATTCTCTCGATACTCATGACAATGACATCCAACAAGTGCTGTTGCACAGTGGAGATGTCGTCATCTTTGGAGGACGTTCACGCATGGTCTTTCATTCAGTTCCTAAAATTTACCCAAATACCATTTCGAATGAGGAAATTCGACACAGTATGGGAGAACAATTTGGAATGGGACGATTTAATATTACCATGAGAAATGAATATAAATTTAAGGAGAAGTGCAATTACCTTTGGAAGGACGAGTAGAAAATGGACAGTTTTTGAGTGCTCGAGCCATTAAGGCTGGAGTGAATTTGAGTTGGAAATGTCCAAGAGAACCATGGATCATGATGTGTAAGAATGAAATATTTTGAAACTTTTTGAAAATACTTGAATGAGGGAATGCCGGCATGATCATTATTATAGGTCAAGTATGTTTCTTCTTTATTATCAACATTATTTCAAACAGGTCAGCAATGTTGTTGGTTCATCAGAAATTCTCGTAATTCTTTCACAACCTTTCAGAGAATAAAAAAAATTACAATACTGACATTGGCGTAGCACTCAAACACACACGAGGATGACAAGTCTTTTGAATGAAAATCCCATCACGTCCATCACGACCAATGCATTGAATTCTTCACAAGTATTGCAATTACAATCCAATCATAGCGGTGTCAGTTTTATTCTCATTCTTGATGGTTGTGTAAGTAGATCGTGTTCGAGTGTAATAATTATTTATTTGGTTGTTGTGAATCATCATCATCTTTCCGATCATCAAAAATTCTTTTATGTTAAACATCACACAATTTCACGAATCAACCATTGAATTATTATCATTCAAAACTTCATGATCGTAATTACTATGATGTCACACATGTATTTTCCAAATCAGGTATTTTTATTGGGATTATTGATTTTATTTTGTTGTCTTCAAAATTTAAGATTATGGAAGAAGAAGAAGCAACCATCGTTGAGTAGCAGCAGCAGTGGTACATCATCACCCAATTTATCCTCTCCATCCTCCACTTCACAAAATGTTCTCTATCGCTTCTTTTATCGACTCTATTCTTGGTTATTCCTTGAAAGTGAATATGTGAAAATTGGAAAATTATATGGACAAGAAGTGAGCGTGTATTTGTGGTATCAACATCAATTCATTTTGTTTTTTGGATTTGCGACAGTTGTTGGGCTAAGTTGTTTGTTACCATTGCATTTGACAGGAACGCCTACCATTGTCAATTCAAGTCTTGTGAATACGACTCAAATTGAGACCTCTTCGTTTCTGTATCGAACCAGTGTGAATATGGTCTTGTCACTTCCTGATCGAATGTATGCCCATGTGATCTTGTTTTATGCTTTTTCACTCTTGATATTGTTTTTATTGTACCGATTTTCTTCATCCAAGTTTGTGACACAATATATTAACATGGATGGTGGAGGAGGAACTTGTGACACTGGATCATCATCCTCTACTACTACTACTACTACTAGTGGTCACACGAACCATGAATCAATTGGAGCGAATAATAGTGACGAGCGACTATTGAATGTGTCGAGTACTCCCTCTGGCTACGGATCGACCTACAGCATGGTCAGCAATTACAGCGTTCTTGTGAAGGATCTTCCAGTAGAGTGCACTGATAACATGAAATTTAGAAAAGCCGTTGAAAGTGCATTCCCGAACATGAGAATTTATTCATGTCGATTAATTCATGACACGAGTGAACGAATCAAAATTGAAGAGGAATATCAAAACGCTCTCCAACATATCAAACACTATGAATATGTGAAAAATGAAACGAACAAGCATGTGAAATTGATCAAATTGTTTGAATCAAGCTCCAAGAAAGCCAATTGCTGTTCAAAAATTGTTGAGAGAGTAGACGCTTTGAATTATTGGTATGATCAGAAAGAAAAATTAGAACAACAGATTTCTGATTGGGAACACACATTTGAGATGATGCCAAAAGCAACTGGATATGGTCATATCATTTTTAAATCCATTCATGATGCCTCGGAGTGCAAAGCTCAATCCATGAATGGGTTGAAATGGTTCAAAACTAATGAAGGACTTGATTTCCGAATTGAACCTCGTACCTACGAACCAAGTGACATTAATTGGAAGAATTATGCAGTGACGAGTAAGCAAAGAGGTGTTCGAGTTGGTTTTGTGAATATTGCTCTTCTCATTTTGTTGCTCTTTTTCACAAGTCCTCTTGCTATTGTGTCTGCAATTCAAACAATTGCAAACAGAATTCCAGAAGCTGCTGCTGCATTCAATCAATTGAAACAAGCAAGTGGATACACTGGAGATTTACTTTTCCACTATTTACCAACTCTATTACTCTTCTTAGTGACACAATTATTGCCAATGACTATTCCAATATTAACTTCATTGGAGAAATATAAGGCCTACTCCCAAGAGTCTCGAGTTTACCTATTGAGATTATTTATTTACTTGATTTTGTCAACATTGGTACTTCCAGTTTGTTTGTTGACATCATTGGATGGTATTTTACGTTATTTCCAAACAGAAGGAAGTGGAGAAGATTGGAGAACATTGTTCGATCGATTATTTTTACCTCAATCAGGTGCCTTCTTCTTGAACTATGTCATTCAGTATGCATTATTAGGATGTTTTGTTGACATTATTCGAATGAAAGATCTCATCAAATATTTCTATTTGAGATTTAAGAGTGTGACTGAGGAAGAAAAGGAACAAGCAACCACCATTGCTGAATTTGACCTTCCTCTCGAATATGGATATTTAACCAGTTACTTTGGAATTTTATTGACCTTTTCTGTATTCGTTCCACTTGTTTTACCTGTTGGATTTTTCTACTTTTTAGTCAAGCATATTGTGGATCGATACAATATTTCAAGATTGTGCTCAAAGAATGATCGAGCTCGATTCAAAATCTCACCAGACATAACTTCCTACCGAGAGAGAAACAAGATGGTTGTACAAAAAACCTTTGCATGTCTCATCCTTGCTCAAATTTACATTACTCTATTCTTTGCCAAGACTGGTGATGTGACTTATATTCATCTCTTCCTCATGTCTCTCATATTGATATTGAGTGTGGTGTATTGCTTTTATTGGACAGCTTCTTACAGGACTACATTTGTACCCTCTGCCTCTTCAGCAACAACAACTTCTCAAGACACGAGTGGCTTTTCCTTCTTGAGTTTGAATAGTGGAAGTGAGAGTACTTCTCTCATTGAGGGTGCTTTTTATAGTGAAGAGGAAGAACTTGCCATCTTCTCCTCACAATTAGACAAGTTCAGTGAATGTTATTTTCCACCTCATGCTTTGCAAGGAATGTCTGGGTTGAGAGAACAAAAGGAAGAGGAGATGAAACAACACTTGAATCAAATTCAACTATGAGAGACATAATCAACATGGGGTTTTTAATTGATTGCCGAAATGAAATCCAAATGTTTTTAATTTTTTATTCAAAAAAATTGTTTTGCTTGTTCTTCTTTTCATCACCCCATTAGTATTGATTTGTTCATAATTTTACTTGTTTACATCAGAGGTGATTGAACATTCATTAGATCAGGCCTGATATCCGATTGAAGATTTGTATCAATCTATCCGAAATTATTAATTCTCAAATTGGTAATACAAAGCGGCTGATATGTTGAAATGAACCGAGTATGAATCAACACCAGCAACAACAACCATCATCATTATCACAATCAAATTCGAGGTTTATCGCTCATAGTACTGGTGGTCAAATTAATATTACAATGAATGCAAATAACAACAGCAATAACAACAACAACAATGGAACATCATCGGCAAGAGTAAATTCCAATAGCAGTGGTGGTACGAGTAGTAGTGGAGGATCAAGAAAGAAGCAGCCTCAACCATCCCAATTCTATGGCACCAAAGACACTACCCCCATGACTTCATCGGGAGCAGGAAAGGGATCATCATCGCACGAAGGCAAAGGTATGATGATTACATCTCCAAAGCCCACGTACAAAAGTCTAGTTTCCAAACCCAACGTTCAAATCAAAGGTACTCCACAAATATTGGCACCAAAGAGAGGTCAAACCGAACCACAAGTACCATCTAATGGTATAAGCACTTCAGCAACAACAACTACTCCGGGAGGTATTCAATTGTTACAAAAGCCAACAAGTGGTACAGCACCCAAGGGTACTGCAAACACTTCTCAAACCTCTTCACAAACACATTTAGGAGATATTATAAGCCAGAATTATACTTCGGCCAATGTGACGCAAGCAGTAAACATTGCCACAAGAGCCGTATCCTCCAAAGAGTTGAATGGAGGTCAACTCGAGGCAAACAAACCAAGTACATCATCAGTTGCAGCACTAAAGCTTCCAGATCATCCCATTATTCAAGGATTTACCGACAAGGGACTAAGTCTTATTCACGAAATTGCTTCGGGATCATTTAATAGTATTCTGGAATTGCAATCCAATCACCTACAACAACTTGCAAATCTATTCCCAAACGACAAGCAATTATCTACTGAAAGCAATAACTATTCCGTTATTGGAGTTATTGGTAAGCAAGGAAGTGGTAAATCTCTTCTTTTAAATTCTCTCATTGGGAATAGAGAGGTTTTTGCTGTTGAAGATGTGGAGTGCTTTCTGGATTGCAAATATAAGACCAGTGGAGTTGACATTTATAGAACTTCAGATCAGCAAATATTTATTGATACCCAACCTTTGTTTGCTTCTCAAGTTCAACATCCAACGAGCGGCAGTGGCTACTATTCCACATCTGGACACAGTATGGGACTCACTTCTAGCGGATCTAAGTCATTTGAGCCCTCTGTTGAGGCGGTATCAATTGCTGCATTAGAGAGTTTTGTTGACATTACTAGTCTTCAAATTGCGTTATTTGTGTTCAGTGTTGCACATGTCGTTATTGTCATGTTGGATCATCAATCAGATGCGCTTGAACAATTCAAAATGTTTCAATTTATTCAAACAATTAGAATGTTACAGCAAGGAGTACCAAGCATTACTCAGTGTGGAAAGGTTTCTTCCTCTGCAGCAGCTACTCTTGAAGGACATGTTCCTGAAATTGTTTTTGTTTTCAACAAGGTACAACCTAGGGATATGAGCGAATTGAATATTAAGCACATGCAAGCATTGCTTGATTCGTACTTTTCGAGTACATACTTTAGAAAAAACGGCCATATCCATCCACATATGTGGCATCACAATTTTAAGAAAAACGAAACTGTGAATTTCTTTATGATTCCCTTTACATCTAAGAAGGTATGAATATTTGTTACAAATTTGAGTGAATTGTTAACACAATTGTGTACTGTATTGTGATCACGATTGCATAGATTGAAGACATTGCGGAATCTTTTAATATTCTAAAGAAAGGTATTCACACCATGCCAAAACCAGTCTTCAAGAAAATGTCTCAAGCAGAATGGTTTAGTAGCACCGTTAGAAATTTCGAGGTGATAAAGAAGAGCTATTTCCTTCAGGAGTATATTCGTAAAATAACAAGCAGTATGTCTGTGCATAATTGAGCATCCTTGGCAATTACTTTGATTGTGACATTCGACTCTGGATGACTATGAATCAATCCATATTTTCCTTTAGAAGATTCTCGCTTTCACAAGCAGCTCCCAGTGCTTGAGAAGATGAAATTTTAAATGATTCTGACCGTTTCCAATTTAACAGAACACATGTGTTATCGCTTTGTGCTTTCACTTGGTTCTTTTGTGGGTTGAGATTGATTCATAAACTGTTTTTCTTCTTCACTAATTTCGTTTCCTTCTTTGATGACATCCATTAGCGACTTGATTGATTCTGCAATGTTCACGTTTGATTTGAAAATTGTCGATAGTTGCTGCTTGTCAATGGCAGTGACAGCCATTGAAAGTTTGAGCTGGTTTTTAAGCTTCTTCACCAATATTCTTCGTTGAATGTCGTTCTTTTCATACTGCTCTTTCTCTGCATTCCACATTTCGTGATCTTTGGATAATTTCTCGTTTTCCTGAGCGAGCTTCCTGTTCTCATTTCGAAGCACCTCGTTTTGACTTGATAGTTCTTTTAGGGTGTTTTCCAGGTTTTCATTCTTGACCTTGAGCGCATTGAATTGTGTGTGAAGGAACGATTTTAACTCTTCTTCTTTGCTTTGAAGTTTGTTTTGCAATTCTTTGTACTGTCGCTTCATCTCTTCATATTTGATTTGATTGTCTCTAAATTCGGTTTGAGCTCTTTCATTGTCTTTCTCCTGTCTTGTTTTTTCCTTCATCACACTTTCATAATTTACCTTTAATCGAGTTAAATCCCATTGGGTCTCGTTGAGTTTTGTTTGAAGTTTGGTTATTTGTGTATCAAGCTCGTTATTCTTGTTATTTAGCGTCACAACTTGCTCCTTCACCTTATCTCTTTCAGCACAAAGCAATTCCTTGTCGAGTTCTAGCTGTTTTGTCTCCAACTCTTTTTTCTTGAGCTGATGAACAGCATCTTCCCACTCCTTTTCGTACTTTGAAAGTCTACCTTTCAATGATTCAATCTCATTCTTGTCTTTATCACGATCTGTATTGTAGCTCAAAAGCTCTTTTTTCACTTGTGACAATTCGTCCATAAGAGGCTGTAATTGCTTTTCGGTTTGATCTTTTTGCATTTTGAGGAAATCTACTTGTTTGGTAATTTCTCCAATCTCTTTCAGGAATTGTTTGGCATCTTCATTCTTTCTTTCATTTTCTGTTTGTTCTTGCTTGAGACGTAATTGAAGCATGTCCACTTGCTTCTCTAACTTGATCACTTCAGGTACGTACTTTTCATGGAGGCTTCGTATCTCTTGTTTTGCAGATTCTCGTTCTTGAACATTCTTGTTTTTCCATTTCTTGTATTTTTCTTTGAGCTTGACAATGGTATTTTCACGATCTGCAATTTCCTGTTGAAACTTTTCAATATAATGATGATTAATCTCATCCTTTTCTGCAAATTTTTTCTTTAGGGTTAGAATGGGATCTTCCAACGCGTCTGTCTTTTCAGCCATTTTTCGTTCTCGTTCCTGATTCACTTTCTTTTGCAAGTCCAACTCTGTAGAAAGTAAATTAATTTGTTTTTGTAAATTACGAATATATTCTTCCTCTAAAATTGTTTCTTCTTTTGTTTTAAACGATGATTTAGTGATGGATTCGGACTGTGGTCCGTTGGATGGCGGAATGGCACTACTGGATCCGTTCAAACTAGCATTCTGAGACTTTCTGGTAGTATTCTTCATCGTTGAGGAATTTGATAATTCCATAATCGTTTGTCCAATTGGTTGTTTTAATTTTCGTTCCGAATAATTATGATATTTCAAATCTTCATCCTCATCAATGTATGGATTTTCATTGGCCGTATTTTTTATTCTTTGAACCGAAATAATTCCATTGAGAGAACTTCGTGCGTTGCTGCTGCCTGAACTCGAAGCTGGTGAAGTGGATGAAAATGAGCCTGACCTGGAGCTTGGTCTTTTCATTTCTTTTTTTTTGTAATTTGAAGTGGCGGGAGAATAAGGTTGAAGCTATTCCTTTTTACTCTTGCCGATTTGAGATTTAAATCTTAAAAAATGAATTTAAATCAAGATGAGAAGCAAGAAGAAGGCTTGATGCAATCGGATGGTATTCATCATCTCACCACACGTTCCGAGGATCATCATGACGGTATTTTGAATTCCTTCTCTATGGATCAATCCTCATCGGGATCCATTCAGTCTTGTACGAATCATCACCGTCATGCAACAGCTTCCGATGATCTTCACCTTTCTCTCAACCGGAAATCAAGCACTCCCACTAAACATAAATCCCTCACGATACAAATTGATTCACCGATTGACACTGCTGCTGTTGTTCAGCAACAATCAAGACAACAGTCAGCCAGTGTGGATTTATTTACAAGTACTACAACTCCCCAATCTAAAAAGATGTTTTATTGTAAATATTTGAAATACAAAGGATCTTATGACACGACAGTTTTGCTACCCGAACGTTACACACCAGACTTGAAACATAGCATGGAGGGAGAGCTTGTGAAAGCATTAGGTATAGGAAGCTTTGGAATTGTTGTAAGTAGAATATTCTTAAATTGCATGATTTTGAACGTTTCCTGATTTGTGTATGTGACTTGACTTTTTTGAAAATCAAATCTTGATGCTTTGGAATTTTATTTTACAAATTTCAATACGAATCAGTTCAAGGCATTTGATAATCACAACGGAGGAAGAGAAGTTGCTATTAAGAAAATTGGAGATGTGTTTTCAAAACGACACAGAAAGCATTTACTGAGAGAAATTAAAATAATGAAACTACTTAATGGCCATCCAAATGTAGGTCACAATTTATTCATCAACACATAATATGACAAACATGTCACAATAACTTTTACCGTTTAATTTACACAAGATTGTCAAACTTGTAGATATGTACATAACGGGAAATCAAAACAGTCCTCACTTAGAAATTATGGGCTCTGTTTCACCAAGTGTTTTCGGTGGGGAAGGGTTTTATTCCCCCTCCCAAATTGAGGAAGTCCCATTTGAAGTTGAAGATTTATATATTGTACTGGAATTTATGAAGGATGGAAATTTAGCCAATTTCATGTCCAACAGCAGAATACTGCAAGAAACTATTTCACCAACCATTACAAGAAATATTATGTGCCAAATACTATGTGGACTAAATTACATGCACAATTTTAACATTATTCATCGTGATTTAAAACCAGAAAATTTACTTATGGATGGAGACCGTGTGGTTTTGGCTGATTTTGGGCTCTCAAAAAAACAACAAACTGAGAAGGGGAGCTCTTACGTTTGCTTTCGATACTATCGGCCACCTGAAGTTGTCAGTAAGTTGGAACATTTTGTTATGAAATTTGAAACCAACGAATTTTTTCACAACATGCAGTGCAATACCATCAACAAACCACAGCGATCGATGTATTCTCTGTTGGATGTATTTTCTTCGAATTACTTTGTCTTGAGCATGGCTTGTTCAAGCAAAAAGAATTATTTCGGGTGAATGGTGGTAAGTTCTTAAAACTGCTCAATGATACATACATTCTTTTTGTTTACATTGACATTGAATTTCATGGTTCAACTCATCATTTCTACATTACAGTTCTTGACCATTTACATAAATTCTGTGAAGTGTTAGGTTACCCTTCATTGAAAGATCTTAAAGGTACAGAAAAATCTGTTCATTATTTTCAGTCCAAACTCGATCCAAACAAGTATAATCAGCAACCAATTCTCCATGAAATTTGTTCAAATTTTCATCCATTACAAGCAGACCTTCTCAAGGGCATGTTGAGATGGAACCCTGAATCTAGATTAACCATTCAACAAGCTCTTCAACATGAATACTTTGCAAATTGCATCTATCTTCAAAATGATACTCTTCTTGAAGCAAAACAAATTGATGAAAATTCTCTAGAAGTGAATGACGATGATGAAACGCTATTTTCAATATTCAAACATGTGTTTTATGATGAAATACTTTCATTCAAAGAGTCTTTATCTCAATAGTCATTGAGGATGTAATGATTGTAACATGACGCAATTTGTCACATGAAATGACCATGATGATATCACCTCTTTTTTTTCAAATACATGGAAATGAAGTTCAATTGAAATTGTCGAGTTGTATGAAATTCAGCAAACACCAAAGCAGCATAAAAAAATGGCACCCAGCAGCACTAAGGTTTGTATTCAGAGAGATGAAAAGGCAATCCCTCAACTCAGCAAGTCCATTCTACGGATCATGATGATGATATGACTCATGGTTGTATACATGTAATAATTTAAACAAATATGAATAGGATCAAGAGCAAAAGATAACGGAAGTGATTGCCAAAGCAGGACTGGTCTACTCGGAGAAGAGTACTCTGAGCGAGATTTTGAGTAAACCTAAAATTATGCCCCTCAAATCAATAACATTACAAAAAATTGAGGAAATGGAAAAGGAAGCTCTTGAAAGAGCAATCAAGATGAAGAAGAATGTAGAAGATCCATTCTCGGAGCCTCAACATTAATTTATTTCCAATCTGGTCCAAAGTGTCCATTTCCAATGTAAATAGAGATCATAGAAATTGTATCCTATAAACTAGTGGAGGAGCAATTCACTTTTCAATTCCGAAATTCCTGTTGTTCGTTCCGAATCAAAAAAAATGAGTGAATCCTCATCTTCATTAAAGAACCCAAACAAGGGCAACGGAGCCGACTATGAAAAGTATTCTTTTACTCAAACCTTGGCAGAGGTTACCGTCCATGTTCCTGTACCAGTAGGAACCACGGGAAAACAAGTAAATGTGGTGATTTCTCCAAATCATTTGAAAGTTGGGCTCAAAGGAGGAGAAACAATTATTGATGTAGGTGTTTTTCTTGATCGGAATGATGACAAGCGATATTAATATGCTTGATTTCTTATTTAATGCAATACTTATAATTTGCTGATCATTTTACATTCCGATGAATGATCTCATATTTTCGTTCAACTTTTATTCTTACATTATCACAGGGAAAATTAAATGAAAAAGTTATTGTGGACGATTCGTTTTGGCAAATTGATGACAAGAAGGAAGTCATTGTCTTTTTACAAAAAGCAAATACCATGCAATGGTGGAATAAATTAACAGAAAATGATGCTGAAATTGACACGAAAAAAATTGAACCAGAAACATCCAAGCTCAGCGATTTAGATCCAGAAGCAAGAGCAACAGTTGAAAAGATGATGTATGACCAACGTCAAAAACAATTAGGATTACCAACATCCGAAGAAAAACAAAAGCAAGATTTATTGAGAGAGTTGATGGAAAAAAACCCAGAAGCGTTCAAACCCCCACCACGTAAACATGATGACTAGATAAAATAATCTGTACATGTTGTCACAATAACATTTAAAGAAGAAATTGAGTTTTTAAACATCCGTTTCCAAAACCTCCTTGATGTCTGTTACCAATTTGTCTATTTTGTCTCGAACATTTGGTGTGGAGACACATTTCGGCAGAGCTTCCACAATTTTTTGAATAAGTGGCTGCAGTCTTTTGTATTTCTCAATACTACCTTCATGGCAAATAAATTCAAGAAGTGACGCAAGATCACGAGCCAACTTGGTCCTTGCATGTTCCATGTAAATGAAAAACAATTCAAGGGCTGCTTCTCCATTTCTACTTCGAATTGCTTCCATTATTGCTGATACATACACATCATTGGTTGAAAAGCAACGAGGATATTTCGCTAACAGTTGAGGATACTCTTCTAGAAGCTGTTTGGTCTCATCGTTGGCAATATAAGCATAGAAATATCCTTGCATTGTAAAAGTGGATGGAAATTGGTGGAGTAATTGGTTCACCATCTCTAAATCTCCAATTCTACCATAAATACAAATCATGTAGCCATAACAAATACCATCAGGATGAGGAATCATGTCAAACACTTTTTTAGCGGCTTCAATGTCAGGACTCCCACTTTTAAATATATGCAATAAAAGACAGCTCAAGCACTCCATGTCTGGGTTGGGAATTGCTTCGAGAAATTCATAAACTTCCTTCTCAGAGCCAAATTTTGCTAGCGCCCTCAATATGTGTTTCTGAGTGCTCAATACTGGCTGTTCGAGTGTGTTAAAAAATTGAATTGCTTGTTCAAGGCCACCATAATTCTCATCTCTCAAAATAGTTCGTATCACAATATCCGCATGGGAACTCGTAGGTTGTGGAATGTGTTCATACGCTTTGAGAGCTGATCTAGAATCAGAATCCAGCAAGTAACTTTCCAGCAGATACAAGTAACTCACTGTGTCCTTTTCAGGAATAACTTTGAAAATTTCTCTAGCTTTCACGCTATCGCCAATGTTACAATATGCTTTCATTAATTCATTGTAGCATCTGTTATCAGGTTGAGTGATGGTATCAAATAATTTTTGAGCTTGATAAATGAGATGATTCTCAGCATATGCTTTTAGCAGCAATGTTTGAAAAGCCACTTTACGATGCTGTGGAATAAAAGTGGCCTCCAAGAACTCCCTCATTATTTCTTCTGCTTTTTGTAATGATCCTTTTAAAACGTACGCCTTAACCAACTCGCTAAATATGCCTACTGTCGGATTCGTAATGTACTTTTTGTATAAATAAATTGCAAAATCCATTTGTCCCAGATCAATGAACGCTTTCATTAATTGCTCAAAGCTACCATTATCTGAAGGTATAGTTTTGTCAAAAAACAAAGTGATAGCATCTTGGTGTCGTTGTTGCCATATCAGAGACTGCATTGCTAAAGTTTTCAATTTTCTGAGGTTGATAGTAGTAGCATACGTATGTTTCACGTTCTCTTTTTTTGAGTCGAGTAAATGGTTGAAAATAGTCTCAATGTTGGCATGTTCATCAAGAAAAGAGTAGGCTTCAGCAATCATGAGAGCGAATCGGCTGAGATGTGACTTTGCACCAAAGGTTTCAAAAAAGATCCTAATTTTGCGAAGAGAGTTTTCAAGTGGCTCGGACCTTGAGATGTGATCATGTACCTGCTGACTAGTGGTTGTTTTTCCAACTTCCTTATTTTGTGTATTTAGGTCTGGTTTTAACAAATGATCTGGATTGATAATTTTCTTATTAATTTCATCCATTCTATGATTAATTAACTGAGATAGATACTTGATAACGTGATGCACTTCACCAACATTTTTTTGCAATATTTGTTGTGATGCATTAATAAATAATTGAATCCACTTTGACGAAATTGGAAGACCGTCCAATACATGAAATGCCGCTTTGAAATTTCCACTTTTAGAATACAAATTGACAAACTCTCCCTTAAACCTGTTTTTGATAAAGACATCAATATTTTTCTGTGCTTCAACGGTCAAATAAATATTCTTCATTTCTTCAAAATTTCCAATTTCAGAATATGCTTGATGAAGCCTCCAAAGAACTTCAACCCCACCCTCTTGAGAAAGTAAATGAATAATGTTTATCCTTCCATCACTACCGAGTTCACAAGACGTTTTGATAACGTTAATGGCATCTTCTGCGTTTTTAAGCAGCAATAGTCTCGCGGATTCTGCTAGAGCCTCATTTGTTGGCTTAGTATCATGTTGTGTTTCATTGTTTTCGGTTTGAATGTGGTGTTGGATACGAGACGAACGATTTCCGAGGTTATATTTTGTTAAATTAGTTGTGCTTGGTTGTGGGTCGCTAAAAGAAAGAGTAATTTGCTCCTCGTGTACAATTTTTGGTGGCTCAGGAGGCTTGGCCACTGTGTATGATTTGTTGTGATGATTACTATGGTGATGAGACGATGAAAAATTATTCTCTTGGCTCTTGGCTTCATGTATTAATTTACTCGTAGAAAAACATCGGATCAGAAATGTTTTAAATATTATTGTTGGAAAATTTCTGTTATTCCAAACACCGAGAGTCTTGTGTATGGGAGATGCAAGCCATCGGAAAAGTCTTTGGTCCGAATCATGCCCAACGAGCCGCTTTGCACACATTTTTTTCCATTTTAACAATTAAAAAATTTATTGGTCTGATAAAGGAAATTTCAAGAAGGGATGGGAACTGCAACAGAGCAGTGTGAGAGCATGCATTCAACGAGAATGAAATCTCAAAGGTTCATTGGAGAGGTTGTAATTAATGGAATAGTTTGATCGGAGCTGCCTATAATCTATTGCTGCAAGCAATCTATTGGCCGACTTTCTTGGAAAGGCTTGCACTTTCTCGTTTCAAAACATGCAATAGTGTTTGGGAACTTTCCAAAATCTAATCCACGAAGAGTATTCATTTAATTGTATTCACAGCTTACATGTAACATACCTTGTTATAAGCTGCCTCTGTTTCTTGCAGTGTTCGTTCATATTCTTGTTTTGCTTGTAATTTTCTGCTCAAACCGTCGTTGAGGCGATTGAGCTTCTCTGAAAGCACTCTAAGCTCGTTTTGAATACGATTCTTTTCTTCCTCTTCTTTTATAATCTGCCTTGTAACTTCATCCCTCCTTAATCGTAATTCCTCAATGCCTTCCGCGCAGTCATCATGATTTGAATGATGTGTTCGGAACCTACTTACATTTCACTAATTGATTATTGGTAGATTGGAGACTAGCTCCAACGAACATACTCTTTGACTCTTCACCTCCGTTGGACATTCCTAATCTCAGTGATCAAAGTTGGTGATGATGATTTTTTGAAACACAAATACAAACCGTTGAAATCGTGTTGAGACATGTACAACTAATTTTTTGTATTTTTAATTTGTAATTGTTGGCGGGATGGGAATAACTGAGAGTTCAATTGAAAAATTAATTAATTAATTAGCAATTTGGTCACATCAGAAAGATCCTTAAGTTGTATGTTACAATATCATCCCTTTTTAGATTTTCGAATCATGTCTGTTATGAGTTGATAGGCCTGGGGTGTTAAGCTAGAGGGAATATTTCGTTCCACTTCTTTCAAAGATTCTTTCTCATTGGAAAGTCGATATAGCTCAGAGAGGGTCGACTGCGAGTCCAACAAATCTCGTATAGAAGGTGACTCTGGCAATCGATGACTCTTATTATTCGAGGTCTCTACGTGAAGAGCTTTGGAAATTTGTGACTTGATCTTTCCTTTGTCTTTTTCCACAAGTCGCTTGAGCTCTTCAAACTCCAGTTCTGGATCCACGTCTTCATAAACAATTTCGTTAGTGTCATAAATTTCACTCTCTTCAAGCTCATCATACCGATGATTTTGAGAGGGAGCAGATGAAGGATGATGTTGTTGGTTCCTGTGATTTGGCTGCTTCTCTTGTTGGTAGGTAAGTCGTTGAGGTTGAGGGGCGTCTTTGACTGGCTCTACTGGGTGCCCGCTTGAATCTTTAGCAAGTTTGGCAGAATAGGTAGAGCCTCGGCTCTTTGGTCGTTGTTGGGCCCAAGTCTGTGACTGTGTATTCGAATTGCTTGAAACTGTGCTTGGATTACTGCAAGACTCCTTCTTCGTTTCATTTGCATACTTATTGTCGTCCTTAACTCTTGGCTTTTTACTTTCCTGTCTAGGTGTGGTTGCCTTTTGCTTTAATTGCTCTCTGTTCTTCAAAGCAGCGGCATAACTTGACTCCTCTTCTTTCGTTTTGAAATGGGATTCACATGGTGCTATATGACTCACATCCAGTCTCTTGACATTTGGTTTAAATGTACATGCCTCTGCTTCTTTATACTCTTTAAGTCTTCTCTCTGATTCCATTTTTTGCTCCTTCTTTCTAATCCAATCTGCTGACCGATCAATGACAGAACCCTTTGGAGTTTTCATGCTCTTGCTCTTTGTGGAAACAACAGGTGAAAATGATTCTTCTTCCTCTTCCTTAATCTTTTGCTCAATTTCTTTTTTATGCATTTCGTATTCAAACCCTTTTCGAAGCAGCACTTCTTGACGAGGTGTTCCATGATTTTTTGATTTGTCCATTTCCCTGGACGTTTGATTAATATGTGGTTTGAATGAATAGGTTTGTGCAATGCTTGGCTCTTGTTTCTTTGGCTGACGTGTTAAACGGTCCATGGTAGAAGTTTGTGTTCTTCTCTCCAACAGCTCAACCAACAATTGGCTGTATGCGCCAACTTTGCTTCCATGAGCTTCTAATACTTTTTGTTCTCTCTCCACCAAGGCCATCTTCTTTCTCTCGCTTTCCTCTTTCTTTTTCAGAAGGATTTCTTCAACCGGTTCCTCTCTCTCCATTAAGGCAGATCGAGGATTAATCACTGGATTATGAAGAGGAAGTCCTGTATTTGGATCAATACCGTGATTGATCTGATTTTCTATTTGAGCAATCTGCTCTCGCCTCTTATTCTCTTTTTCCAAGCTATCTTGGTATAATCTGTCGAACACAACTCCCTGTCTTTCCAAATTTGCCGAGTGTATTGATATTTGTGGCTTGGCCTCAATACTTTCTTTTTCTTTTTCCATTCTTTTCTTCATCTCTTTTTCCAACTTCTTTTGTTCATATCTTTGAATGAGATATTCTCCAATATCTTGCCCTCTGTCCATTTGTGACACCAATTTTTCGCTGATGGGGTTAATTTTTGGGTTTTGCAGTCGCTCAGCTTCCTGCTTTTTAATTTCATTCCGCAACTGCTCAGTTTTTAAATTTCTCTCCTTTTCCCACTGGGACATTGCGTCCAAAGTTCTTCTTAATTTTTGTGACTTTTTGTTGATTTGGGGTTTGCTTGTTATTTCTTGTTGCTGCTTCTCTTCAATTTGATGTTTAATCATTTCTCTTTTGGCAAGTGTTTGCTCTCTATACCCCAATAATCTTTCAATGGTTGGTTCCTCTCTTTTCAAAAGCTTGGATCGTTTGTTAATCTTCGGTCCTCTTAACTCCTCAAGCTCTTGTTTTTCTTTTTTCAATCGAAGCTCTTCGATTCTTGCATTAAGTTCATCTCTCGATTGAATTAAGCGATTTTCCACTGATCCCTTTCGTTTAATTTGTTTCGCAATGTCTGTAATTTGAGGCGCTGCTGACTCACTTTCTTTTTCCTCTTTCGCTTTTTTCATCATTTCCAATTTCAGTGACAGACTCGAGCCAAAATTTAATAAGCGTTCATGAATTGGGACACCTGTATTCGCTGGAAAGGGTATATCATCCAAAGTAAATTCTAATTGACTATTTTCAAATCGCGATCATGATCGGCGATACTATCTCAACTGCATAAGCACTTACTCTGTGATTTGATCGTCCTCCACTATTTCTAATTCCTCTCCCTCATTCTCGATTTCATCGCTGTCATTCAACTTGTTGTCTTGTGCTTGTTGATGATGAATCATCTCTCGTTTCATATCCTCCTCCTCAATCGCTTTCCGCATCCAAGCAATATTTTGATACGAGTCTTTGGTGTGAGCGTTATTTATCATTGTATCATGATACAACATGGTTGGAAACTTACTTTGAAACTGCTCTTCTAATTTCTGAGCTGCCTTCAAAGACTTTACTTTCTCGGCCATATAGGGATCATCCTCAAACTCGGCCTCATTTAATTGAAAAGCCTTACTTGGTGTCTTTGATGAGGACACTTTGAGAAACGACATTTTTTTAAATTTGAAAACTCCAAAGCATAACGTTTGTGTTTGGGCGGGCTGAGTTGTTCTGGCTTGTGGCATGCAATTTCTTCTATCAATTCCATCAAACCTTCTATTATAATGTAAATAATTCTTGTTGTCTGGATTGGGCAACAAGGATCGTTCCGAAAAGGCTGCTTGAGTAGTCTCAAACCCGTAAGTCGTGAACTCACACTACAGTTATTTGAATTCAACAAGGCTCATAGCAAGTATATTACAATTTGTTGTGTTTCACTTTACTTGTGTTTGGCAATGTGCACAAAGTCCATGAGCTTTGATCGAGTATTGCCCAACGCTTCATCAATTTTTTCTCTGAAGTGCTTTTCTGCGACTTCATCAGTCTCGTCCAAAATCAATCGTTTTCTCAAAAACTTGATATCTGACACTGATTGAAGCTCTGGGATACCAGTTGCAAGCATGAGGAGGAACAAGTTCATTAACATATGTCCGTTCTCTCTCAGAATGTTATATGCCTTTGCTCCTAATTCTTCGAATTGAGAGAAATAAGAAGTGTTAAATCCTTGGTCATATGATTTCATAACTTTTGCATACATGGCTGAGAAAACGAATGGAGTAGTTTCTCTCTTGTAGACTCCTTTGAACTTTTTGTAATTTCCTAAAAAGTGACCAAAATCAATGTGGAAGAGGTCTCCTTTTCGAGTTAACATGATGTTGTCATTGTGACGATCGCCAATTCCTAATACATAAGTAGCAGCACAATAGCCAGCACATGAATATGTGAAATTTTGAACTGCTTTTTCATATTCTTTTGAGCTCTTATCTCCACCATTATTCTTTATGAGCCATTCTTCCAGAGGTCCTGAAGAGAAAGCGTTCAAAGCTGCACCAATACCTGCGTTGTCACCAGCAGTAATATTTGCCACTGTGTCACTATCAATGACAAGTTCAATAAAACCTTGTTGATCTCCAGTGCAAATACAACCGTAAGGATTCATGTGTAGATCCAAAGACTTTTTCTTCCATAATTGATCCATGATAGAGAGAATTTGTAAGGTCAATAAATCTTGTCTCAAGTCGTCTCCAGCCTTGAACATGACTTGAATTGGTTCTCCAGTTTGGTCTGCATTCTGGAATACTAACCACAGTGGTTTTTTCTTTGAACTCATCACTCGACATCGGTCTATTTCGATGCCTTTTACCTCCATACGAGGAGAGAGTGGAAGTTTAAATTTGGGTGGATGTTTCAACTCTCCTAAACAAGTTCTCACATACTCTTTGCACTCTTCCTTGTCTTTTATCTGCTTTACACCTTCTGCAATGATATTGAGTTGATTGAGTACTCCAGACTGTTGCAAAAGAGCAACACGATGGGAACCGCAATTTCTCAAGTACTCTTCTAATATCAAGCCATGTCGTTCACAAATAGAAGGAACATACATTTCTGCTTTCAAGTGCCAAAACAAAATGTGTCCAATAATATTTGGAGAACGTAAACCACGTTGCAGCAAAAATCTAGCCAAGGCAGAGTCATGATAACTTTCGAATTTCAAAACTTGAACCAATTGAAGTAAAAAGTTGCACAATTGTTGGTCAGACAGTTGGTTCAATCTCGAAATGGAATATTCTCGGATGAAGCTGGCTCCAAAGTTATGATCTAACAACTCCAAAGCATCGATTGGCTCCATTACAGACCACTTAGCTAAATATTCCTTTGCAATTAATCTAGCTTCTGGATATTTCCAGGGTACAGAGAGTAAGAATTTGGATAAGGCTTTTGGATTCTTGTACAACTTGTCTCTATTGGTAAAGCATAACCAACGCTCTTCTGTGTTGAGAGTTTTGAGAGGGTCATAGTGCAAAATTTTCTCAATTGTCTTTTCAATAATTTCTGGAGAAAGTAAAATTTCAGAATTCTTTTTGGCAACATATTCTTCGAAACGTCTTGTTAAATGTTCTGGGAGGTGTTTAACTTTGAGCTTATTGGGTGCTATTGGCTTGGTAGTTTGAGGTTGAGAAGTGTAAGAGAATGAAGAGGTAGTTGAAGCAGAACCCGAAAGTGATGATGACATTGAAAGTGGTGATTGTGTTAGTGACTTATTTCTTGCTGATAAGCTTCCATTATTATCAAAGGCTCCTGGAGTTGCACTGCTCAAAGAACGAGACAAGTTCTCTTTTCTTTCCTTCAATTCTTGCAGAGTATTGTTGAAAGATGTATTTGTTTGGTCTGTTTGTACGCAAGAAGAGAATGAATCTTCATCGTCAGGGTAGACTACTGGTAACAAGTATTCATCCAAAGAGAACGAGATGCCAATACTGCTCAATTTACACTCGCCACTTGTCATGATTGGTCTAGCCTCTTTGTTTGTGTATAATTTCAAAGCGTATGCTCCTTGTTTCAAAGTTCCACAAAAATTGAATAATTGGAAATTCAAACCACCAATTGCAAGGGCATTCATTGCGTTCTTGTCACCCTTTGATTTTTTGCCCTCCACTGACGTTAAATGCTCATGATCCATCACTTCTTCATCATCAACAGCAATTCCATTGGTATCATTGGGGTTTGAAACGGAGGGGGATGTTCCTAGTACTTGAATATTAGATCCTGGTGGTACAGATGTTGATTGTGGCGAGTTGTTTACAATTGTAATGGCTGAAGATCCACCACTTGATGAGCTGATAGTGGCACTACTACTGTTATTAATGTTATTAACGGCATTCTCAGAAACAGCTCCCTTTCGTATAGTACAATAATTGCAAATCTTAACCAAATCTTGAATGGTTGGCGAACGATTTGTGGGAATAATCAAATGAGGATCATTCTGAGAGTATGGCTTACTATACACACTCAGACAAATCTTTGCCTCACGTGGCAATTCGGATATGAACAATTCTGGGAAGGTAATGTATTGATTGAAACGAGGGCAAGTTGACTTATTACCAGAGAATAATACACATCTTGTTGCTCTACAATTTGACAATGGCATTCCTCCCAAAAAAATTTGAGCAGTTACATAAATCAAACGATCTCCTTCAATTGCTTCACGTTCCAACCCAGATGCTCCATATTTCATAATATTATCTGCATTCAGAATATTGTCAATACCCATAATTTTGATACGGAAAGGACGATGGAGATCCCATAAAGTAATTGCCTTTTGTTGCTTGATAAGTGACTCAGTACTGTTGTTGTTGTTGTTGAGAGTGAGGCTGTCATGGGTAAGAGAGCTTGTTGAAGTGCTATTTGTAGAGCTATTTGATTGTTCATCAACTTTTCGAATCCATGAGATATCTACATCTTCATCTACGGAACTGCCAGATGCATTGCTCCCACTGGTACCTGTAACAGCATTAGGATCATCATCATGGTCATGCATTGATGACTTGTAAGGGTTCTCCTCGCCACAAAACTTTGAGTAGTGTAAATACATGTGTTTTCTGTTGTGAATATCCTTTTGGAATTTTCGAAATCGAGCATGGTCTTGCACTGAGTATCTATGAGTGCGTTTATATTCAAAATCATAGTCTGTAGTCTTGAGATTCATATCATAAGGATCTAACTCTCTAAGTACCGTCTCTTTGTCCATGAGGTTCAATTGCACTCGAGTTATACCACGTTTGAGACATCTGCGAATGACTTCGAAATCAATCATTCTTTGATTACCGTAAATGTATTCTGATGTACCTGTAGCTTTGAAGATCCACTGTGATATTGCGATGATTGTCGAGATGAAGTGGTTTCAATGAGCGAGCGATGACAAATGAGATAGCATTGTGTTGAGAAGTTTGACGTTTGATTAGAAATGGGAGAGTAGATGGTTACCATCACGATAGTGATTTCAAAATGTTGAATTATGATGATGAAACGGTATCAAAGTACTTACATCCTCTTTCTTTCTATTCAACAAATGTGACTTGTTAATCTTGTTGATGAAAAAGTCTGCAAAGTCATCCGCAGACATAAATGGCTCGCAGTCAACCATTCTTTGAAAGTTGTCTATTAGAGCACATAGTTGGTGTTGTTAATACAAGTTGTTTGACCCAATGATGAAAAGCATTATTTTGGTGGATTCAATAATATTCACAACAACACATTGATGTAATTAGTGTGATTTTACATGTGTTGAACATTTAAACGACGCCATCATGCGCTACTTACCTCCAACTAAATTCACCTTACAATAGAATTTGATATTCGGATCAAAGCTAGTATCAGAGGTGAGATATACGGGAGGCAATAAATCGCCTCTCTCTATGGACTTGTTCTCACTCATCTGGTGAGCCTTTCTGATGTTATATCTAAACGCAAATACTTCTTCAGACTCACTACTCCAAACATCCCGTTTTCCAATCAACAAATCAATATGTTTTCTAATCTCTGATTTGGGTAGACTAGAAAGCTTTTGTTTGAATTGTTCATCATCGATGGAAATTGTCAAATATTCTCCATGAAGCTCACAAACTTCATGAATTGCCTGGAGTGTGTTAGCGATAAGAGTCTTTACAGCAACCGCCGGGATGTTGTCCAAAATGGTGGAGTCGTTATTGTTGTTGTTGGTACTGATTGGCGAGGATGTTCCAACCGATGATGATGGATTCGTGGAGGTATTGGATGATGATGATGAATTGTTGTTAGAGTACAAAGTACTATCGTTATTGCTGCTGGAAGTACTCGCTCCACTGAAAGTAGAACCGGATCGGGAGGACAATGATCCATTGTTGTTGGTGTTACTGGTAGCACCACTGTTACTTCCTCCGGGAGAAAGTCCTGAAGGAGATGATGAACCACCATCTTCACCTCCTTCTTTGCCTTTCTGATCTCCCTTGTTTTTCTTGTTACCTCTGGTGAAGAAAGAGAGCCCTTTCATTTTTTAGAACTGATGGTGAGAAGGAAGAGAGAGTTTGAGAGGTGACAGGAATTGAATAGGGTGAGGTGTTGCGTGTGTTTTCAACGAATGAAGACTCTCGAAATTCAAGTAAATAAAAGTATCCTATGCTCGAGATGAACGGAAAGTTGCAACAAGCACCACAAAAAGGATGATGATGGTGACAGAAAGCTCGAATTTTACCAGCGTGTTTTTTTTGGTGATGATTTGCTTGTGATGCCACCACAAACTACGCCTGAGCGTAAAGTGCAAAAACTGACGAAGAAAAAATTCGGCTCGTTTTAGTAAGTCCCGGAGTCAAAAAAAATGGAGTGATTGGTCTGTGGTGTTGTTTTCTGCTTCTCACACAAAAAAAACACCAACAACACACACAACATGGAAGCTGAATTAGTGGTCATTGAAGAGGGCACTGTGCCTCTATACTGTGTAAGTAATTGATTATTACCACAACAACAACATCATCAAACAACAATTTCAACACCTACACTAATCTTTACCTCAGCTTGGTGTTTCTGATTGTGATTCGAGTTGCGAAACAAATACTAATCACGTAAGTACTAGTGAATATCGTTCACCTTGTATTGATCTCAATTATCAAGGCCAATGAATCACCAGCATTGGATAGCCAATCCACAACGAACCAGAGTACGAACAATGTAAGTATTATGTTTGTCCAGTATTCAGCAGTAACATATTTCACAAGATTCCTTCATCATCAAGCATCGAAATGAACCCTTCTCACCCATCATCACCAGTAATGACTACCTCTACAGTATGTTTCAAATTTGTTACAATGTGTTTGCTTAACTTGTTCAGGAATGGATCTTCACAGACGAAACTATATCATTTCCACCTTGCTGTCTGTTGCCTAGCACAAGCAGCTTCTCTGGTATTGTTGATGAGACACAATGTACGATAACACCAAACAACAAATGTGATGATGACAATATTTCCCAACAGAGCAAAAAACGAAAATCAAGAACCACAGATGAAGCTGCTGAAGACACTCACAAGGAATATCAATTCACTTTAGAGAAAGGACTGTTTGAATTTGTACCAAAATATAATTCCTTTAAAGAAGTACCAGATGAGAAGAAACAAATTTATGGAATTATATGGGAACAGTTCGCCAAATGTGCAAGAAATATTATTTATCAACATCTACAGATGAGATGTTCAAACTCCATCAGCCATGAAACGGTTGGGTGTTGCAACCCAAACGTGTTTTATCTTGCTCTGAGGGGAACAAAGGCTAAATATTACCAATGGTATCAAGACATTTTGTGGAATGGCCTAAAGAAGAGACAGAAGTGCATTCAATTCAGATTTACTGACAGTGTTCCTCCTTTAGACAAATGCAAACATTGGTCTGAGTTGGAAATTACTCACTCACGTCTTACACGTAAATTCGGAAAGAAGATTACGAAACACAAGATGAAAATTGTATACATTTCTCTCACATGTAATGTGGAAACTAATCAAGTGTGGACGTCGTTCAAGTTTGACAAAGAATTCGAGTTTGTACAATAAAACAATTGAATTCAATCCTCAATACACTCTAAATCACAAAAAATGTCATCAAATTGAAACTTTTCATCACCGTCCACAAACCAAACCACATCTAACAACAACTTTTTTGAAGGTCAATCATATGGACTTTCAAATCAAAATCACCACACATGGTGTTCCTCTCCATTATCTTCTTTCAATGTGCAATCACCGTCATCTACCGGTTTCAGTAGCATTAATCCCGGCTCTTTTGATTCACCAAGAACATCACACCATCTTTCGAAAGAATTTATCTGATACAACCAAACCAATCCAATTCAATGAGCTATCAGAATATCCCTATTCAATATGGAGGATGTGAACATTTATTTCAAAATCATCAATCCTATTATCCACAATCTTCTCATAATTTCTCCACAATCCAACATAACCTTGACAATCCGAACACATTATCATCTCAACCTTCACAACATGAAACCAATCAAACCAACATTCAAACACACAACAAAATACAACAATTACTTTGTCGATAAGCTAGCTTCACTCGCATAAAACAAAAGCGAGGAGGTCCACCGAGCACAGAAAACAAATTGAAAAATATTATTGATAATGCTGATCTCAATTTCTCTCAATTAAGCTCCAAGGAGATGCTGTTATTAAATCAAAGAACAAGAGTTTTTGCTTTTTGTTGTAATTTAATTTTTCAAGTTGACATTAATTTTCACTCCAAAAAAAATGCCTTCACCAAAAGATGAGGTCCAGTATTTTAAATCACACACCTAAACAACGATTACACAGCAACACCGTGGAACAACTTTGATGTAACTTAGATACCAAGTGATCAGTACAAAAGATGGATTTTTATCGTGTAACGAGAAACTTGTTGAACGGTGTAATGACGGTGAATGTGAGTATTATCATCAACAATCAACCAATCCTTGTATAACGAAAGGCTGAAGAGAATTGCTTTCGAAACTTTAGTAACTGGCTTTGGTACAATAGGTGTGGTCATAATCAGGAGGACAGTTTTAATGAACAAACAGCACTATTGAATAAAACTTTACAAGATTCTGAACCAATCCCGGAGTTTCTGCATTTCGTTGTCAAAAAATTTTTGCCTTTTTGAGTCGAATTTTTTCGCTGGCAGTTTTCTTATGGCGTAGTTTGTGGTGTTTAACGATCGAAAGGCATGACAAGCGCAGTTTTGATTGCACGATTTATTCATGTTGTTTCTTCTTCCTGTAGTGCTTTACAAATGATTTCTTGTCCAATACAGTAATTTCGTTACCTTCATGCTTGAATAAATCATTGCCAATCATATAGGATGGCTTTTCTGGCTTGGATTGAGCTAAATAAGTGGAGAGTAAATCTTTCGTTGTTTCATAGATTGGATATTGATCTGTCTCAACCAAATGCCGTCTTTTAGAAATGACCGTCACTCTTTGTGAATCAAAATCAGTGGAGAATGATTTCAAGCCATAAAATTGACACACGGCATGCGTAAGAAAACGCCTATGTGAATCTGTTAGTGCCAAAACCATGAAATTTCCTTTCAATCTCTCCACAAGACTTTCTTTGTTTTCTGATTCTTCTTCAATATTCGACTCTGCTTTTCTTTGGTTAATAAAAGGAACTAAAATATCTTCTAAAAGTGAGATAAATTCGACATCGTATTGTCTCTGAAGAGCCTCTTTAGCTTGCTTATCAACTAATTTGTGATATCTTTCTTTCACACTCAATGCTTTGTATGGTTTCTGCTGTTTATGATGAAGTGATTGTGTATCTTCATATTCCCTCAATGCAGGCTCAATCACAGTTCTAAAGTGCTCAGTTGTGAAAATTTCTTCGTGTGGAATAACAAATAAACTCTTGTAGTCTTCCTCTGAAAGAATACCTCCATAGAAGCCATGTGAATCTTTAAATTCTTTGAAACTAGTCTTGAGGAATTTATCTTGTTGATATTGCAAATTCTTTTTACGAAGCTTCTTTTTCTTGTTTAATTCATTAGAAACTCCAATATGTGTGGTGGTTCCTGCTACATCAGTACCAGTCATGGGTGGATAGGAGTAATGCGCTGACGTAGATTCAATGTCGTTGCTGCTTGCATTACTGATTGGAATGTTATCTGTGGTATTGCTTGTACCACTGATCGTTTCACTTCCAACATTGAGACCTGAAGAATGCAAACTATTCTTCAATCTTCTTCCACCTCTCAACACTGTGGAGTTTCTATCGATTCCGGCATGATCACCACTCAAATAACTCTCCGAGTCAAAGAAAATTTCGTCTTCATCAGTACCGGATAAGCCAGAACTGGAGTAATCAAGCTGTTGATTGGATGGGAGAGTGGTTCCATGACTATTGTGTTGAATAATGATCCTCTTGGTTCGGACTGGAGCAGTTGAAGGAACGTTGTCTTGATTTTGGCCAGTGGCAGGGTTTAAACTCATTTTTTTGGGATTGGGTTGTTTCAACCTGAAATTGAACTCGTTTACCAAGGATGCAATAAGTTTGCAAGCTGGTGAGGTGTTATCTGTGGTCTCTCCAATTGTACCATAAACAATTCAATGGTTCACACGCTTGACCTTGAAATTGTCTAATTTCGCGCTTTACGTTGTGAAATCAAAAATATTTCTAGTTTCCACAACCCAAAATACACGGAGCGCTCGGCCGAAGGAAAAGAGGGTGAGTCATGTCATTTTCTTTAATACTTGCAATGATGAAACAAATTGTGCCGCCTCAGGCGGAATGATATATGTCGATAAACACTCCTAATGACCTTTAATTCTGACTCCAAGATGAAGAATGAAAGCGAACTATCTCCCAATCGCAAAGCCAATGTTGAGTTTTATTTTGTTTTACAAACAAAATGCTCAACGCTTGCACAGAAACATATTTTCGTAGAGGAGGTTTGAATAGCTTCCAAAAACACATGTGGTGGTTACGACCACGAGATGGGGCGGTGGTTCTTCCGATGATGATTTCTTCTCCTTTCAACAACAAGCAACTTTATTCATCACCAAGCACTATCATGATGAAATCATTACAGAAAGAATCAACATCCCGAAAATTGTTTCATCAATCCTTGAAATATTTGTCTTTTTCTCCATACACGAAAGAAAATGATCGAGGTGATGCATCAGCATTCCTGGAGGCAGAATTTTCTTCACTCTATCCCAAAATCAAAACTACTCAAACTTTTTCAGTGCTGTATAGTGGCCAGGTATTTTCAGATTTAGCCCTTTCGGACCCTATCTATTATAAAATTAAATTAATTTTAAATCATTCATTATTTCTTGGAGTGGATAAACCAAGCAGACGATTTTTATATGAAAGGTTGAAACAAGATGGACCTGAAATTGCATTAAAAGTACCGTTACCGTCTATAATGGAGTTGGTTGGACTTACTGAACAAGAATTGCTCATTATTGAGAACAAGTTGGAAATTTATCAACAACCTACGACTAACAATTCTCCAACACACGCCTCGTTGGAGAATTTGTTGGATCACTGTAGTGCTCTGTGCAAAAAGATTTTCCATCTCTTAAAGACCAAGGAAGAGAGAAAAGCTGACATTTATTTCAGAAGATTACATGTAAAGCTAAAAGAATTAGGAGTTGAAACATTGGAGGCACAACAAGAGCATCCAACTGTTTGTTTTTTATATAACAAGAGACATTTAATTGACGCCGAAAAAGAATTCCTCAAATGCAACGATGAGCTCATGAAAATACAAGATTCGATGAGCCCAACCGAGTTTCAAAATGACAAAGAGGTCAACAGAAAGAAGGCATCAGATGCTTCCAAGGTGGAACTTTATGCAAAATATTTGATTGGAGATTTGCAGTTCAGGAAAGCCATTTATTTTCTTGGATTGGCATCTGATGTTGCTGAGTTAAGTGTTGAGAAACATTCAAAACATTTTTCTGCAGCAGAATTAGACATGTTGAGAGTGGACAGAGAGCGTCGATATTATCAACTAGCTCAATTATATACATTTGTTGCTACTCTGGCAAGGGAATATTCTGGTTTAACAAAATTTTTTGGAAACGATGGAGTTGCTTCATACACTTTGGAAGATAGCAAAGTTTTACACACATTTTTATTACACGCATTTTCAATACAGGTCAAGAAGGACCGCCAACTGAAATCAGCATTTAGACAAACAGCAGATTTATATTCCTTCATGGCAGGTAAAAAGCTACGAGATTTGAAACAAAAATGTCCTTCTATGGAACAGAAATATCCTCTCATCAAATTATTTCGTCAACAGTATCTAAGATCCATGTTGCCATCTCGAATTAAGAAATTACTTATTGCCCTAGGAATTTGTTTATTGCTGTACGCCATGAAAAAGCTATGGGATGAAAGGCAGAAAAGAAAAAAAGATGAATTAGAGTTTAACATTCAGAAACAAGAATACTTCTCTAAAGCAATATCAAATCGCTACAAAATTGACGATGATGATACTTGAATCTGTTGGGCTCACAAAAATAGTTGAATGCCCATTCAACGACGAAATGCAACCTCAAGATCAAGCAAGACAAGAATAAATTTCATCAAAAAAAAAATTCACTTTTGCTTGATTTATTCACATATCCTTGGCCACACAAATTCATCATCACGATTTTACAATCACCATTTTAAATTATTATTGATATTACCATAACAACCCATTTTAAAACATCACTAATATCAACTACCATGTCCCTGACGCATATAACTTCCGAGAAACTTCATCAAACACAACAATGTACAAACAATGTTCGGAATATTTGTATCATTGCTCACGTTGACCACGGTAAAACGACACTATCGGATTTTCTTGTTTCCAGTAATGGAATTATTTCTACAAATCTTGCAGGCAAAATGAGATATATGGATAGCACAGCATATGAACAAGAAAAGCGAATTACAATGAAATCCAGTGCTATTTGTTTATTGTATCGCAGAAAGGAAGAGGCATCTGAAGCATCCTCTTCACAACAATCTAATTTATCAACAACAACAACTACTTCTAAAGATTACGTCATTAACTTGATTGACTCTCCAGGACATGTCGATTTCAGTAGCGAAGTATCGACAGCAGCACGTCTCAGTGATGGATGTCTTGTCTTGGTTGATGTTGTCGAGGGTGTTTGTACTCAAACAAGAACAGTTCTAGAACAAGCATTCAGAGAACACATTAAACCATGCTTGGTTTTAAACAAAATCGACCGATTAATTTTGGAAAAACAAATGACTCCAATGGAGGCTTACCGACAAATGTTACACATTTTGCAACAAGTCAATGTTTTGATGACAACATTTGTGACTGCACAACTATTTAAAAAAATTAATACAGATGAAGAGTCACAGAATAACAACAAGGAAAGAACTGAAAACAGTGAGGATGCAACAAAATCCACACAAGTGTATTCAAATGTGTTTGACGAGTATCAAGTGGATAGCAATGATTTCTTTTCCCCTCAAAAAGGAAACGTTTTGTTTGCTAGTGCTTATGATGGTTGGGGATTTAGAATTAACGAATTTGCTGACTTATTTGCCAAGAAGATGGGAATGAATAAGAACACTCTACAACAGACATTGTGGGGTGATTGCTATCTCAACGCTAAAAAGAAAACCATTTCTAAAAAGCCACTACGTGACGACCAGCCCAACATGTTTGTTCAATTTATCTTGCAAAACATTTACAATGCATACGACTGTGTTTTAGTGAATAGAGATGAAGAGAAGATTAAGAAAATGATTCAATCGCTAGAGCTGAATTTATCAAAGGCATTCCTCTCCAAGAATGATCACAAGACTCAATTGAAAACATTGATGAATCAATGGTTGCCACTTTCAGACTCTATTTTGGAAATGGTAGTGACTAAATTACCAAATCCTCAAGAGGCACAAAGAGAACGTATTTTGGATTTGATTCCAGAATTGAAAACTGTGGATGAAAATGAATCTGCTCAAGACAATGTTCCACTGGATGGTGTTGCCTCTGACAACAAGTTATCGAAACTAATTCATGAAATTAGATCACAAAGAAGAAAGTTAAAGAAGAATTTATTGGAATGTGACAAGAGTGATAACGCAGAAGTCATGATCTTTGTTTCTAAAATGTTTGAGGCAGATGAGCTGCCAACACAAGGAGGATCTTCATCCAAGATCGATCACATTCAACTCCAACGAGAACGATTGAAAAAGTTGAGAGAAGAGAGATTGAAGCAAAGGAGCATGCAAGGTCAAACATCACTTGACACATCTGAAACAAGCGTATTGGACGAGCAACAACAAGATCAGCAACAACAGACGACGTTATCTGAGGCCACTTCTACGAGTGAATCCAGCAATGCGGATGATGAGCAAAAGAAGTCAGTTTCCTTTGAATTGCCACCTTCCTACACGAACACGAGCGAAGGCGACGATGAAGAAGAAGGAGGCACGAATGGTGCAACCTCAACAGCAGCCATTACTACCAACAAGTTAGTGGCATTTTGTAGAATTTTCAGTGGAACGATCCGAGTTGGACAAACATTACACATTCTTGGCCCAAGATACAATGCATCTTCTCCCAACGAAGATCGCACTGAATTCAAAGTGGAAAGATTATATCTTCTCATGGGTAGAGGATTGGAGTGTGTGGACAGTGTTGCTGCTGGTAACGTATTTGGAATGGGAGGAGTTGGAAAACACATTCTCAAAACAGCCACCATCTCCTCAAGTATTTATTCACCCATCTTCTCTTCCATGTACATTCAATCCATTCCCATTGTCAGATTTGCCATTGAACCTAAAAATTTAATGGACATGCCCAAACTTGTCCGTGGATTGAAATTATTGAATCAAGCAGATCCCTCTGTTGAGGTTCTCGTTCAAGAAACTGGAGAGCATGTGATTGTTACGGCTGGTGAAGTCCATGCAGAACGTTGCATTCGAGATTTGAATGAGAAATTTGCCAAAGTACCCATCACAGTCTCTCCTCCATTGGTGAGTTTTAGAGAAACGATTGTAGAGCCACCTCAAATTCTTACGACTGAGAGTGGTGCTGGAGTATCTGCCTCCTCAAACTCACAACTTCCTTCTATTGCCAAAAAGAAAACAGCAAATAAGAAGTGGACCATTCTCATTAAGGCCATTCCTCTCCCAGACAACATTGCATCGTTTATTGACAAGCATAGAGATGACTTGAGAGCTTACTTTTCACATCATGATTTGAAGAGAACTGCAGTCTTTGTCACTTCTGAAGTCATTGATCAATTGAGAATGGAATTTGTGAAAGCCGGAAAACAATGGGAACAGGAATGGGAGAATTTGTGGTGCTTGGGCCCTCGACGTATTGGCCCAAATATTCTTTTGAATCACATTAGTGATTACAGAGCTCCATACTTTGAACCATTGCATAAGCAAATTTCAAACATGTTGTTATCGAGTGGTGTGAAGCACAATGAAACTCCAAATGATGACAAGACCATGAGTAACTTGGAGGAAGCAAAAGAAAAGGACCCTCATTCCATAATGACACTCTCAACCACTTTGGCAACACCATCCACAACACTCACTCCTGAACAACAACAGCGAGTGGAATTATTGAAACAGTACGATCATTCATTCATTTCTGGTTTTCAATTAGCAACAGCATCTGGACCCTTGTGTGACGAGCCCATGTATGGAGTATGTTTTTGTGTAGAGGATGTGATTTTTGAAGAGAAGGATACTGTACAGGGATCTTCACCTTCGCATGGCTCTGTTTCACCACAAGTGAACACTAATGATACATCGATTTCACCAAGTGCTCAACAATCAACAGAGATGAATACTGCTCTCACTTCTCCTCAATCCATAACTCAGGTCACAGACTATAGTCAAAATGATGTTGGAGGTCCATTTACAGGTCAAATTATGAGTGCTGTGAAAAGTGCATGTCGTAAAGCATTTGATTCAAGCCCAAGAAGACTTGTCGAAGCCATGTATCATTGTGAAATTCAAGCAACCAATGAAAGTGTTGGCTCCGTGTGTGACGTATTACGAAGACGTCGTGCCAAGATTTATTCCGACGACATGGAGGAAGGAAGTAATTTATTCATTATTCAATGTTATTTACCTGTTGCTGAAAGTTTTGGATTTGCTGAAGAATTGAGAACAAAAACAAGTGGTGCTGCTCAACCTCAAATTGCCTTTTCACATTGGCAAATTTTGGAAGTGGATCCATTCTATGTTCCAACCACAGAGGATGAATTGGAAGAGTGGGGAGAAAGAGGACTTGCAAATATACCAAATATTGCTAAGCAATACATTGATCAAGTGAGAAAGAGAAAGGGATTAATGTTGGATAAGAAGATTGTGGAATTTGGAGAAAAACAACGAACACTTTCCAAGAAGAAGTAAATGAGCAGCTTCTAAACGCTGTTGAGATGTTGACAAATGGCCGCTAATAAGCCGAAATGAAATATTATTAATTTTAAATTATTTAATTATTGAATCAAAGAATTAAAACCAAAAAATTCCCATCATTCAATAATCAGATTAATCCTGCCTGTTCACACCATTGTAAAGAAATGAAATCACAAGATACTAGCAGAATGTATTTGCACATTCTTTCAGTTTGGCTCATCATGTTCATTTCGACGGAATCTTTCATGTCCGAACAATCCACTTTTGGAGGACACATGGTTGAGGGATGCATTGTTTACACTACAGCAGAAATCGTGCTCAACGAGCTCACAGATGTCTACTTTGAGCGAAAGCTTGACCCAGAAACTGGTTATGATGAACTAGTCATCTTCCCAAATATTAACAAATTGTAGTCTTCACATGGTACAAATTCACAAATTAGAAAAGAAAAATTGTTTTTATTATTTACAATGTGTAGATCCATCACTGTCATGATCAAGCTCACAAATAGAACAATTTGCCATTCAAAACTTGTTGGTAATCCTCTTTATGAGTATTCTGACCAATCAAGTATGCAATCTTGTGAGCAAACATGCATGGAGCAGGAACTCTTATAGTTCCAAACCAATTCGAATAAACGTGACACAGCTTGAATGTTAGTTGTTGCAAAAAGTTCATACCCAAGTTTGCCTCATTGAGAATGGTTTGATACTTGGTTGGAGTGGCAGTTCCTTGCTCATCACGAACATCAACAGACACTAATAAAAATTCCATCGCATTGGGACCAGTGACACCAGTATCCACAACAGTTCCTGCCTTTGGATTTGTAACATCTTGGCCACTGCTGTCCTTTGATGAAAAGAATCTGGTATTGATTCTCTTCATCACTGTCAGGAATGTGAGTTGAGTGTCGCTGTTCAATTCCTTAATCACTTTTTGACAGCTATGAACCTCGGTATTGAGGACAGTTTCGACTTGACCTTCGCCGACACCATCTCGATAGAATATTATATTCTTTGGATAGATCTTGTTGATTTCCTTAAACTTTTCCATGGCACTCTTAATGATTGGAGCAAGAGAGCTCACAATTTCCTTTCCTGCCTCCTGGACAATACATCTCGTATAGAATTTAGTAATACTACTGTCCATACTGGCAACAAAACCAACACAACTGGCCTTAGTTCTCGTATAAATTTCACCAGAGTGATACACATCCATTCCACAGACCATGGTAGGTCCAGGGAACGTAAATCCGACAGTCCATGCAGCTCCTCCAAGTTTCGAGTTGATCTGCACTGCTATTTTAGTTGCTTTGGAGTGAATGCCTTTCGGCTCAGAAATGGTCATCTTCTTGACACATTGGCTCACAATTCCATACTCGTTCACGAGTACCTTCTTCACTGCGTCATACGTAGTTTTAGAATCAGAATGCAAAACGATTAAACAAAATTGAATCTGCTTGTCCGTATTCTTTTTCAAAAATTCCGTAATCCCCTTTGCATATCCTTCCTCGCTTGTGTCAGAAATTTCACAGTTCAAGGGCGAGCTGAACTGTACGCCAATAGGAGAACTGACCTGATAGAGAACGTCAAGGAAATTTTCCACGTCTTTGATTGTTCCTTTTGGATAGAACATTACCCAAGATTCGACTTTAACTGGTCTGAGTAATGCATCCTTCTTAATCTCCCATGTCGTTCCTTGTAATTGAATCTCCTTCTTGTTACCCAATTTCAACTTTTCATAAGGAAGAATTCTACCATTGATTTCCAATACCTTATCATCAATAGAAATATTCCATTCATCTAGAACAGAGTGATAGTTATTATCTTCATTGCTTTCTTGCACGGATTTGAGAATTTGGCGAATTCTTTCATTTGGAGACAACCCAGTGGCTTGCTTAATATCCTTCATGACACGGAAATTCTTGCGCATCTCATCGGTGATGCCTGTCATGAGACACAACTCTGGAACGTAATATTCAATTCTTGTTTTATCTTTTCTATCTCTATGAAGAAGTAAAGGTTGATTAGGGTCCTTAATGGTAATTCCATATTGTTCCTTATAGTATTCTAAATATGAAATGTTTTCTCCGGATTTCTTTTTGAAAGTGCTGCGTGGAGTTACTGAGAAATCCACATCATCGATGTGAACCGTGCGGTGATTATAGGAGCAAAGCACGACAGTATTCTTTAAATCATTTTTCACCCTTCTAGTACCTTTACCAAACTTATTCTCTAAATCGTAGATCATGTGGAGAACGGTATCTGTTCTAAGGGTCTTGTAAATGATATCAACATTAAAGAGAATTCCCTTATTGCTGATATATGTAGTTGAAATGGATCCAGGTAAAATTTTAACATTATGAGCTGGAACCTTTACAACAACATCGTCACTCGTGTTGTAGAAAAATCTTCCGATTTGTTGGAAATTCAAAGCCTTTTGAGCTTTTTTGAAAATGCTGTTAAAAAGCTGTAAAACAGAGGGATGGATATCAGCACCCGAGAGTGATCTAGTAAAGCTAATCTTGAAGGAATAGGTAACATCTTGGTGTTTGATCGATTTTTCAAACTTTTCCGTTGTTAATTTGGTGAGTGGTGTTTTCGTATAGAGGATCTTGTGTCCATCATAAACATACACAATTCCTTTCAGCAGGTCCTTCATCAATACAGAGCATGTCCTCTTGTTGTCCAAGTCAGGTGTGATTTTTACATCGTATTGACAAAAAGAGCCTTCTGGCAACTGTAAGGCAAAATAGTTTGCTAATAACTTGATAGGCGTTCCTGCATCGCCCATGACATTGGAAGTTACAATTCCTGTCTCACCTGTGACTTGCTTTGGTGTTTGCAAGGAATTGACAGAACGACTAGCAATCTTGATACTGCTCAAATTGCTCCTACTCCCAAACGAGGATGAGCTGGTAGGTTCCGATGAGCTGGTAGGGGGACGAGAACCAAATCGCCGTTGTCCTTCTCCACTACTTGATGCTTGTTGAGGTCGTTGAGAGGTAAATTGTTGCTGTTGGCCACTTCCTCTACCACCTCCTCCTCCTCCACGTCCACCACCACCTCTTCCTCCTCTACTTGCACTACTTCCTCCTCCTTCAGAACTGCTACCACCACTTCCTCCACCACCACCGCGACCACCTCCTCTACCACCACGTCCACCTCCACTACCACCTCTATTACCTGATGATGAAATCATTTCCAAATATTGTTATTGTCGTTGAGTGAGCGTGTTCAGTTCCGATCACCTGAGAATGTTTTGAATATTACAATAAATTATGAATAACGCGTAAGAGCAATCTTGTTGATTGAGAGAATGATCACAAGCGAGCTCGTTGGTATCAATTAGAGATTTAAAAAACTGCCTTCACGAATGCGAGCGTTGGATTTGTTGTGTGTTTCAATGAAGGTCTTGTGATGGTATTTTTTAAAGAAAAGCCTTTGAGAGAGATTTTCAAAGAGCACACAACGAGAGGCTTGAACGGGTTGGGAATTCTGAAATTCAAAAATAAATGCAAGAGCTGAATGGGTTGGGAATTTTTCTTCTTCGACGTGATTGATGTTTGTAACGACGTGATGGAGTTTGAGAAATGAGAATTGGGAACAAGTCAAGCGTCATTCTTCAATGATGTTTGATACATCTTGCTGTAAAAGTCATTTTGTTTTTAACCTATGGATTCCCTTAATTCAAAACTGTAAATTCTCATGACTGCAAAACACGAGTTTGTGTTGGAACCATGTTCGTTCTAACGGTTAGAAAGGACGTCATACATTGGAATCAAACGTTTAATCATGATTTCCTTTTTTAACATCGAAAAATATTGAACTAGTGAAGAACTCCATTTAAAAAAAAATGGGAAACTCGCAACCACCCGTGGATCCACTCTTTTCAAAAACATCCTTTCATGGGGAATACAAGACATCATTTCTGCCCGATGATATGATCATTCATATTCTACAATATTTGGACAGTACATTAATTGCATCAAATATCATGCTTGTTTCAAAACAATGGTTTCAATGTGCTCGGAGAGAGGTATTCACGTGTTTGCAATGGACCGACTCTTCTTTATGGAAAATACAAACTCATGAGATATCGAGACCTGGAAAGCAATTTAAAGCGGCGGTGTTTTGTAGATGCTTTTTTTGGAAAAAATTAAATCTTTCAAGTAGTTACATTTCCGATGTAGGAGCTGAATGGATATCATTGAGCCCACAGATGGAGTTTTTAACAGAGATGAATATTAATGACACAGGTCTGACTTTTAGAGGCGTGGAGCTTATTGCGAATAGTCCATTGATGAAAAATTTAACAATTTTGAACATTTCGCAAAATACGATCGGAGATGAGGGAGTATATGTGATTGCAAATAGCAAATATATGAGCAATGTGACAGAGTTGAACTTGAGCGATATTGATATCACAAATGCATGTTTAAATGATTTAAAGAAGAGTAAATTCTTGAAGAAATTGCGATCCCTAGATTTAAGTCAAAATCGTCAGATTGGAAATGATGGTATGACGTTGCTAATCACGAATCAAAATTTAAGTCATTTGACATACTTGAACTTGTCACAATGTACACTAACAGAAGCAGGAGCAATTACATTAACTGCAAATAACTCATCACTTGCCAATTTAACAGAGCTTAATTTGAGTTTTAACTCAATTGGACATGATGGAGTATTGGCACTCACCCATTGTACCGTTTTGAACAATTTGAAAATATTAGATTTAGGAAACACTGAAATTCGACAAGAGACTGCAACCCTCATTATTCAATCAACTTTATTTTCACATTTAGAAAAGTTGCATCTCTACGGAAATAACTTGAATACGGTTCAATTAACATCCATTGCCAAAACAAAGAACAGTGTGATCAGTTTTACTGTCATCAATCCAAAGAAGAGGATGCTGGTGACACTGGAAATGCTTGTCGATCAAACAGAGCAACTGATGAAGCTTAGTCATCAGTTTCATCATTTTGATGGCGAAAAGTAAGAAGAAATCGCCGCTTAATGATACCTATCTCCAAGTAATCCATGCAAAAAGTTTCTAAAGCATTGTAACAGGTGTGAGATTTCAATTTCTTTCTCTGGACTCGAATCATTGTATTCATGAACATAATCGAAATTTTGATCATCATCATTGCTATTCACTAGATCATCATTTGGACTTGTCAGACATTCTAAAATGTACTCACAACTTCCATCTGAACTTTCATAATTCAAAGTGGGCAATACATAGAATGCATGACCTCCATGACTTCCTCCAACCAAATATTCTGCAGGACTTTGTAACAAGTAACATGCTTCAAAGGAATCATCATGATCCCAAATATAATGTACTCTTTTTCCACATGATTGGTATGTATAAATTATGAATTGTTTGGGACCATACAAGTACGTGGTTTTTGACATTTTCATGTCATTGGTCGGTATACAAGTTTCAACATGTTTGATAAATTCATCCACGAGTTGAAATGCAAATTGACAAGTGGCTTCATCACATTTTTCATCACAAATAGAAACACCACGACATGGCTGCACATCAATGTGGGACATGTCAATACTTCTCTCAGGAGAGTATATTCTCTCAAAATCTACTTTTGGAACTCGTTCAAAACACAAATCGTTGCAAAAGTGTGAATTGACTGATTCCATCAACAGACTCAGTAAATCCTTCTCATCATCATGCCGTTCATGTTTTGAAAAATTAGTGTGTTGTTTCTGGTCCACTGATATTTCCGAATAATATTTTACGGAAATGTCAACGAAAGGAATTATGCATGAATTATTGCTGTTGCCGCGAGCTTGTCTATCCTCATCTTTAACATTGGATTGTCTTTTGGTTTGAAATTTTCTCTTTTTTTCAATGAGATTGGATCGTTTTTCTCGATACTCTCGCTCTCGTTTCAACAGGTCTTTGGGAGGTTCACCGTTTTGAGAGATCGAGTCCAAACCCTTTCCTCCTTTACCTCGTCCAACCATTTTTTTTTATTTTTTTCAAGTGGACTAATTCTTTGGATTTATGGAATTTCATCTGGCTGTTGTTTACTTTTTGAATAAGTTTTTCAAGTCTGAAATTTTTGGTTTTTTCAGGTGGGTTCGTTTCAAAAATTCTGTTCGTGTAATCTTCAAATGGGCTAATATAGCTACCAATAGGGACGTCTTGTCTCTGTTGGCTTCTTCCTTTTCAAATTTTGTAATTAGTTTCTTTTCCACTTCTCCATGTTCGACAAGTGTCTTGGTTTCCTCATCAAATACAACAAATGCTTCCTCATTAAAATGTTCCATATCAATCAAGAATTGCAATACAGTGTGCAATTCAGCAAAACACAAGGCACAATTCTTCAAATTCAAGTCTATGGAGCAGAATTTTACCAATTGTTGAACGTCCTTATAGATGGTAAACATTCCTTTCATTGTAATCTCATTCGCAATTTTTGAAGTAGAAATTATGTCTTTCAAATACCTTGCGATAGTATCACAGGCAGAGAACATGATTTGTTCAGTCTTTTCTTGCTTGAGATGTTGAATACTCTTATAAAAGACGCTCAGGCTTTTGATGAGATCCATAATGAATGGATGTGGTTCATTGTACATTTCTTGCTTTGGATCAATTTGAGATTGATTATTGTTGAGTAACAAGTTGTTACCAAGAGTTTTAAGGTTATCTGTCACCATTCCAAACGTAGCGGTAATAACGCCTTCAGCTTGATATTCTGGGGCAAACACAAAGGTACTGGCTTGCGAGAGTTGTTTGTTACATTTTCCAAGAACCTCCTTAAGAATTAAATCTTCTCCTCTGTCCTTGCATTGCTGCATTCGAATCAAAAGATCTTTAAAATATGTGATAGAAGAAGTTGTGGTGCCTGTGGTCGTTGTGGACGACGAAGAAGCAGTTTTAGGTTGAGAAGCGTTCCCAGAACTTGGCAATGCACTGGTAGTTGTCGATTGTTTTCCACAGCGTTTGCTATATAAATCTTCAAAATATGGTAATGCTGCATCGATCATGTATTGGTAGTTAAGGACTGCTTGCACATATCTTTCAACACCAGAAGATGATGAGCTGTGCAATTCTTGATCCAAACATTTCAAAGCGCATTCAAAGAGCTTGCAAACTCCATTCTTCATCTGTTTGATACTTGTCGTATACGATACAATTCTGTCACAATATACTTCATAGTCCAGGATGAAATTTTCAATCTCAACACAAGTGACCAACACAATTTCCGAGAACGGGAATGTCAACGTATTTCCGTTTAAATTACTGCTGTTCATCAAGTTGAATTTTTTCAAATTCTTTTGCTCGACACTTTCTGGAGTTTGCTTGACGCATGTGAATTGTTTTTTACAATCCGATTTTTCAATGTTTTCTATTGCCGTGTATTCAATAGATCTTGAAAATGCAATCCTATAGTGAGCCAATAAATCTATAAGCAATGAGGTATGAAGAGCAAGTTGTTCGGATGCTGTCATTGAAAATATCAATACCATCTTTTTCATATTCAGATATTCTTTTGGATTGTTCATACGAATAGCTAAATGTTCGTCAATGGTTGTGATAATTTGCTGGAGAGATTGTTCCCACATGGCATTCAGTTCAATATTTGACAAGAGGGACGATGTTGTTTTAAGTGTGACTGACTCCACCGTAAAGAAGCCAATAATTCTTTCAAGCCATTCTTGTATAGATGCTGGATATATTGAGGTGTCTTTGGAGGATTTTTTGTCCAATTCCAATTGTGGAGGATGTGTAATCTCATGGTTCAATTGAATAGCTCTATTTCTCTTGTAGTATCCTTTAAATTGTTCGTAAGAGTCCATGGATTCATAAATATGTTTACAAGTGTACACTGGAGTTAACTCTACTTTGTGTTGGGTCAAAACGTCAAATACTGTGACACTGTCATTGATAATATCTACATTGGGAAATGTAAAATTGAACTCATTGCTCGCCACGAACTCGTTATATTTGACATTTACGTTATTGGCCATCAATTTAAATTGCTTTTCAATCATTGACCTTCCTATTTCTTGGCTCTTATTTTTCACATTAACCAACCACTGGTTAAAATCTCGTTCTACATTTTGTTTAATCTTTTTCCTGAATATTGGAATTTGTTTTTCCAGATACTGAGCAAAACTAAACAAATGCACGGTTCTCACTGATTTCTCCAAGTTATCAAGAGTCTTCAATGCAGAGAAATATTTTTGTTCTTGAATCTGTGTATACACCTTGGAAGCTAGCGTAGAAACATGTTTGCATAAATCAACCATTTGTACAGCTGACTGAATATTGTCTGCAATGTTATGATACATGACCAGTTGTTTACCACATTCAAGAGCTTCTCTTCCTGCTTTTTGAACATCCTCATTGAGAGAAATTATTTTCTTTTTTAATGTTTTACCATCACTCCGAACACTTTTCAGCTGGCTCACGGACTTGAGAAATTCTTCATAATTCTCGCTACAGATGTGTTCAATTTCACTTTTTTGTTTTTCAAGAAAAACGTCCAACGAGTCGTAAAACGAATCTTCCTTTCCTCTTTCATAGACTGTTTTTATACTACCTGTGATGAAACCAGATTCCACAAGGGAAGCTAAAATGAAATCATCACCCGAATTGATATGAGATTGAATTTGAGCAGCTGCTGAAGATGGATCAAGGTTCGGACTAGCATCATTGGCTGGTGATGGTTGAGATGATGATGATAACATGGGTGGAGAGGGTGATAACGTGTTCGGTGATGATGAAAGGCTCACTGAGCTTCTATTGCCTCCAACACCGAGCAGTTTTTTCATTTTTTCAAAATTGGTTTTTATAATTCCAATCAACGACCATGAATTGTGTAAGTCATTGATACGTCAATTAGCAAAATTAAATAATTTATGTTCAATTAGCTTTCCATCATTATGTTTCAAAAAAGAAATCTCTTATAAAAAGGAGTTGGCGCCATTTCATGATTCCGTTTTAAAAATTCAAAAAAAATTCAATTAATGATGACACGATTATTCCAACAGCACCAAACAGAAAACTGAACTCTCTCATTGAACACTCATTATTTTCTACTAACTCACTAATCAACAAACCATGTCTAACGTGTCCTCTGACAATTCTCGGAACCGATCCAATTCCAATTCCGCTTCAACCTTACTAACTCCCTCTCTTCATCTCTCCATCCAAAACAATAATAACTTGCTTCTTTCTCCGAGAGTGAATTCGAGTAGATCTTCTTCTCCGATGCCATCACCTGGAAGATTTTCAAGTTCTCCAATGCCATCACCTGGTCGTTCAAATTCGGCATCGGGTTTTTATTCTCCAATGCCTTCTCCAGGAAGGTATTCGCCGATGCCATCTCCTGGTAGATCGAATACTGTTGGAAATTTAAATGTTTTGAAACGACGAGGCTCATTCAGTAGAGCCAATAGCTCAATGAGTGTTGGAACCAACCATAGTTCCTCACAATCTTTTATTTCTATAAAAATCAATGACGAAGACAGCACCATAGCAGAGACTCCAAACGGAGAGTTACAACCTCTTAGTTCGAAATTTAAAAACAATCAACAACAGAAAATGATATTTGACTCACCACAAATGGTGGCAACAATGAAAGAAATTAAATCATTCAAGAAAAATCAAGCGCCAACAAAAGAAACTTTTAGAAAAATTGCTCAAGACCTTAAAGATGACAAATTAATTTCAAAATTATCACGATTGCATTTGGACGTTATTGAAAAGCGTCGAAAAGAAGCAAAAGAGCAAGGTGTGACGTTTCATGAGTTTGGAGCTACAGGAAAAGTAATTACGGATGATGACTATGATGAGTCCTTGGAGTTTATTGAAAAAGTAGTCAAGAGATTGTCAGATCATTTGGAATATACAAAAATTGAATTGTTTAAAAAACTCAACGTTTTAGTCACTAATGAAGAGGAAGATTATTCGAAAACTTTCAAAAAAACAGTAGTGGATGTGATTGAATCTAACAAGGAAAATTCCAAAACGCAAGCAAATTCGAATATAATCAAAACTGATGAGGAAATTCAACAATTTTTTGATGAACAAATCCAGCTTGTTCATAAATATTGGCAACAAGAATTTGTACTTAGAATGAAGAGTTCTCAAACACTCCAAAAAGAGAAGGAGCTACGAAACAAAGAATTAGCCAAAGAAGAAGGGAACCCAAATTATATTGGCATTGATCAATATAGAAAGCTTCAACTAGAATCCAAGGTGTTAAATTCTCTCATAGAGCAACGAGACAAGTTGCTCGAAGAGCAGAGAACAGAATATTTCAAAGAGCTGCTTTCACTGAAAGAAGAATTGTTAAAAGCGAATTATCAGTATTCAGCTCCTTCATATTTTCCTGCAAACTTTGACAAGGTTCTGAATTTACCATTTCTGGAAGATGAAAACGTAAAAGAGTTGAATCAGGTTTTGTTAAAAACAAAAACAATGCTAAGCGAAAAAGAAAACGAAATTCGAACACTGTTGGGAACCATCAATAATTTTCAGGCCGAGACATTCGAAAAGCTTAAAAAAAACCAAAAAGAATGTGTCGTTGAAAATTTAATTGAAACAGCCAAAGCGTTCAAATTTAAAGCAGACAAATTTTCAGCCGATAATGAGAATCTAGTGTCACTTGAAAAATACAACTCACTACTGCAAAAATTTGAAAATATGGAGCAAGAAAGCGAATCGCTCAAGAAGGAAATCATTTCACTACAGAATATTCAACGAGCTCAAATGAATATCACTACTACCGATTTAAAGAAGCCGTCAACGTGGCTTACCATGAGTCAGGACTTGTCTTTCACATCGTTGGGATCACCAACGTCCTATCATCACGAGTGGAATGACGATTCTGAGGATGAAACTGAACTACACTCTACTAGCGAAGAAGATGAAATCAAAAAACTCAAGAAGCGACTTAAATCTAAGGACAATAGAATTATGCAACTCTCTGCAATCATTGAAGAGATGGAGGTGAGACTCAAAACAATGCATGATCCCAAGCAGTTTAAGGAGGCAATTATGAATCCAATACGTAAATTTGAAGCGTACAAACAACAAATAGCGGCCCTTGAATCAGAGACGTTTGTGTTACAAAAGGAAATTGATTTGGGTAGTATCAGGGAAGAAGAACACATTCGTTCAAAGAATATTCTTTCACTCAAAATTGAAGATCTTTCAAGTCGTTTACGAGACATGTTCACATGGAAGGCCCAACAAGAAGCCAAAACGGCAACCTATCTGAAAGATATCGAAACGATGCGTGGAAATGTGGAAAAGCAAAAAGACAAAGTTAAGGTAAGTTGATGTCGCTTGTCTTGGGTTTGAAGAATCAAAATCTTAAACATGATTTCCAATTCACACAGACTCGAGATAGAACTATTGACAATTTGAAACAACAACTTTCTGAAATGAAGAAAAAACTAGAAGAAAAACAAGCACCACCTTTACCAACTCCAACCCCAACCATTATTTCTCATTCTGTGTTTTCATCAAATTGCAAAGACATGGAGGTTCAAACAGACACTTCTTTTCTTCCTAAAACACATTTCAAAACATTCAACGACAGCGACTTGTTGTCAAGTGAAGAAACGTGTGACAAGTCCACACAAACCTCACCTCACTCACTGGATTCCATTGAAATTAGTGTCACATCTCCAAAACCATCGACGCTTGTCACTCCTTCCTCATCCTCACACACCATCCCATCCAAACCATCAACCAACAACACTACTGCCAACAATACGACGACTACTAAGAGCAATACGATCACTTTAACAAGCTACTCGAGCAAGTCACCTAGTTCATCCAACAGTGGAACCAAAAAACCAACAGAAACTAGCACTACAACAAAAACGAATCCCTCTGAATCTTCTCAACATGTAAATACCTCAACCAATCACCCACAATCTTCAATACTATTGAACCACAACATCTCGGCAACATCAGAAACACCTACCACTTCTAACAACAATCATGACTCAACAATTTCCACAACAGCAACACCTACTACATTTGCTACTTTACAACAAACAAAACAAGAAGAGCCTCCTCTTGACCTGGATGATCCTGATTTTGCAGTTCGAAAAGTTATAAGGCCAGTTCAGAAAAAACAGAGTAATGTCACTCCAAGTAATAATGTTATCACACATTCAACTGGCTCCACTTCTAAGGATGAGTTACATGATACATGCATTCAAGCAACAGCTACTACTTCTACTAATGTGAAGGAGATCTCTTCTTCCGTATGTGATTCAGTGGCAACAACACCTGCATCCTCAACAAGTTCCACTGAAACAGTAACAGAGCTACCTCCAGACTCGTCTACGAACGAATCCATAACCATTGCGCCAAAAATGAATGAGAGTCAACCTATTCTAAAAAACACACCTGAACACAATGAAAAAGAGAGAAAGAACGACAACAAGTTACCAAACAACACCACAACCAATGTTTCTGAGTCCTCTCACCAACCAACACACAACACTCACACAACTCAAGCGGACAATTCTCATGATCATGGTCAGAATCGACAACAAACACAATCAGAGAAAGCACATTTCATTTCAAATGAGCAGCATACTCACGACCACACTCCTCAACACCTCGTTTCATCGTTGGAATATACTCGTGGAGACTCACCCATATTTTATGACATTGCACACTTAATGACCAAAGACGAGCCTCCAGAAGAGACTGAAGAAGAGAAAGCTCTTCATCAACACACAGAACCCACATGGTACAAGATTCCAAAATCAGGTCATTCCTATCCAACAGAGAGTGGAGAAGATCCACATGAGAATAACATATCTCATCACTCATCTATAAACCATCATCAAGATCATCATCATCATGCAACAAAAGACGAACATTCTGCAGCTATTATTGAAAGAATGAAAAAACAAGCTCGCCTTAAGAAAGTGACATTTTCTCATGGTTTAGACGACGGAGAGAAAATGGAAATTCTTGAGAGCAAATTTAAAAAGAGAATTGGGATGGCCACGTTGATTGACCGAGTCTTAGTGAGCCAGGAAGGAAAACAACTCAGAATTCATGGCTATAATGATTATTATTATGATGAGCATGGTAACTTGGTTTATGGTCCCAATCACAATCGAACGAATCAAAACACTGCAGCACATCAAGACGATAAGCAAGGGGTGAGAGATCACACGCCTAACGAACTCAATCATCACACTGAAAAGGGAACTGCTAGCACCAAGTTAAATGTCGTCATTAGAAAGAATTTGAAAAATGATCATCCTCAATTGGGGTCACACGAACAAAATAATGGAGAAGAGGGAAATTTTACTGAAATGGATGAGCAAGATGGTAACAACTCCACTGGAAATAAGTCAAACAAACGCGGTAGGAGTACTCCATATGGAATTCATTTTGGAAAGATGTCCTTTAACAAATCCTCAACGATTGATAACAAGAATAATATGCATCCGTTTACAGGTCGTTCTGATGAAGATGGAAACCACACAAGTATGAACAACTTTTCAAGAAATGCCAATGTCAATGGATACAATTCCAACTCGGTTGTGAGATATGGTAAGAAATATTTCAATTCCAGAGATTTGATGGGAAAAGACGGTGTGGATGACCATTCGGATCAATCCACACTGTATATTGGAAGAAATCCTTATTCCAGCAATATCAACCCCAACAGCAACACCACGAATAATGGAACCTCGCATTCTATTCATTTTGATGTGAATTCTCAATATGCCATCTCCAATTTCCCCAACCGAAAATCACGACCCAATTCTTCACCATCCAATCCTACTTCGAGTGGTCATAACTCTCCAACAAGGGCCTCTCAAATTTTTGTCTCACTTGGTCAACATATTGAACATTCAAGCTCTCAAAAAGAAAAGCGTTTAAAAGAGCTGAAGCAAGAAGAGCAAGATAAGTTGGAAAAGATTTTAACAACATGGAATCAAATGTCCAAGGGACACCCTGAATCTATAGAAAAGTTAAAAGAAGAATACATGAATCAATTGAGGGAAGAAGAACATGCACACTATTATGACATTAAGGAATCCAAAGTAGTTTCTCCCTCTAAAAAAGGAGGTAAATCTCATCAATTACTCGAAAAAGAATTTTCCACGCTTCGATATAGCAGCAATGACATTGTCAACACGTATCAAGCATCTCCCTTGTCTCAGAATGTCACTGCAGGAACCTCGGATGAAGACGACTCTAAGGTTGAGCTCAATGACACAACGATCACTGTTATAACTTCTCAAGATCCCAATATCGCAACTACGAACGAAGAGGAAAAACCATCCATAGAATTCGATTTGAGTGATGAACGAGCGACACCTACCGAAATGATCATGAGACCTCTATTGAAAATTAAGAGTTATCAATCACCTCCAAAATCAACAACCATTGATAAGGATGTTACGAATACTTCTAACAACACTTCAATGGATATGACACACTATGAACAAATGCTTTCCATGTATGTGGCAAACAATCCGTTAGCACAGAATTCTTCACCACCCTCTTCTCCTACCCTCAATCGAATGCAATCCTCATCGTCAACATGTACCGTAACTTTACATCAAGTAGTGCCCATTCATCACAATCCAACACTCATATCAACCAAAAGTCTTCCATCGGTGGTCACTGCAACAACACCGAGTACTCATCTCACAACCACCACACCACGTATTGGAGCCATTAAGGGAAGAAGAATTACGCCTACACCTCCACCTTCTGCGAATTCAATTTCAATATTTACGACGACCAGTCACTCTACAGCCAATAGTTCTGCAATGGCCACTCCTCTCTCAAGTCGAGAGTGGTCTCAAAAGAAATCAAATGCTGTTCCATATGTCATCTCAAGAAGTAAGAGTGCAATGGGTGTGAGGGAACGTGTGTCTGCATCGTCTGTGACAACAACAACAACCACTCGTAAGAAAATCAAAACGGCAGATTCAGCGTCATCTTTGAGAAGTAGCATGCCCACGAGTGGTCGTTCAGTGTCTGTTGCTGATGAAAGAGAAATTTCAAAGCGAAAACTCAAGAGTCTTGTAGGTCAGTAAATGCAGTAGTGGATATATTCCCTTAAGACCCACACGAGTTGGGTAGTATCAATAGTGAACTCGGTTTGTATGAACACTACACGATAGAGGAATTTACCTTTTCTCAAGAAATGTAACATTGCATTTGGTTGTATTAAAATTACTAAAAAAGAAACAATTCTCAACACATGCACCACAAACTACGCCATAAGAAAACTACCAGCGAAAAAATTCGACTCAAAAAGGCAAAAATTTTTTGACAACGAAATGCAGAAACTCCGGGATTGGTTCAGAATCTTGTAAAGTTTTATTCAGTAGTGCTGACGTTCGTTCATTAAAAGTGAACCTCCTCCTGATTATGACCACACCTATTGTACCAAAGCCAGTTACTAAAGTTTCGAAAGCAATTCTCTTCAGCCTTTCGTTATACAAGGATTGGTTGATTGTTGATGATAATACTCACATTCACCGTCATTACACCGTTCAACAAGTTTCTCGTTACACGATAAAAATCCATCTTTTGTACTGATCACTTGGTATCTAAGTTACATCAAAGTTGTTCCAAGTTGTTGCTGTGTAATCGTAGTTTAGGTGTGTGATTTAAAATACTCGACCTCATCTTTTGGTGAAGGCATTTTTTTTGGAGTGAAAATTAATGTCAACTTGAAAAATTAAATTACAACAAAAAGCAAAAACTTGTTCTTTAATTTAATAACAGCATCTCCTTGGAGCTTAACTGAGAGAAATTGAGATCAGTATTATCAATAATATTATTAATTATTTTCAATTTGTTTTCTGTGCTCGGTGGACCTCCTCGCTTTTGTTTTATGCGAGTGAAGCTAGCTTATCGACAAAGTAATTGTTGTATTTTGTTGTGTGTTTGAATGTTGGTTTGATTGGTTTCATGTTGTGAAGGTTGAGATGATAGTGTGTTCGGATTGTCAAGGTTATGTTGGATTGTGGAGAAATTATGAGAAGATTGTGGATAATAGGATTGATGATTTTGAAATAAATGTTCACATCCTCCATATTGAATAGGGATATTCTGATAGCTCATTGAATTGGATTGGTTTGGTTGTATCAGATAAATTCTTTCGAAAGATGGTGTGATGTTCTTGGTGAATCAAAAGAGCCGGGATTAATGCTACTGAAACCGGTAGATGACGGTGATTGCACATTGAAAGAAGATAATGGAGAGGAACACCATGTGTGGTGATTTTGATTTGAAAGTCCATATGATTGACCTTCAAAAAAGTTGTTGTTAGATGTGGTTTGGTTTGTGGACGGTGATGAAAAGTTTCAATTTGATGACATTTTTTGTGATTTGGAGTGTATTGAGGATTGAATTTAATTGTTTTATTGTACAAACTCGAATTCTTTGTCAAACTTGAACGATGTCCACACTTGATTAGTTTCCACATTACATGTGAGAGAAATGTATACAATTTTCATCTTGTGTTTCGTAATCTTCTTTCCGAATTTACGTGTAAGACGTGAGTGAGTAATTTCCAACTCAGACCAATGCTTGCATTTGTCTAAAGGAGGAACACTGTCAGTAAATCTGAATTGAATGCACTTCTGTCTCTTCTTTAGGCCATTCCACAAAATGTCTTGATACCATTGGTAATATTTAGCCTTTGTTCCCCTCAGAGCAAGATAAAACACGTTTGGGTTGCAACATCCAACCGTTTCATGGCTGATGGAGTTTGAACATCTCATCTGTAGATGTTGATAAATAATATTTCTTGCACATTTGGCGAACTGTTCCCATATAATTCCATAAATTTGTTTCTTCTCATCTGGTACTTCTTTAAAGGAATTATATTTTGGTACAAATTCAAACAGTCCTTTCTCTAAAGTGAATTGATATTCCTTGTGAGTGTCTTCAGCAGCTTCATCTGTGGTTCTTGATTTTCGTTTTTTGCTCTGTTGGGAAATATTGTCATCATCACATTTGTTGTTTGGTGTTATCGTACATTGTGTCTCATCAACAATACCAGAGAAGCTGCTTGTGCTAGGCAACAGACAGCAAGGTGGAAATGATATAGTTTCGTCTGTGAAGATCCATTCCTGAACAAGTTAAGCAAACACATTGTAACAAATTTGAAACATACTGTAGAGGTAGTCATTACTGGTGATGATGGGTGAGAAGGGTTCATTTCGATGCTTGATGATGAAGGAATCTTGTGAAATATGTTACTGCTGAATACTGACAAACATAATACTTACATTGTTCGTACTCTGGTTCGTTGTGGATTGGCTATCCAATGCTGGTGATTCATTGGCCTTGATAATTGAGATCTATACAAGGTGAACGATATTCACTAGTACTTACGTGATTAGTATTTGTTTCGCAACTCGAATCACAATCAGAAACACCAAGCTGAGGTAAAGATTAGTGTAGGTGTTGAAATTATTGTTTGATGATGTTGTTGTTGTGGTAATAATCAATTACTTACACAGTATAGAGGCACAGTGCCCTCTTCAATGACCACTAATTCAGCTTCCATGTTGTGTGTGTTGTTGGTGTGTTTTTTTGTGTGAGAAGCAGAAAACAACACCACAGACCAATCACTCCATTTTTTTTGACTCCGGGACTTACTAAAACGAGCCGAATTTTTTCTTCGTCAGTTTTTGCACTTTACGCTCAGGCGTAGTTTGTGGTGCCAAATCAAAAATAAAAACATAAAAATCAAAAACAATACCTCAGCAACATGAATCCCGAAGAGAAGACTTCGGGAAGCATCCATACATTATCTCCAACAATAATACCACCTTCATCATCATCATCCATTTCTCCTCAACCACCAACAGCAGTTTTCAATGTAAATAATAATAACAATTCCCATCATGAATTCATCATTGAGTCATCATCACCGTCCCAACAACAACTCGTGGTTTCAATTCCATCCCATGCAACCCTTTCTAGCTCTTCAACTGCATCTACTCCTTATACCATGTCATCTCCTTCCCAAATGCATAACAATCATCATTATAACGGCATCATCCCATCACCCTCTCGTAGTGGTATTCATCATGGCCAGCAAAATCATCATCATGAACAACATGAACCATTCTTTTCATTTGGTTCTTCATCCTCTTTTCATTCGGCATCAACAGCAACCATTCCGAATCCGTACGACACTGTACCACCACCAAATCATTCTCAGCAGTCAAGGCTGACCGTAGACACTCACATGAATTCTTCATTAGGGTATCAACAGAGAAATCCAGCAATTCCTGTCGAGTCATATGACTCTGACCATTTTCAAACATTTCCATCAGTTTCGAGTTTGGGAAGATTGGTCAATGGCACGAACAGTCCAATAAATCCCAATGGCACTACTACGGGCACATCATCAGCTGTTACTGCTGGCACAAGTAGTGTGAAAACGCCAACACAATCTTCACTCACACCTGGAAGCGTCTTGTCACTGAGAACTGTCAGTTCTTCTGTGTTTTCTCCTTCTTCACACAACGAAGAATTGCGTTTTGAAAATGCCAATAATAATACCTCAAACATGAACACCGCTCTTACCTCAAGTAGGAGTGGCAGAAAATTGGACACAAAAGTCTCAGGAATTTCCTCCTCAATGGCAGCCTTTAAGGTTGACACAAAAAGCTCACAATCACAGTTGACTATTAATAATAGCCCTGTTATTCCAGTGTCAAGCCCAGTCAATGTTGAATATTACCATCATGCAGAGAGTAAGGATGACTTTAGTTTACTTGCAGCCAAAGCACCTGAATTTCAAGAAATAACATTGGACAACAAACCGAATCAGAATTTACTTTCGAAAGCAAATGTTGAAGAGGACGACGCTGCAGCAAGTACAGATGAAGATGAATCACATAGGCCATCCGTTGAAACAAGTAGGAGGAGTATAGAAGTATTATTGGAAGACGATTTGCACGCTGGAAAGCATCAGGTCAAAACCGAAAAATCAGAAAGAGAACACCTTTGGAGAGGTTATACAAAAACAAACATGTTCTTTTGTGTGTGGAATTTGATTAATGATGTCATTAGTCCTGCCTCAGTTAGCGCTGGATATACTATTGCTCAAGCAGGTTTAGGAGCATATATTTTGAGCGTTCTTATATTTGGTGTTACAACATTTTTCACACTCATGCTGGTGTACGATTTGGCACACATGTTTAAAGTCACAAGCTTTCCGGCATTAACGAAAAAAGCTTTGGGGACAGTAGGATATATTATCATTTGCGTATTTATTTTTATATTTAACTTTGGAGCTGTATGCTCTGAATTAATTGAAATATCTCAGGTTTTACCGGATCTGTTATACACAATTATTGGATATGAATCAATTTTCACAAATAGATATGCTATTTTGATTTATGTCACCATTATTTTGCTTCCCATTGCAAGTATGAAGCAAATGTCAAGTTTTAAATATGCATCCATGATTTCTGTTTCTTCCATGATAATTATTGCTCTTCTAATTACTTATGAATGCATCTTGGGAAGAAGAACTGTCATGCGCAGCGATACGGCCTTTAATTTTATTAGACCTCAATATTTGAGTGCAATGGGATCTTTAAGTTTTGTGTTTGTTTGTCATGACGTAAGTTTCAAATAATTAATGTCGTGTATTTTAGATAACACCCCAACCTTCTTCCATGAATTATATATTCGCAGATAAGCTTTGAAATTATTGGATCACTAAAAAACAGCACCAAGAAACGATACATGATGGTGGTCTTCTTCATGCTAACTATGGCTATTACAACACTTTTTTTGATGGGCATTTCCAGTTATTTGATTTTCTATGATACTAATCTTCGAGACGCTAATGTTTTGGACTTGTTTCCAAAGAAATATGCAATGGCCATCGTTTCCAGATTGCTTGTGTGTGTTTCGTTGGGCTTTTCAATATGCTACAGCTCATTCATGCCTCGATTTGCAATCATTACCGTTCTCAAAACGCTCATGAATCACATGGCAGGTATAAAGGAAAAGGAACAGGAGATTGAACTCAAGAGTAACAGTAGCAGCATTGAAGTCATTGACTCTCGTCCAAGATATCTCAAATTTTTCACATCTAAAACTGGAAAAGAAGTTTTACATTATGGAGTCACGTTGATTGTAGTTCTTTCCGCCTTCTCTATTGCAATGGCAGTTTCCAATCTTGGTATCATTATTGGCCTGACAGGATCTATCAGTGGCAACTCTATGGCCTATATTCTCCCTTGCCTTATCTACATTATTCTGGAGAAACGACACAGACAACAAAGACAAGTGAAAGAAATTATGATTCACTCACGATGGCTCACTCTTAAGCGAATTGCTGCCTATATCGTGTTGGCCATTGGTTGTGGTTTGCTCGTGTTGAGTTTGTCAAGTATTACATACTTTGAAATTGTTGCAGAGGCAAAATAAATTCCCTCCAATTTTTTTTTAATAAATTCTTATCAAAAAAATGAGTTCCACTGGTGGTTGGAAGAAAAAACCTTCAACAAGCACACCATCACCACCACTCCCGAAACGAAGCACTTCATCCAAAGGTCGTTCTTCAACAAAACCAAAAAACAGCAATCCTCTCAATCTCGTTTCAAGTCAAGATTCTTCGAATTCTGTTCGGAGCAGTTTTTCTCTCAGTCCTCCTATATCTTCTCTCTCACCTAATGACAAAAAGAGAAAATCCAAAATCATTGATGATGAAGAATCGGAAGAGAAAAATCAAAAGAAGAATTACTCTAAAAAATCATCGACGCAAATTGGGAAGAAGCCTAGCAATAATTTGAAGTCTCATGTTATTGATTTAGAAACAAGCTCATCCGATGATGAAAATGTCATCACGTTGGAATCTGTAAATCAACAACGAAAAAAGAAAAAATTTGAAAATACCACAACAACAAGCACGGCCAAGTCATCAAAGCATTCAAAAATTATTGGCGATGAGGAAGAAGATGATGAGTTTGATCTGGATGACGAAACGATAGCCATGATTTTGAACGAACAACAGGCCAAAACAGAACATGAATCCAATGATGAGTCTGTTATTGTACAAAGAGAGATCTCTGAAGATTGGTGCGAGAAATATGCTCCCACTGATCCTTCAGAGCTACTCATTAGCAAAAAATTTGTTTCACACTTTGAAAATTGGTTATGTAAATATCCATCGCCGGACTCGAAGATCAAATTTGAAAACAAACCTTGCATTGTGACAGGAAGCGGAGGTTGTGGAAAGAGAAGTCTAATTTATTTAATGATTCAAAAACATTTTGGGTTTAACCGATTGCAAGTTTATCATCCACAAAAAGTTATGAAAAAATTAATGGATGAGAAAAAACAACAATTTGACAGCGACTCTACATGGCTAACCAATAAGGATGAAACAGATTTATTGGACATTTATTTAAAATCTACAGAAGGAGCACTTCTCAGTACTAGGTATCATGAACACGGTGGACAAGAAGGGCTTACAAAAGGCCCCAATCCCAACATGGTCATTGCACACTTCAGAGAATTTATGCGATCATGTATTATCAAGAGAGCTTTAAATTTTACCAAACCTACTTTCGATTCTGATGTCTCTTATTTAAGCAAATATATGGACCACTCTAGCTATACACCAGACAGTACACTGAATGAATATGATGTAGAAATTGTTGTAATTGAAGAACTACCACCAGTACACACGAAACATCAAAAAGAAAAGTTGTTTGAAGCACTCAATTACTTTTTATCATTGTTGAGAGATATTGATGTTAGAAAACGGAAACGGCTCATTAAGATTATTATCATCTCGGAATATTCGAGTTCATCCTCTGCCGAATATGACATTATGGTAAACTTACCAAGAGACTTCCTTGATCATTGTGAAATTGTAAAAATTCCAAAGGTTACTGACAATAAGATTTTGAAAAGGATTAAGGAAATTTGTAAACAAGAGCGATGTTCAACATTTATTGATCAATCTGAATTTGAAGAAATTGCAGAGTGTGCTAATGGTGATTTGAGGCAAGCCATTCATCAAGTTCAATTCTTTGCGAGAGGAGGAAAAAAAAAGATGAAAGATTTATTTGATAACAAGAAGAAAAAGAGCAAGGAAAAAGAAGAAATTACCAAAGTTTTAAAGATTGCCGAAAAACGAAAAACGAATACGAAAAAGGACGTCATTTACAAAACCAAAGACAGTTATCGAGACAGTGGTACCACGATTCATCACGCTGCTGGTCGTATACTGTATGGAAAACGGTTATCGAATGGTCAAGTTGAGTTTCATTTGGAAAGAGATGTCTTGGATCTGTACCGAACTGAAAAAAACACAAGTGCACAAACCCTTACGAACTATGTACAAGCAAACGCTCCATATTTTTGTGATGACATTCAAGCAGTGGCAGATTCCTTGGATAGCTTTTCAGAATGTGATTCTCAGTATGGAAAACGATTTGAAGCGTCCTATGAAGACCATCAACTGACCACCAATTGTTCACAGTACCAATTTTTGATTTCATCCAAATCCATTCTCTATAACTATCAAGGAAAGGTCAAAAAATTTGACAGCAAAAAATCAATACTTGCTCCAAAAGTTGTGAAAGCACTGTACAAGACACGAGAAGAGAAACTGAAACAACTGTTATTATATTTGCAATGTGAAGATAAGGATTCTGCCATGTTGGAAAAAGCCAATTTCTGCGCTCTTCCATTTGATCAAGTTGCCACTTTTTCGAACCTATTTGAAAAATCAGACATTTTTGAATGTCAAATTCCCTATCTACTAGAAATTCTAAAAAAATCAAATCAATTAGTTCCTTATGCAGTGAAAAACACAGCATTACGAAACATGCATAATTATCCCCTACAAGGAACGACTGGTTCCAAGACATTATTTATGAGCTCGGACGAGTACGAAACTTTGGATCTTGTTGTGAATTCTTCATCTCCTGGAATGAATCAACAATCATTGTCACAACAACAAACATCCAATTCATTCAGCCCTTCATTATTAGGAACGGATTCAGGAAATTCTTCGTCCACTTTTTCATCAACCAATTCCTCTCTTTTTGAATCCATTCTTCCAACCTTATTTAACCATCTCTCGCTTGGAAAGAATATGAAAGATGAGAATATCACCTACAAACTTCCTCCAGGTGAGGATATTGAGATGGACAGTGAGTTGGAAATTGATGACGACATTCTTGACTTGGACCTTTAGGGCTGTCTCCTGACTCTTGAGAGAGCATTCCAACATTGAACTCGATTGAGTGAAATATTATTAATACTTCACATTTGCAATCATGGACATTCGTTTTTCTTTGATTTTAAAAAAAATACAAATGGTTCTATGCAAGGATGTGTTGCGACTCGTCGCTTCCCATATTAACATGGAGTCTCTATCATCGTTTCGGTTGGTGTGTAGAGAATGGAATGCAAGTATTGAAAACGAGTGGGAAGTGGTTGTAACCAACAACTCAGCTTTAAATGATTCCAATGCGCAATCAGCCGAATCGGAAAACATATGCAATGCCTCTCCCCAAAATTCTACCAATCTTCATCTGTATCGGAATGAGTTTTGGATGGATAAATTGAAAACTTACTTTTGGAAATATTTGGAATATTTAAATCCTGTGCAAGAAGGAGAGCGAGGATATAGACAAGCACTGAGCCTAGAACAGAGATTTAATGTGTTTGTCCTGAAAGAACGATATCGAATACAAAGACATGTGAAACGACTGGAAAATAAGAAGAAAAAACTTGCTTCACAAGGTGATTTCATCTTTTCTATTCGACCAATCATCAAAGCTCAAAAAGAACGTGCACTTGGAAGATTTAAATACATGCTTCTTGTGCACAATGATGTCTGTAATTATTTATTGAAATTAGCATGTGATGAGATTGAGATTTATAATGCATTGGAAGATAACATAATCAAGCTATTGGAATGGTTTGTCAAAGACCTCATCAAGTCTGAAGATTTACTGATAAGATCATTCAAAGCCATGAAAAATAACACTGTTGATGCCATCACACTTGACAAATACATTACCACACATCATGACAATGTATCGCACACATTTTTCGACCATATGGAATGCTTTTCTTTTGAACAGTTTAAGGAACTTGCACATCACATTAAAGAGGCTCCCAAAACAGAATTGATACGAACGAAGGTGATTATACATTTATTTAAACAGGTTCTTTTGACAGACGACGTACAAAATATTGACATTCTTGCAGAAATTCTAGAAAGAAAATTGGGAAAGCCTCTATTTCATCAAACTCTGTTTAACAATTTCTTAAACTCATTCGATGACTCCAGGCATCCGATTTCTGTGTTTTGGGACAAACACAAACTTTTACTTTACATGGAAAAGAAATTTGATGTATCAATTGGAGCATCATATTTAACACAAATTCTCTCTTTCAGTGAAGAAATGAAACCTGACTCTAATATTGTAGAAGAATTAATTAGAAAACATTATCAACAAGATGTTAAAAAGATTGAAACATTCCTTCATTTCACTCTTGCAAGATCATTTCGGAAGAAACGCTTTCTACGGTTGAGACCGAAACCCAAACTATTTCTATATGAGATTTTGGAATATTTAGTCTTGACCTACAACTTAAATTTATTCAACTATGCTCCTTCTGAAACTTATATACATTACGAATCGAACCTAATAGAGTATTTCCTTCAATGGTCTTTTTCTCAAGAGAACTGGAATATGTTGCTGTTCATTATGAAAAAGCAAATCGAGAAGAATAATCATGTCGATTTGTATTCTTATTTTGAGGTTGAAACTGTTGGCTCGAAAAGTGTTGAAAAACTCAATTTCGCAAGTTTTAAAAATTCAAAAAGTCTTCAAAGTTTTATAGTGTTGGCTCGACTTGGAAAATGCAGGTCGTGTGGTGGACATGCAGAGATTGAATTTTTCGAACAACAAACCAATCTCATACCAACTCTTAAAGAAAAATTTGAAATGGAAGTGGAAAAGCAAAGACAATTAAAAGAGGAGATGCAGAGGTACCGGACAGACTGGAGATAAAAGTAAACACCAGTCACTCGACCACACGTAATATCATCAAAAGTTTCCCAATTTGGTTGATTTCATAACATTGGTCAACCAGCAAAATCTCACAAAAAAAAATGTCCCAACAAGCTTCTTCCCATTTTGCTCTCACACCCGATCAAATTAATTCTTTCAATCAAAACGGTTTTTTGATCATTGAAAATTTTATTCCTTCCGAAACGAACACTCAACTCCGAGAGAGGATCAAGTATGTGGTTGAACATGAATTTCATCCCAACAAAAACCACGCCGTCTTTTCAACTTACAAGCAAGACGCTAAACGAGATTTAGAAAAGTATTTTGAAGATTCGGTTGATAACATTTCCTTCTTTCTGGAAAAGAACGCCAATATTGATCCCGAGACTGGAGAATTAAAACAAGATAAATTCTCATGCATTAACAAAATCGGACATGCCATTCACGAGAAAGATGAAGTATTTAGACAATTTTCTCATCAACCAAAACTTTATGAAATTGTAAAAACATTATCACACTTTGAAAGACCTATTATTTTACAAAGTATGGTGATTTTCAAACAACCATTCATTGGAGGAGAAGTCATTGCTCATCACGATGCAACTTTTCTTTACAATGAAATAGAACAAGATCAAACAGAAAACCCAGTCATTGGTTGTTGGTTTGCTTTAGAAGATGCTACTCGTGACAATGGTTGCTTGTGGGTACTTCCAGGGTCTCACAAATGGGGTTGTATCAAAAGATGGGTACGAGTACCTTCCGAGGCAGATCCAAACGCACATGATATGAAGATGGAACCTCTGCAACCAGAGTTGCTTCAATATACCACAGAAATGAACTATGAACATGACAAGTATATTCCTGTGGAGGTGAAGAGTGGAACTTTGGTCGTATTACATGGCTATTTACTTCACAAGAGTTTCGAGAACACAAGTAGCAAGTCACGAGAGGCATATACCTTACATATCTTGGATCAAGCGAAACCTTTTGCAAAAGGTCAATGGATTCAACCAAAGAGAGAACTGGTGAATTATTTTGAGAAACAAAATGAGTAAGGGTAACAAAAGGCACTACTGCAAATAGCATGACTTGAATAAACTTGAAAGAGCTGTAAATCAGGCCGTTAAGTGTGAAAAATTTGTTGTCAATTCTTTTGGATGGGATTTTTGGAAGGCATAGAAATAGAAATCGAGAAACCTCGGATTGGGTCCAGTAGATGATGACATGAGGAAGGGTAAAACGAGGGCTTGTCGTCTTTGAACTCCAACCATTCACTTCTAAATAGAGCATACTCCCAACTCGTAAACGTTGATTCAGGCGAAGATGCAGACAAGACATCATTCGAATTGCAATTTGAATTGGGTTGGCCGTTGTACCGTTGCTCAATAAGATCACATGTCTTTGTGATTAGGTCTTTTAAATTTTCCTCCATTTTCAATAAATGTGCTTCATCCCCTTCGTCCACAACATTGGTTAATTCCCACAAGAAATCCAAAGAGCGACAATATCTTAATGCTCGTTTCATAACTCTCAAGGCTAGTTCATGTTGATTCTGAGGTAAAAGAATCCTTCTCACATAGAACGAATAAATCGGAAATAAAATTTCTTTAATGGTGTCATCAACAATGTTTTTGGGACAATCACACCCAAATTGCTGTTCCAATGTATCTATAACAGCTGCAAAATTTTGTTTCTCTAATTCAACTTTTACCAAGTGAATCATGGATGATAAATGACTCTCCGAAGAAAGTTCGATTTTACGTTTTTTCATTTTTTTCGGCTTTTCCAAAATTTAGTTTTCAAATTATTCTTGAAAACTCTCAAATTCTTATCTGAACATGTAGGTTCCCTTTTTTCTTGGCGTGTTATCACCACTATTTGCACCACTACTTGCACCACTATTGTAGCCACTGCTGTGATTATGGTGCTCTGGAATTGTCAGAGAATCTGCATACGTCAGAGTAATATTATCTTGAATCAAAATGTCATCACCAGAAGTGTGAATTTGATCTGTTGAAGATATTGGCATGTGAGGCTTAACAGTTGTTGGTGTTGCTGAGGATGCCTTTCTTGATCTAGACTCTGAGACTGGAGGTGGGTTGACTCTAAACTTTTTGATAAATCGATGTAAATTGAGATAGTACCCAGGACATAACCATGTTCCATAATGAGTACCTTCTTCGAAGCGTTTGACGTAACAATAATCACCATATCGTTCACAATAAACTTCAATCAGAGTATCCATATGCAAGGGAGGTATTAATTCGTCTTTTCTTCCACTGATAAATAAAAAGGGTAAGTCACCATTCAATCTCTTTCTGTGAAAATCATTTCTGAACGTAGAATATTTCAAAATTGCTTCATTATCCCACTTATTAATGCAAAAATATTGTAAAATTGGAACCACATATCTGTATGGAAATAGAGAAGGAATTAGTTTAGGTACAGAAATAAAAGTATTTTCCACAATAACGCCTCGAACAACATTGGCATATTTTGAAGCAAGATAGATTGCCACAGCTCCTCCTAGACTTCTTCCGAATATGAAAATATTGTTAGGATTAATGTCCGATCGTTTCTCCAATAAATATCGGATTGCAGTTTCTGCATCATTCTTTAAACCTTCTTCTGATGGTTCACCAGTACTTCTTCCATAACCTCTATATTCTACCATAAATATGTTACATTTACAAGAGCGATACATGTCTCTAGCATTTGTCAATCGATGTGAAATATTTCCAGCATTACCATGAAACATGATAATTGTTGGAGTGTATTGAAGTTGTTTCTTGTACTGCAACATCATGCTAGAAGTTCCCTTCTTGATCTTTTTCTTTGTATCCTGCTGTTGTTGGGGCAGATTATCACCTGATAAGCTGTTTCCTTGCGTTGATGAGGATGACGAAGGTGAGGTGATACTGCTACTCGAGTGATGAAAAGAAAATATTGCATCTTCATCATCATTGGCCTGGTCTGTGGACTTTTTATGTTGCAAGAATGAAGAATCAACAGAACCACCTGATGGTATATATCTCAGAAACCAACAATGGATTTTTGCTTTTCCATCCAGCGTATCCAACATGATGTCTTCAAAGGGAAGATTGAATATTGAAGGTAAATATTCGAGTATTCTTGCCTGCCCTCGGGGCATATAATTACAATATAATAGCCAATTTTGTTTGTAATAGGCAAACGAAAAGAGAAAAACAAAAGGCAATGAGCCTAGTAGCCAATACAGCATCTTGATGTATAATTAATATACAAATAAGAGTATTTTGTTCAATATTATTGTTGATGTAATTTCAGTGTTGTTGTTGGTGTTATTGATACAATTATTCTTGATGATGTTTGTCCGATATCCAAAATATTCCTCTCTCACCACTTTGTTCTAACACAAAATTGTGGTGATGATTTGCTGAAAAACAATCTGCTGACTTGGTGTCCGTAATTACAGAGGTATGTGCTACAATTGTTTTTTAGTTGAAGGACAAAACACACTTTGTTGTTTGGTGATGTTTTTTTCGAGAATTGCAAAACGTACAAATTTGGATTTTAAAAAGAAAAAAAAATTCTCAAAATAAATACATGCAACCGTCCCTTATTAAGATGGATGCAGGGACGAATAAAACAATCATTTGAGGCTTTACTTCCATAGCACCCTCTCCAGATACCGCATGATCAACAAGGTCACAATTTTTCAACCACATGACAACTTTCACCATCCCTATTTCTCATTCCTTGGTGGGCACAACATCCGTAAATTTCCTCAACAATCCAACTGAAATTGGATCAGAACGGGACTGGTTGATAAGCTCATATTCTTTGAATAACCTTAACTATAATAACAAAATCGTGATTCCACAACAACCTTCATCAAACTAAAATTCGTGCAATTTGGATGTAAGGTTAGAAACCTTTAAGGCCTTGTTAATGATGTTTGAGGCAAATACTGATTTGTTGAGATTGAAATATCACTCTCCAAAAAAACTATGCACAACCAAACAACCGTTCACAAGACTATCAAGGAATTTCATCGAGAGAAAAGAGTGACTTTGATCGTCGTGGAGGGATGTTCAGCAAGAAGCAAACTGCTCTTTTTGCGAACCCATTAACTATTTCGAAAACAACAATATCTATGTCGAATAATTATGAATTAGCGAGATGGAATCTTTGCATTTGTGAAATCGTTGGTACAGCATTATTTATTTGGTTTCTTGATCTACAGGTGTGTACCAATGCTCTTCATCTTGCAATTTGTTGAAAATCTTGTCAATTCTCTCTAGTTTGTTTCCATAAGCAAAGTCCCATTGATACAAGGTCACTAATGTGAACGCTAGATATGGTATCACTGCTGCAGGGTGTACATGTTTTCTCTTAATTGTCATTCCTGTTGTAATGAATGCATGGAATCCGGCGAACCACCAAAAACGTTCTCTGGCAACAGCTACTTGAGTGGCAATTTGCATTCTCTTCATTCGTTCTTGCATGGCAATTTGTGATTTCTTTTGAGTTACAGCCATACGATCTTGCATCTCCAATTGGAGAGCTCGTTGTTTTTCTGCAAAAGCATTAGCAAATGAATTTCCCATTTTCTATATTCAATTTGTAAAGAGTGTATATTTTCCGACAGTGATGGTGTTGATACAATTACAAAATCAACAATTCCGATGGTAAATTTGTGGTGTTTTCAAATTAAAGATGGAGATCAGACAAGCTAGCCTAGCCAATAAAAGCTCACCGATGACTCGTTGACTTTGAAGAGCGAAATGATCACAACAGCTGACTCTGTATTTTTTGTGTTTGGTTTTTTGTTTGAGTTGAGGAATTTGAGAGATTTATTTGTGTTGAAAGGTCCGCTATTCATGCGAGTCGACGCACTTATTCGGAGGTTTGTGTGATTCAACAGCTCAAATTAGAGCACTGATGAATGAAGATCAATGACTTGGAACGCAACTCCAGATTCATCTGATCAGGAAACTCAGTAAAAAGTTGCGTTCTGCCAGAAACAGGACAGTTTGTTACAAAAAAAATGTTTGTTGGTCACACCGAGACCCAATATCATATTTCGGAATTATCGGATACAGCAACAGTTCTTCTCATTGATTTTCCCACAGCACCACGTGTATCAACCCATGGGTTATACGAGCATGATCTCATGTATGAAAAATTGAGAGAAAAGATGAATGAAAAACGAAGAAAAGCAAAGCCTTTCGCTATGAAGTTTGAGGTGATCCATACATTTGGTCATTGGAACAAGGAGGCTGGTCATTCAAATCAACATTTTAACTGGCCGTGGGATGTAAAGATTAGTTATAACCATCAATGCATACTGATAGCAGTAAGTCATGGAATGTGGAGAGAAATTTATTAATTTGAAAATCGCAAAATTGTTAATCAATTAACGTTTCACTATTACACTTTAAATATTGAAAAATGTAAAAGGATAATAGTAATTGTAGAATTCAAGTATTTGATTTGCTTTCCAAAGTGTACAAAAAAACAATCTCCGTGATGAGCCCGTTTTATTTATGCATTGAGGAAAATTATGATAGTAGAGGAAATGATGCTTTGATTTATGTGACAGGAAGTTGTATCATTCACAAACACGATTTACGGCAATTGCTAGAGACTGGGAATACAAACCAAACAATTTGGCGCTCTGAATTGTTAAGAGTTCCTAGAGGGATAGCTATTCACCCTGTTTTGAAACAACTTTTTGTGAGCGAAGTGACAGCACGAATAATATTAATTTTGAGCTTGGATACTGGAAAACTAATTTCACAATTTTCCGTGGAAAATCAACCTTGGGGATTGGCTTTCACTGACGATAATGATTTGATTGTGAGTGAAACGTCACCACAGCACAGAATTGAAATATTTAGAAAGCTTGGGAAGGAATGGACAAGTGTTCATACTTTTGGACGAGAAGGACATGCACACGGTGAGCTTAGTCATTGCTATTCGGTAATCTATGACAGAGCTGCCCATCACATTATTGTGAGTGGTAAGTTTATGATATTTGAACCATCATAAAACAACCTTAATTATTGACCTCTCATCAATGATCAACGAATCACCAAGAATACAACAATGACAGAATTCAAGTATTCACCAAGGATGGACAATTTCTAAATGCATTTACTGGATTCCAGACACAATTTCTTAAATGGCCGAACGGCTTGTGCTTGAATGAGCTAACAGGAGAGCTTTACTGTTGTGACTCTCAAAACAATCGAGTGATTTCTTTCAAATAAAGTCTCATATTAACCATGATAAATCATTTCAATTCGAGTTTTTCAGTACAAAAAAAATGTTGCCTTCGTTGTCTGGAACGATCAGCAGCGACCACGACACGAAGAAGAAATCTCATTCCGTTTCATCATCATTACACCCTCTTCCTCCCAATTATGATGCTTCCTGCCTCTTGTTTGCTTCAGGAAAGAACAAATATGGAGCTCTCAGCACAGGTCTCAATGATTTTACGAATCGGACCGTTCCCACCACGATGGTACTCTTTGAGAAGAAGCCTTTGATCGGAGGTGGATTTGTAAAATACAAAGACAGCAATAATTCATCTTCTCATGATGATTCAAACAATGTTGAGAATATGGATGTTGGTTCTATAACTATTTCGTCTGAATCCAAATCTCCTCCTTCATTGGAACAAGATCAACAACAGGAATTTATTCCTACCATGATCAAGAAGGTTGTTTGTGGAGCCTATCATTGTGCCATGCTCTCGGAAGGAGGTGAAGTCTATGTTTGTGGATTTAATTCTTTTAAAGGAGTATTGACGCATGCAGACAAGTTGGAAGTGTTTCAACCTCTGAAATTCGAGAAAAAAGTTAAATGCATGAGTAGTGGATGGTTTCATTTGATGATTTTGACAGAAGACGATGAACTTTATGGTGTGGGTAAGTGATGAGTGGAGAGTAATTTATGATGGAAAATTGCAATGATTGAAAAATTAGGATTGAATTCAAGCGGACAATTAGCAGTTGTAGGTACGCCGACGAATTTTAGACCTTTCGATCATGTATACATTTCATAATTTTTTATTACGTCATTAAGGGAGATTTAAACAAACGTGACACATTTACAAAAATTGAAATACCAAAAGATGTCAAATTAACATCCGATGAAGAGAACACCAACATTTCTGGGCCCGTGAGCGAAGAAATTAACAACCAATCAGATAGCTCTGATGATTTAGTCCAGGTGGAAACACCTCATTGCATTTCAATCAAAAAAATTTGTTGTAAAGAACATCATTCGGCTCTCATAACCGAAACTGGAGTCCTGTTTGTGGCTGGTAAAAACAATATGGGCGAATTGTCATTAGGAAAAGGATCTTCCAAACCTGCTGTAAAAGTGTTCACAAAAGTAGATACTTCATTTGTTGCGAAAGATATTTCCTTTGGCAAAGACCATGCTGTTGCGCTTTCAGAAGATGGGTTCTTGTACGTTTCTGGATCGAATGAAATGGGGCAAATAGGTGAGTGTTCATAAGGACTGGATGATTTACAAGAATAACAATGACCATTCTTTGACAAATTGTAAAAGGTCTTGGAAACATCAAAAGTGTGAAACGATTTACAAAAATTCACTTAAGAATTGGGTACAAAATCACAAAAATTGCATGCGGGTTCATGCATACCACAGCGATATGTAATGTTGGAGGAAATATTGTCATGGCTGGATGTAACTTGAACGGAGAGCTTGGCTTGGGAGACCGTCAAAAAAGGACTCGATTTACTTTATTGAAAACCAATCTCATTCCAAAGCAAATTGCTTGTGGTGCCTCACTCTCTTTACTGCTAACTGATCAATATGCATACAGTTGTGGTATTAATACGGATGGAAGGTAGGTTTTAACAATGTCAAATATTTGGTCGTGACAGCGAATGTCTGACGATATTGAAATTTTCCCATAGATTGGCAACAGGAGATACTGCTCAATTTTCAGCAGCATACAAAAAGATCAAAACAATGACCACAGACATTATCAATCGAATAGCTTGTGGTGCCTTCACTTCACATTTTTACTTTTCACACAGAAAGGCAATTCTTGACTCGCTCCCAATTCTCTCGTTCCCTATTCGGCATTATTCTTGGAACAAAGTTCATGAATCTGTGTCGCTTTTTGGTTTTGAGCCGCTATTGAAACAGGTTGTACCCAAGTTCTATTCTAATGTTATTTGTAACACTAATTTTTTATCTACTATGAATTCTTTTCAAATTTCTATTGTACAATGGATTATTGATTGCATACAGGGACATCAGACCAAGAAAAAGGAGCTTATTCATTTCCTCGTTAGATTAGATTTCATCCAAAAATTACAATTTTTATATTGCCTTAATCACTCGACATGCGATGTTTTTGTTGAGAACGTGAAACGATTTGTGTTTCTTTTTCTCATTGAACAAACTCAAGAAAAGTTTCGTGACGTTAAAAAAGATGATGTGGACTATATAATATTTTTATCTGAACTTGAATCTCTGATGGAAAGTTTTGAAGAAAAATCCAATGAAACAAATCTTGTCATGCACAGAGAGACGCCTTCAACCACTTCACTTCTACACAAATTATATCAATTTTTTTCGAAACAGCAAAAAGTTCAATATTTTCAATCACATCCCATTCAAGAGAGTTTTAATCATGGCTACTTATTTTCCAAATTGTATAACGACCCAACAACAAGTGATGTTAAGGTAGTCATTGATGCAAAACAGAGTAACATTGTTCACTTGCACAAAACCATTCTCTCATCAGCTAGCCCAGTATTAGAAAAGATGCTAAGCGAAGAATTTGAGTTTAGTCATGAAAAAGATATTCTCAATCTTTATGAATTTGAAAATGACTCGTCTGAAAAACAAACAACAGATACTGAAATTATTTTGAAGGAAAAGGCCATCAGAGGAGTATTACAGAGCTGTTATGGATCTTTGAAAAAACAGAAAAACAATCTCGACGATTATAATGACATTTCTCTTGTTATTTGTATGCTGTACCATGGAAATATTTTACAAATGGATCATGTCATTCGATTTTGTTACCAACGACTTTCCAGTGTTCTCTCTGTGGATAATTTTCTGGTAGTATGCAAGTGGCTTTTATTATTTGGTGATGAAACCTTCTTTGCACGAACGAATGACAACACAGTCAGCAATTCAAATCCCATGATTGACATCTTTCAATTACTCACAGAGTTTGCCGAGCTGAATAGCACAGAGTTGGCTGCCATATACAAGAACAATCCATCTGAGTGGGACAATATTCCTTACATTCAATCCATCTTGTTTAAGAAAAATAGTACAGCTACTACTAGTACTACTATCAAACCTACAGAAAATTATGGTTCGCAACATGTGACGCATTCAAAGAAATGTTCCATTCAGTAATTGGTTTATGTAAGGTAGAATCATTAATGTTTAAGGAATGAGGATAGGGTTGGAGAAAATTTGAATCTCTCGTTCAAAAGAGAAGAAATGTCAAAATTGTTGTGAGAAATATTGGCTGTCATGTCACAATAGCCGCTGTTAATTGTACTTGGAAAGGGTGACTGCAAGGAAAATAGCCCATTCTCTGATTTGATGAGCGATGAATCATCCACTATTGAAGTTGACGATCTAAGACCTACCATTCCAGAGGAAGAAGCACTACCAACCAGCTTGATGGAGCCAAAATTGCTTGGCAAAATACTTTCATATTTTCTCATCATGGGAATGACTGTGGTGGTGGTGTGATTGAAACTAGACGGTGATGGAGCGCATTGGATTAATTGAACTTGATCCATGAGAAAGTGCACCTGTTCAATCACTAGTTTTTCAAATTCATTACATGCCAGAGATAATTCTTGCATACGATTGTTATTGTTTGCAGTGCTTACATAAGAGGATAGTATACGTTCACGATTGTGACTCGTAGGTATTAGAGCTAGCTCTCTAATATATTCGTACATGTTGAAATAGAGTCGTTGAGCTTGCTGTGCAATATAATCAAATAACAGCCCAACAGGAATAATACATTGATTCTCTGAATATGAGTTGTTGGACATGTGTGTTTTCGAATGAGACGACTGTAAATGAAAGAGTAAATACTGCATGATGTTGTCTCTAATAAACTCTGTAAGATGTGAATGAGGAGATAACTTGTTTCGTTTGTTGTGGTTATTACTGTAAGAAGAGGTGGGAGAGTCTTCACTACTGGAAGATGGAACGATCATTCTTGTTGTGGCATTAATAATATCTTGTTCGGATTCAAAAAGAGGATGGAGCAGTATGCTAGAACACTGATGGTTGGTGTGATGGAGAGAGATGAAGTGATTTTTGGAGGTTCAGTTGTATCGTGATTAAAAGCGAAAAAAGAGTGTTGTATTATTTGCTGAGGATCTTCCTCGTCCCATATTGGTGATGCATCTAACGCATTGGGTTCTTCCGAGGATGAAGAGGAACGTCTTTTTCGTTTTTTCAAATAATCAGTTACATTTGCACCATGATGATCATCGTTCGCTTGGGCATGGGCTAGGCTTTGACTCGTATTCATCCCTGGTAATACACAACAACCAGAAAACAGAAGATCATGAATAAAATAAAATTTTTTTTGTCCTTGGATTTAAAGCGGAGTTGCTCAATTTCAGCCAAAACGAGTGTAACCATCAATGAATATAATTGTTGTGTTTTATTGGAGTTGTTGTTCACCCAGCTTTGGTGCTGTTGAACTGGGAATGCAAAGCTACCTACAGCTTTGTGGCGTACAATGGAGTCAACCTCAATCTCGTCACTTCAAGTTGAAATGATTCTAATTCAATAACTCTTGTATGGAAATGGAAGTTCTAACTTTGCGAGCGGATTTTTGAGGCATACCACAATTCAAAGACATGTTCGAATGGAAAGAAAGTGTACTTTCATCAGAAGGTGAAGAACATAATTGCATGACTTGTTGTACATGATGTTGAGATGATGAATGTGCTTGAAAAGAGGAATAACACATAATGGAATGGTCATGAACCAATGGTTCTTGTTGTGCTGCTCGACTCGTTGATACGGTATTCATCAATACTGTTGCTGATGAGGAGTTGGCACGACACAAAAACCGATTCGTGCCACTTGCAGTGGATGCTAAATGATGATCCACGACAGCACTGCATGGATAGGATCTCTGGCAGTTAACATCAAGACACGACATGGTAGTATTTTGAGAAGTGCACAAGGATGGTTCCATCATGATTGGACGATTGGTCGACGAAGAATTCTTCACTCGATTCGTCGTCGAAGTAATAGCAGCCGTCGAGGTCATACATGTTTTGGCAGTCTTCTTGGTTCGTCTTCTCAAGTTTCTGTTACAGATCTGTTTGACTTGAGGAATGTTCACAAAATTATACAGAGTTTGTTCCAAACCATTGGGATTTAACTTAAACTTGAGAACATGAAACGATGGAAGTTTGAATGAAGAGGTCTCTTTTGGCATTTTGAGTCTAACGTGTGTTGTAAATAATAATAATAAAATTAAACCACAGAAATTTCAAAGTGTGGAGTCTCCTTCAGTGAGTAATGAGTAAAAGAGGCAAAACAGTTGGTAATGATTCACTGCAATGTTACTCGTATATGTGTGTGTATGTGCGTGAGTGTGTGGTTTTCTAAAATCTCGTTGTTGTGTTGTTTCTTTTCGAGTTTGCAAGCTCTGCCCTCATTTCATGCGTTCGTTTTGAATCCAATAGGTTGTGTCAATCGCTTGAACGATCGTATAAACTAACCACTTGATTTCTTTCTTGGGAAATCACCTTGTTTAACAAGATATTAGTGATTTTGAGTAATCCTTGCTCATATTGTGGTTGGATTTACTTCATCCCTTCATGAAAGAAGACATTCCACACGCGTCAAGAGTCTATTTTCGGAAGTTTAGCAAATATAGAATAACTGAGAGTTTTGGTACGATCGTAGCAAGAAAAGACACACAATCATGAAAATAGTGCAACGATCTTGAGAGTCTCTTGTACAAGTGACATTGTCGTTTGTTCTGTTGCATGCAACGAGTGAGAAATCTAAAATGGTGCATCAGCGCAGTCGGCGCTCGCAAGTGAAAAATTGGGCGATTGGGGATTCTGAGCTCAGCAACAGCTCACATTGCAGCAGATCCGCACTGTTCTCCAACTTGATACAATTGAAATGACGGTATTTGGCCTAGAACTACGAGTAAGTCATGACATGCCTTGTGTGAAAAATGGACTCCTTATTGGTAAACCACTAGTTGAGCTCCTTGCATGATTTTGATGCCATTCAAAACATGTTCATTTTAACATATCTCACAGATTGTATAAAAATTATTGTATCCACTGCATGTCTTGGGACAATTTTGGACTCTACCAATATTATTTGTTATCTTCTGGAATGTGCAATACAGAAAGCACAAGCTTGGGAGCATGCACGATTCGGAAGAGTGAATCCTCAGTTAATTCGGAGCTGGTCACACACACCACACGTAAATTCGGTCCTCGTAATGATATATTGGCATGTAGTTTGCTTATTTGTGAAATTTTCAAATATTTAAGCCAATGATGCTCCTGTTCCTGTGAGCAACAAATTTCCATAGATTCCATATTCGTGAAAATTGCATGTTTTAAAAATGGCATCCAATGCAAGTTCACTACTGACTCGTCCTTTACAGCTAAATGACAGTAAGAAATGTCAATGTATTTTAGATGTGAAAGTGTTGTGCGATCCAAGGTAAGTGGTGAACCTGAGGCAATTTTCAAGTTGGACAATTGTGGCAACACCAGTACTTCACTTTCGGTACGATTGCCAAAATTTGAAAGTTGTGTCACAAATTTGTTTTCTTTTCCGAATGGAGTGGAAAAAAACATTTGTTTGCACATTTCTACATTGAGAGTCTCTGTGTTCAGATTGAAGGTTTCACAGGTACGGTGCTCTGATGTTACGTTAAGACGTTTGATCGTTGAGAATCCACTTATAAATTCTCTGATCGTATTGGCTATGTCGTCTTCATTCTCGTTGTATCCTGTACAATGGAACGAGAGAGTTTCAACTTCTTTCATGTCCATGATCTGTATACAAGGTAGCATTGCCAAGCTAGCAATTGGAGATTCAATGGTGATTGAATTATAGTGACCGTAAATCCTTTGTATTGCGCCATTCATTGGTGGTGATGTCTTTAACTGATCACAATATTTGAGATTGACTTGGACAGTAAAACTCTCAAGATGGGATCCAATATTGAGAACCAGGCTGTTCACATAATTTGAACCTGTAATTGAAGCACTTTTCGTAACATTTCCAAGAGCAAGGTTTCTTGGACAATCTTCAACCATGACCTCGAAATCATCCATGGTAATATTCACCGATTTCATTTGCCTTGATTTCTTTTTTAAAACAATCGTTGGAGATGGTGTTGATACTTTTTCATTCGACGAAATATCTTGCCAAGTATCCTCTGGCTTTGAAATTATGTTGAACAACAACGTTCGCAATGTCTGGTGTTGATTCACCCAAAATTCAAAAAGAAATATACTTGGCATTTTAGAGTTTCCATAAGAATCAAAGTAAAGGGTATGTAATTTAGGGAAAGGTAATTGATAATCTCCAACCAGGCAGCTCACTTGCAAGTCAAAATGCACCATAGCTGGTAAATTGAGGCCATTGAGACAGACTGACACAGGGACCTCTTCAAAAAAGCTACCAATATTTACCTGATCCTGAATGCCTAACTGTTTTATCGTACTTGGCACAATAAATAAACAATACTCTTCTCTGTACTTTTTAGCAAAAAGATCGTTAACGAGTTGCAAGTTCATGGCAGTTCTAACATATAAATGTGTCAGACATTGTAATTTCTGTGCAATGATGTGCCAACGTGAAATGTCCTCCTCAGAATTAATATAAATATTGAGATATTTCAGCTTGGGAGCTAACGATAAGAGAGCATTAAAAATTTCATCATTGCTCAATTGTAAATGAGTCACACAAAGCTGAACTTTCTGTAAATTAGGAAGTTGATTGTTGCATACATCTGCCAATGACTTCAAAAAAGTGCATGTTTTCTCATCAGGCACATCCACAGTGACGCTTTTGACATTAGGATGTGTGTCAATTATTGGACGAATATCGACACAGCCATCAAAAATGTCGAGATGAGTAAGGGAGTTGAATACGAAATTACAAGCCTGTAAATATCTGTCATTTGGAAAAGGCATGACTGGAAACGACAAGAAATGTGTAATGTTTGGCAAATTGTGTTGCCACAAATTCATAATTTCTTGTGGATTGCTATCCACTGGTAATGGTACCTCTAATTTTCGAATGAGTAATGGATCACAAAATGTATGTATCCAATCTATGTATGCTTTTGCTGCCTGTTGATGAATGGAATAGTAACATGACAAGTTGCTGCTGCAATCGTTCTCATCACCTTGGAGTGTGATACTTTCATCTTTAAAATTGGAATATTTCTCAGCACATGGCAATAAAAGAGGCAAATCCATCAAGTAGCAACTCAAAAACACTTGAAAACGAGCAAACACGCTTCCCCAAAAGTATCCATTATTCTTCAATTTACATCTCAATGTACGATTTACTTGAAGAAATGAAAACAAATCGTTAAAACATCGCTCTTTTCGCTCCTCTGGTGAAGGTAACAAATAAAAGAAAATAACGTCAAATATTTCACAAGGTAAATCACAGAGAGTGTATCGGGAGAGTGATTGGAGATCGAGTGCTGAAGAGTCTATTGCATCATGACTTTCCGAAATGTTCGTTTCATGGTTGTTGGTGAGTTGTGTTGTGAAGGGGCTCTTTCCATGATGATGGATGTTGTCGTCTGATGAAAATGTGTGATCATCGGAATACTGGCCCACCGAAAGAGACATTTTTTTCAGTCTATTCTCTTTTGGCAAATTGATTGCTTTCAGGCTTGCTTCTATCAGATTTACAGTTATATTGAGAATGCTTAGACATCCAATATATTTCCTCTGATTCTCCGATAGGTTTAATTGTTGACATGTTTTTGAATGTACTCAATTACAGACATGAAGTTAATACTTGTTGTTCCAACTTGTGAGCTATGTTTACACAAACACACACGTTGTGCTATTCCGTCTCACAATGCACATAGATGGCACGGTTGAGTTGTGGGGAGAGAAATCTCACTTCTACAACGTTCTCTCCTTCCCAACTGTAAACTGAAACAGAAAAATTCTATGCTGAAACCCCTAATAGTATGCGTGTCACCAACAGTTCCATGTTGCCTTGTTGCTTTAACAGATTCACAGGAAACGTGCTCGGAGACCTTACTCGAGCCTCATTGACTGCCTTTGAAGATTTAATGATATACGGAGGTAGAGATTGAGTAATAAGGTCTTCATTCATTTTAAGTTTTCCAACTTAACTTTTGTTCTTCACAAATTGTTGAAACGTTCTTCTGTAGTGAGAAATGATGGAATATTGGCGGAACTCAACAAAAAAAATTGCCATAATTGAGGAATAGCGTGCAGGTCCCACCATATTGCGAACGAAATTTTCTTTTGAACGAACCATCAACAGCTACTACCGTTATCTGTAATATATTTCAAAATTAAATCCGAACATCTAAATGCCTCGGAATGCTGCTACTCATGACATTGAATTAAATGCGCCACCCACACCATCATCACTGACATCAAGCACGATAGATCCTTTCAACGCTGAAGAGAATGAAGAAAATAAGAAGGAGATCAAGTGCAAGGCTATTTTCCTTTCAATATTTACAATATTTTTCATGTTATTGATCATACCACAATTGAGTTTGTTTGTGTATTTCTATTTGACTGTGAATAGTGATCCTCGATTAGCAAATGATCCAAATGCTTTAGTCTTTAAACATGCAAATTGTTGTACTATTGAGGATTCCCGAGTAGATTGTGTGAAAAGTTTGAATGAAACTTTTTGTAAATTTAAAATTTCCTTTCCATTATTATATTTTGATGAAGAAGCTGATCCCGCAGACACTCGAGAGTGTGTTATTTCTCCAAACACTACATTTAGAACTTTGATAGACAGCAATTCTTTTAGTGTGAAATCAGAAATATTTTTTAAATATGCAGAATCTACTGTAAATGGAAGCAAAATTTACAATGCTACATGTTTCACAGATAGGAATGAAACTTTTGTGAGCGCTTTGCCATTTTCAAGATTGTATAACAGCTATTATATGGCGGCAATTGCAATGGGAATACTCATGTCAGGATTTTGTATTGCGATAATCATTGGATGGTTGGTAGTTCCTTTTATCAACATGAAACGAGAAGGTCCAAGAAGAAGGCGAAGGTCGTAGTAGAGAAAAAATCGTGCAACTGTTTTACTGAGACAGTGTAGAAGGATATGATATACAATCGGAGCTCAAAAATTGACGACTTCTTGCCATACCACAATGCTCCACTTTTGCTATCAACTCTAATGACCTCTGTTGCAATCGGCATGTAATAGTACAGGTACCATCCAAGGTGACAAGTTTCTCACACACCTGCCTTACATGAAAGAATTCTCCTTGAAGGATGTATTGCTTGGCTAAATCCAAATCACTTGAAATCTTGTGCTCTACCTCTGAGGCATCAGTTTCGAATTTTCTCAAGCAATACACCGAGGTTGGGTGTTTCTTTCCCTTGAGCCTGATGAAATCTACGAAAAAGCATAAAAATTCATTCCCTCTCGTTGACAATGCTTCAAATGTATTTTCTCCAATAAATATTGAACATGAGTAGGTTCTTGCTAAATGTTGCAATCTAGAAGCAATGTTCACATTGTCACCTATTGCTGTAAAAGATAGTCTGTTATTGGATCCCATACCTTAATATTAGAACAAATGTAGATCAATAAGAAAACATTCAATAATCCAACAACTTACATCCACAGAGCATTTCTCCACTGTTAATTCCAAAAGTTACCTGAAGCTTGGGAAAGTTGCATTCTTTCCATTTCATCTCAAATTCCGATAAACTTTCTAGTATATCCAGTGCAGCTCTACAAGCACAAACTTCATGATGGTCTTCATTGAAAAGTACCATCACCGATCCCTCAATGATCTTGTCAACGACGCCATTGTGAGTTTCAGCAATTCTGCAAACTGTTTCAAAAAATTCAGATACAACGTTCAAAAAAACGACATGATTTGCTGTCTCAGCAATTTCTGTAAAGCCTACAATGCCACAAAACATGACGGTCATGTTTCTTGGTTTCATTCCCACTTTAGTAATGTCTTCAGGTACGGAATGAGTACGAGACAGGCGCTTTTGGAAAATATGAGGCACGTATTTTGAAAGTGAGGCCAATCCGTTCCTTAATGTGTTCAAAGTATGGTTCATTTCGTAAATCTCTGTAAGGAAGGATTTGCTTTCTTTGTGTTCATCTTTTGGTTCTAGTCCTTGTAGAGAGAGAAACTTGGTCATGTTCCTCACAATGGAATACAGGTTATGAGAAATGTAATGCAAAATGATGAATACTATGAATGGTTGTACCATGAGCTGCAAAATAAAGAGAACAAACGCAACAACTCCACTTGTCAACATTTCTGCTACAAAAGACTTCTCCATGCTCACAACTACAACAGCCCAATCTAAACCATAATCATCATAGATTCGTGCCGTAGTTACCATCAGTTCGTGATTGTAGCGAAAAGATCCAGAATCATTTCTTAATAGACCGTTATCAAGGATAGATCGAGCAATATTGTTCTCATTGGCATACATACGGCTACTATGGCCAAGAATCTGACCTTTCTTATTCATGATAAATGTCTGCTCTGGTCTTCCGTTAGTAATGTTTCTTAGAAAAGATGTGAGATAACTCACAGTAAACTGGACTCCCACAAGTCCATATAACTGATCTATTTGAATAAATGGTCGGTCGTCGAGAGGAGCATACAAGCTCGTGTTCCTCCATTGAGCTACACTGTCGTTCAAAAAAATTGGGCAAACAAAATTGATGGCGTAGTCGCCATACACATTCATAAATACTTCTGACCAATAAGGACGCGAAGTGTTCTTGGTTAGATATTCGGTTAACCAAGGCCTAGATAAAGTGCGGTAAAGAATTGGTACTCTCTTGACAAAAATAAGGTCGTCGTCTGAAATAAACATCTCTGCCCTAGAAATGGGTACGGAGTAGAATGTTGTGACATTTCCCTCTGTCACCTCCATGGTGTTGTTGTAAAACCCAATAAAGTTGTTGTCGAACCTAGCAAACTGAAAATTAATTTGAGGATTTGAAAAATAATTTCTATAATGCATCAACATTTTCTGCCACACAAACATTTGTGTTAAATTCATGGCGGGCGTTGCATGGTAAAGCCGGTATCGAGTCATTGCATCAACAATGGACGGTATATTTGTCAGCTTGCTAGCATGTGATCGTAAATTAGCTGCGGTCAACGTTCTTTTAAATGATTCGGTCCCAATGTGAATGTCGTTTCCTGTCGTGTAGAGTAGAAAAAACGTGGCAAGCATACCAAGTAATCCTTGTGTGATGAACAGCACAAAAATGATGTTCGTCGTTGTCCTAGAATAATTCGTACATGATCGAAGCAACCAGTGGCTCGCACTAGCCTTCTTTCGTTGTGAGTCGTTTTTGAAAAAACACATCACGATGGTTGGTTGGGATGACTAATTTGTTTTTGCAATTGTATTCGTGCAACTCTCTTCAATCAACAGCTTGGATCTGTCTATTTTGGTTTCTCACTCTCGCCTTCCGTTAAAGGTAAATAAATTAATCTGGTGAATGTAGTCGGCCCGCACAATTTAGCCACACGTATCACTTGCTCCATTGTCGGTTATGATATCCTTTATCAAAGAAAAACGTATCTTTCGAGAAGGGTCCGTAGGAAAGCAATTAATCCTCTTGGAGATGCACATTTTTTTAAATGGTGATGAGATGATCGTTGTGGCGAGGACAATCAAAGTTATGGGCCCTATTGAGGAAATAATTATCATGATGAAAGCAAGTAGATAGCATGTTATCCCGCTTGGACTTTTCAAACTATTTTGCCAAATATTTATTCCTAGTTGCATCGTTTGAACAGCAAAAAATTATTGAGTAAAAACATGTATTAAAATGATTTCGTTATTAGATATCAAGTAAATAAAGGATTAATAATTTCTTTTTTGTATAGGAGGCATATTTAGAGATAAATCCTGTCGGCTAATAAGATGAAAAAGAAAATATGTACTCCATACGAAGTAACAACCTTGAAGTTCTTTGGATAAGCTGTGTTGTTGACGGTCACTTGGTTACCCAAGTTTCCGTTGTTTTCAAGCCTTAGAATTTGTCTAAGGAAGAATGAGGTTTCATCGTTTTATTTTCATCTCCCAAAACCACCAGAGCAATGATCGTCTATGGTAGATCACAAGCTTCATTCCGACTTTTTCCATTCTCATCATCGGTTCTCTAAATGTAAATATGATGGAGTGATGAAAAGAGAATTTTCCAACAAACATTCCATGCCAAAATTTATAACGTTAGTATTAATACAGGCAATTTTATTAATATATGAAAATGGTGCACGATGAAGTTGTGGTAAGATCAAAAGGAATTCGGAAAGGTAAGCACACCTGAAAAGGGAACCACTCGAAAAAAAACGCGTAACCGCTTTTCGGTTTCTAATTGTTCCTTTCATCACAATTTCAAACAAGCAGCAGCAAGTATTGGATCGGGTTGCTGTTGTTATTGAATATATATTGTGTGGATTTACGAGTAGGAGAAGCATCGTGTCCGTTATTTGAACAACAACAAGCGAAATTCTTCCTCTTTGCGCTAGTAGTTTTGCTCACAAATATATTCATCAAATCCACTTGTATTCTATTGTGTACATCTAGAATTTCTTCATTTGTATTCTAATAATATTGTTCATAATCTAATTTATTACATCATCAACAAAAAATTGTAAATCTCTGTCTGCTATTAATAATCACCGAAAATACATCAGCCATGCAAGAAGAGAGCGTAACTGTAAAGCTGTTCAATAATAACATCAATCAACAGAACAATGCATTATTGAATATTTCTCCAGGTCATCGTCACGGTACGGAGATGAGTGACAAGGAGTTTCAGAAAATGATAATGGATCTGAGGAAAGAACGAATGATGCTAGAGAAGAAGAACGCTTTTCATGAAGAAGAAGATGTTTTGCACGACTCGGCGTCAAGCACTGGTGAACCACTATTAACCGAAGCGAATAACTATGAAACACAGGCACTAAACGTTCTTCAAAATTATATACTTAAAGAATTTGAAAACGTCAAAGGTAAGCTGACGAAGGAGGTCCAAGAATTGGATAAATGGGCAAAAAACTCTTTGATTGATGAGTCGGGAAATGGTATTGATACGGAAGACCAAATGATTCAAGAGGATGGTTTTTCTCTCAAGTCAGTCTTTTTAGAACAATACCGAGTTGACAAAATATTTCTTGATAGACTTTCCACGATATACAACAATTTCAATAAGGAGTATTTTTCGTTTAGCAAAGCTTCCACTCTGCTCGAACTTCATAATTCAACAACCGAAGTAATTTCAGAGTACCAGAGAATGTCACAAAAGTTTTCGAAAGCCATATCCGAGTCACAAAATCGATTGCCCTCTATTGACGTGACAGATGCCACTCCAACGACATTTTCCAACAAGGACTTTTACCATGACGTTTCAAGCGACGATGACGATAGCGATGACGAGAGTGAAGTGGAACGAGTGGATGGCACTCTTCTTACAGATCATATTTTAGCAAATTATCGAGAAGATGACGATGCTTCACCATCTTATTCTATTACCACTAGCTCAACAGTTATTACGGGACCTTTTAGCCCTCTAATCACACCTAACACCAACAGACACCCAACTACTGCTATTTTTCCACACAAAGATTCGTCGATTTCAAATGATACCAATGCTGAGACAGAAGATGCCAGCATACTCGATTCCAGCAATTCTAACAATGTAAATAATAATAACCATGAATCTATGAATAGCACTCGTTCTGTGGAAACGGTGTGCCATCAACACATGTTACCAAACGAAACGCTTGATACTCCAGTTTCTTTGACGCCCATGAATAACGATACAGTAGTAATAGAATTATTACACATCATTATTGACCAAAGCATGGAAATATCAAACTCGTTTAACCACACGTACGCGAAAAACTTTTACAAACATGCTGATCTTAATAAATAACACAAATCTCAACAATATTAAACTTGGTGCTTTTGGTATAACAAGAATGCTGTCATCAATTAGAGAAAATGTGTAGTACATTTACAATTCCACATGACCATACTTTTCCCTAAATTTTGGAGCTAAGGCTCGACTGAAACGCTCTTTAAGGGCAGAAGGATTTCTTGATTCATGGAAAATGTCTCTATATTCAATAAGGATTCTTTCCCAATCATTTCCAAATTCCTCATAGCCTGATTCTAACGCTTTCACCTCTAGCTCTGTCCAAAATCTACTTGGTTTTTTTGGTGTTGACGCTGATTCCCTAATTATTGACCTAGCTACTGATGGATTCAGTCGTTCTTTCTTAGGTTTTCTTGTTCTCCTTGGTCGCTTTTTTCGCTCCTCTTCACTTGACTCAATTTCGAGAATAGTCTCTGGTTCATCAGACTCATATTCATTTTCAGTAGTAATGCTTGCTTCATCATCCTCCATTGTTTCTTCCAATACTTGAACCATGGCTTGATATTTCACATCATCCTTTTTTTTAGTTCTGTTGAGTATGAATTGGTTGTAATCCATCACATTGGAAGTAGATTTTTCAAAACTGCTCATTCCACATGTTGTATCCATGTCTCCGATTTCTGCTGTTCTTTCCTTCACTGATGAAATTGTGGAAGATTGTGAAATTGTGACAACTTCCACAAAGGTGGTTTCTTCTTTCTGCTGAGGTGTGAAAGGTGTTAACACAGTTTGTTTAAGTTTCTTCTTTGGTGTTACAACTGATTGTTGCTGCCGAGTCTGAGTTTGTGTGTCATTGTCATCTTTCCTATGAGATGATTCCGGTGTCTCTGAGTTTGCTGATGTTGATGTATTAGATGAAACTTTGGAAGCTTTCCGTAGTTGCTGAACAATCATGGGACAATCTTTCAGTATATTTATCATTCGTACTTGTTGAGGAAGACATGCATGAAGCTTGTCTATATTATTGATCAGTCCTTCAAGTGCCGCTTGTTTTTGCTTATTGTTGTTCTGGGGGCAAGCCTTGAGCTTTTTTTCCCACTTGTCTAATTTGGCTTCAAACGGTTTTTTATCAAAACTTGCCAACACAAAGATCTTATTTCCAAAATCCTCATCACTAATATCGGAAAGAAGATCTCGTAAAGATTTCATTAACTTGTTCAAACGTTTATCAAATTCATCGGGAGTGCTATTCAATACATCAGGTAATTCTCTAAATTGTGAAACCAATAGTCGTACACGAATAAAAACATCGTCCAAGATATAATTCGTTTCAAGTTGTTTTAAAAGTGCGTTGGCAACTGATCCGCAATGTTCAAGCAAATATTCCAAAATGATCGTATTGGCGATCGGAATGAAATCCGAGTCATCCTGATCCTCTTCTTGGTGTTTCATTTTTTTTTCAACCTTTTAAATGTAACGTTACACCAAACCAAGAGATACATTAGTCGTTTATTGTTCCAAGGACAATATCACTCAATTTTTCATTGTTCACTTTTTCTCCAAGTTTGTGAATGAAATGTGTGTTGAATTTTTTCACATGAAAACTATTTCGATAAATGAATCCATGCCAAGGTCCCAAACTCACATCTTGATCTGAGTATTGTTTTTTATGAACCCAAAAGCGTGTAAATGATTTATATTCCTGATCCACTGGGTCTGTTAATATAAATTCGTTTTTAACCTCTCCAAAGAAGATAATGTCACTTGTTGTCAAGACACATGTGCATGTCGATCCGCAACACACAGCAAGCGATGGAACTTTTAGTGCAATTTTAACAAATGACATTACGGTATCTTCGTCACGTAATACTGGCTGGCTGAGTTGACCAAAGTTGTTCAGACCCTTAATAATAACGGAGGTGATGAGCAATCACAAGCTTAAAGCCTCATACTTACCATTGTATAAACAGCACCATTGTCAAGCAATACAGCAACATGTGCAAACCCAGTATCAATCCCAATGATGTTTCCTTCGTTTTCAAATCCTGTTACCACACGTGAAACAACCTCTTGTGGGATATTCTCAAAACCATAGATTGAGGTACATCCAGCACCTTTGAAAGCATACATATAATTGTTCTTCAAAACAAATATAAACAATTGCCTACAATAACATTTCATAAATTTGATCTCTGCTGGTTTGTTAGGAAATGCAATTTTGTTCTTTCCTTCAGTCGCACCCAAATCAATTCTATCCGTATTAAAAGTCAAAATATTGTCTTGATCATTTACGGTATTGACTAGAATAAAAGGTGACATGGTTCCACTGCCAATGCATGTTATGGAACCTCTATCAGGAATAGCAAAAGGATACATTTGTTTCAAGATCATATTGTAAAAGTATAATTTTCCATCCATCATTTCGAACAAGACACGATTCTTGTTATGACAAACAATTTGTTTCATTTCTCGTGAATCTCGTCGTGAAACAGTGTCGAGTGCATGACTAGGAAATTTGATCCAAGCCTCATGATCCAAATCCTGTGGAGTATTGGAATAGGACTTCTTTTTAATCATCTCATCAAACAAGTCATCAAAAGAAATAGCTTGCAACTGCTTGACCAAATGTCGTGAAACTGCTTGTAAGAAATATTTGTGTTCATGTCCGTTCAAAAAGAAGAGGCTATATGTAACTTCCTCACCTCCGGAACAAATATAGGAAATGTTTAAAGGTTTTCGCGATTCTTGTTCCGTTGAACTTTCTGTTACGTGTTTTGAAATGTTGGTAAAATCTACCATCGATGAATGGTATTCAGCCTCTATAAACCGATCATGGGCAGAGAACCCAATGTCAGAGAGGCCTGCAAGATGCAAGTCTCCGCAATACAGAACTTTGGACATTTTTTTTGTAAAAGCTTTTTGAACAATGAAACCTGTTTGTGAGCCACGAACCATTTGCACCACAAAACAATTGTTGGAACTTGGAATATCGAAAAAAAAATGATTTCAAATAATGAAACGCTGCTGCTGTCCTTGAATGCCGAGAATGATGTTCAACATGATAAAATTCTTTCCACTCGTTTGGGTCATTCAGCAGTTTTTTACGAGAACCAGATTTACTTTTTTGGAGGGAGTTGTTTCAAGACGAAGAACCAGCAACCAAGTTCAGCATTGGTATTTGTTAATGATTTGATTCAAGTGGATACCTATAATTCTACAGAAATTGGAAAAGGATGGAAATATATTACAACCAATCAGATAAATATCATGATGGATCATCAGCAGCAAGGCTCTTCTGCTCTTCTTCCAATCCCGAGAAATTTTCATAGTGCCGTTTGTTATCATCATGAAATGATTATATTTGGAGGAAAATCAAATGGTTTTTTGAATGATGTTTGGAGTTTTGATTTTACGGAGAGCAGATGGAGAAAATTACAATGTAAAAATTCAGAAATCATTTCTCCCCGATATGGACACACGAGTGTTGTGTATGGAGATTCCATGTTTGTATTTGGAGGTTATGATAATACGGCTTCAACGAATGCTGAACTGTTTGAATTGAATTTGAAAAATTTGGAATGGAGACGTGTGGCATTGAAAAATTTGTCATCTTCCTCTTTGAACGGAAGAGTTTATCATGCCTCAGTATTGGATTGTGAGAATGGAGATTGGTATATCGTTGGAGGAAAGTTGTCACACAGAGAATTGATGAAGGATTTCATTAAGATTAAATTGTCAACTTTGTCAACAAACGACAGTTCAGAGGAACAGACCAAGTGTGAAGTCGAATACGAATTCATTGATTCCAATCACGACAGTGTTTTAAGATATGGCCATTCTTGCGTTCTAGAGAAAATTGGAACCAAAAAGACACTATACATCATTGGTGGATGTAACAACTCAAAAGACTTCACTAATTGTTATAGTTTGCTGTTGAGTAGTGATGAATCCTCTGATCTGCACGAGTTCCATAGTTGGAAATTAGAAACCAAGCATATACTGTCTAAAATATTTGAGGACCCCTCCATGGAAAAAACTTCCATCGAACCATATGCTGCATTTCCAGTATTTCACACCTGTACTCAGTATGTGCAGGATGAAAACAATACTGGTAATTTTTCGTATTTTGTTTTTGGAGGAACATTCCAAAAATCAAATGTATCATTGCCACAACAGAATAGCACAGACCTCGTTCTTTCATCTGCTGTCACTACAGCCTTCAAGCCACAAATAGAAGAAGATCAAGAAATAGACTACAAAGAATTTGACTTGCTTCTCAATGACGATATTTACAAACACATTCTTTCATATTTGGATTATTCAGATTTGCTTCGTCTTCAACTCGTTTGCAAATCCTTGCGAATTTGTCAACTCACCGAAGAAGATGAATTTTGGGAATGTCATTACTTGAAAAAGATTGGAGAACTTCAAAAAGCGACCGTAAAACATCGTTATGTACTTCCCGATCCAATGATGGGATATAGTGGTTATAAATATATCGAACAACATGATCCACGATTTATGCACTTGTCTGAGGTAACAAGTGATTACAAGAAACGACTCATTGACATTTTCAAAACATTTCTTTCCAATTCCGACAAGAATTCCAAAAATTTGACAAGTTTTATTGAAACCATTTCCATGAACCCATATCATAACAAACTCTATACACGTGAGGAAATTATGGCCTATCCCAACGAACTTGTGAGAATTTCTAAAGATTCCTCGAAAATTGTAATTGTTGGAGACGGTGCCACAGGAAAGACATGTAAGTAGTAGTACGAGATGAAAATGTTTTGACAAATATATCTTGTCATGAATATCAAAAGGCCTACTCATGACACTGATGAATGGAGAGTTTCCATCAGATTACGTTCCTACCGTGTATGATTTTTATGAACATCCTTGTAAATCAATTCCTCACCTTTCCGTTGGATTTTGGGATACTGCAGGACCAGAAGAATATGGTAAGTATTGAATATGTAGTCGTGGCGCAAGTGAATTGACAGAGATCATTCAGATCGGTAAGTGTCTTAGCTATGTTCATATTTAGATGTATTTCGAACATGTCTATAGATTAAGGTAAGTATATGACCAACCTCTGTGGATTCAAGACTGACTGTATAAATAGACCACTCAGCTATCCAAATACGGATGTTTTTTACCTGACATTTAGCATCAATAGTTATAGTTCATTTAAGAACATTCCTGAGAAATGGATTCCTGAACTTAGACGGTATTGTTGTAATGTTCCCATCATTTTGGTTGGAACAAAGACGGATTTGAGGCAAGACCCGGTTTCCCGTAAAACTGCCCTTGTCCTTAGGGAAGAGAAACCCATCACATACGAGCAAGGAGAGTTAATGTCTCGTCACACTGGTTGTATTGCATACATTGAAGTGAGTGCCCTCAAAAAGGAAGGAATTAATGGCTTGGACGAACTTGCGTTGAAAAGTATTTGTGTTTCAAAAAGTCAATACAAACCACCAAAGAAATGCTATTTGCAATGAACATGACAAAGAATATTGAGCTGGCAAACAAATTGGATGAGCAATACAAAGTCATAAACCTTTTTATTGCTGCACTTTTGAGCGTATGATGATTACTCTCCCAAGTCCAATGCTTCAGTTTGTAAACTTGCTTTGCACTTCTTTCTGGTAAATAAATCCTGGACCAGTCTTTTGGCAGTGTCAGCAACAACCTTATTTTCATGCTTTACATATTTCAAAATGAGATCGTTGTTATCCTCGGCTTCTGTTGGAAGAACAGAAAATGCATCTGCAAGTACGACCAAGCAACTGCAAATTAAATGATGTTCGTTAGTTGTGAAAATGCTTTTCAAGCATCCCACGACTTGACAATAAATTTCTAATGCCAACGAGCGACAAACAAGCATAATTTTGCCTAGAGCAAGCACAGCAAAGCTTTTCACATACTTGGTTGTGTTGGAGTTCAAAATGTTCTTTAACAGAAGAACATAGCGTGACAGAAACCCACTCACCATTGTCTCATCAATGGCTTTTTGAATAAGCAAGTTTTTCGTCTGCTCTTTTTGGTTCTCTTTAACACAGCTGTCAGTTTCACATTCCCCGTCGTGGTCCTCATCTATCATCATGCTTTCAGAACTCTCTATAAACTGGTTGGTAGCGATGGTTTTAATTTCCTGACAACTTCTAAAGCAAATATCTCCAATGATTTTACAAAAGGACACCTTGATGGAGGAGTGAGCAATTTTACATTAGTTCTTCTAGAAATGAACCTACCATTTTGGCACAGGGCACAGCCTTGCCTTCAGACCATTCTTTCCATAATTCACTTTCAACCTTTCCGATTCCATAATACGCAGTTCTCCTGTTGTTGGGAAGAGAGAATATAAGAGAAACGGTCTCATCAGGAAACGAAAACAAGAGTTCAGTAATATACTTCTCAATGAACTCTTCTGTCCATTTCACCAAAGAAGTATCTGTTTTGCAAAGAAATTCAAGTAGCTTTTTAGAAATTGTTAATGATTCTAAATTTACGAACAGCTTGTAGACTTACACGCAGACACACGGATGCCTTAATACCATTTCCGTCCTTATCCTTAAATGCCGATTCTAAATTCTGCAAAATTTTGGTAGTATTAATTAAAGTCCCATATTTTTTGTCAACTTTGCTCAACACAAGCATGATCCATATATATCTTGGATCTTCAGCGTATTGGTTACACTGCTCAACAATTGGTGCAAAATGAATGTCCTTCTGCAAGGTTTTGAGGGTTTTTATAACCTGAGCCCATCTATCAACCATTTGCAGCTGACTCCAGTCTCTATGTAACTAATAATCATCAAATACTGAATGTTTTCTGAACACTTACCCCATTGTATCCATTATTAATATCCATGGACGGCCCTTCATAAAATCAGCCGCAAAAAAACTAGCAATTTCCTTTAAAGCAACATCTGACATTTCGGGATGAACAAGTGCAATCAGACAACTCCAATTGCTGAACATGTTATATTGTTTGATAACTTGAAGGAGTTTGAATATTGATATCAATGAATCTTTGCACATCATACTAGGACCAGCACTAACGACAAATCTAAGAGAGTCAAACAGTTTTGGCATCAAGTCCTCAATCTTGGATAAAAACTGGTGACATGAACTGTAATTCATACCTTCGTTTTGGTCATTTTCAAAGTTGTTCTGATTTGACAACAATTCCCCCTGCTTCTCTTTGTGAAAACAAGAAAAATTCTTTGTGAATGGGTTGTTTGAAATTAAGGATGTCAGACAGTCGATTGCAGCAACTCTAGCGGTTTTAGTTTTGTCAAAGACGTGTTTGCAAGCACAATCCTACCACGTGTTACAAAATAGTGTTCTAAAAACTCAACTTACCACAATCGAAGAAAATAGCTGTTCATTTTCTCTCCTCCAAACTACTTTCCCACAAACTTCAGACATGGTCTGAAATGCCTTAGATCTTACAAATCCATCCTTGTCATCCGTTCTGTTGATAATAAAATTCAAGCATGTGAGATTAACAACGCCAGTTCCAAGATAAGCACATGAGGCCAGCACTTCGAGAAGGTATTTTCTAACGGAACCGTTAGAACAATTAAGGAAACTCATTTCCTCGACAAATAAATTCATGATTTGCGGTCGAGCCTTTGCCACTAAGCTAAAAACCTCTACTACTGAGCTTACATCTAATTTTCTGTGATTCTTCTCATTATTGGCTAACCGTGCTTTACAATACCACAGCAAGTAATACAGAATTTGAAACAAGTACTCTGAATCAATATCATGTGACCTCAACATCCAATTACAGGCACTTTGTGCATCTATTAAATTATCTTTGACTAAATCGAATACCAAAAGACATGTCGAATAACTGGAGGACGGATCACAATGGTTTTCGGAAATATCTGACTGTTCATTCTCGTCAAAGTCTGTTCCTATTGCAAACGTCTGTAACAGCATCGGTTCAAAGGATTCCCAAATGACACGCGTATTCTTTTTACCGAATGAAGAAATGCAACGCAACAACTTGGGGATACAAATTCTAAGTACCTCTAAACAAGAATGCAATCGCAACAGTTTTCTTTCAATGAGATCATTCAAATGATCAAAGAAGCTACATAATGAGTGTAGCCATGGTTCTATACTCACACCAAGTTTTTGCATGCTACCATTGTCAGTTTCAAGCTTTTCTAAGGCAAGCGAAAGGCACAACAAATGACGAACGAATACTTTTGCAGTCAGAGCATGTTCTGCTATGGATCCTGATCTTTCATTCTCATATGAATTGAACGCTTTTTGAATACTAAAACAGCCAAACTCTAAGATTTGGAGTAGGGAACATAATTCTTGTAAATTGTTTTTCTCTTGACTGGACAGAACACTGAGCAAAGAAACATAATACTTGCTAGTAACCACAGGAAACCATGATTCATGTTCATATTCTTCTGGTTGCTTGGCGTTTTTGTTCTTGTTCAATATCTGCTCCACAGTTGTTATGAGTGTTTCAAAATTCTCAATAGTACTGTTGGGATTATCTAACGCTATCGGTAATCCCTCCGTCATGGATGAGCTCTGATTGATCACGGAATAGTTCCCGCTTCTTTCCTCTTCTGTTTCTTTAAAACAGCTTCTGAACAAGGTCAGTAGTTCATTGTAAGTAAACGAGTGTTTGGGTCGGAATAACTTTGGCAGCGCTAAAGTATTATCAGACTCCATACGCGCCCCTATACAAAGCATGTTTTATGAACGATTCATTGGATAGAGTATGCACATATAACGAAGAAGCCTTTTCAAATAAAACTTACGTTCCGAGTGTGTCTTAAAATTCGTCTTTCGCTTTTTAGCAGGTGTGGTATGTGGTCGAGGCATTTTTAAGGCTTAATTATAGTTGTACAAATGACTATTGTTTTAATATACAAGTGTTCATCGCTCTGATATATGTTCATGCTTGAATATTTCTTCAGTGCTCCTCAATACAAAATTCATGAAGGCCAATTGAAGATCCTCACAGAGTACTTCAGACTCTCCACTTCGTCGTTGCTTGTATTTACAAATAAAGGAACTTGCTCCAATAATACTTGGAGCATCTTCTCTTTCAAAAGTTGCTGTCTCCTCAGCTTGATTTGTGGCGTTCGATGATACATATTTACATAATTGAATTTTCTGTAGCGAATGAGGGCTATTCTCAGAATTGAGTGTGACGGCTCGGAGGTGGAATGTACTTCGGCTTACATGCTCAATCAGTTTGCTATATACATGAGCATCAACAGGATAGTGACTCCAGGAGGAGGTTATTTGGGGCGTTGTGGATGTTGAATGACCATGAGGAGAGTTGTTGTTATTCGGCGCAGACACACATAAGACTTCGTTCGTATCTTTCCCAACATAGAACGTATAATGTGTTGAGTGGGCAGCGTTATTCTCAGAATTACGACTCGATGAAGAATCACATTCACTAAAAGTGGTTGCAGGTGCATCGGAAACTATACACCTGGAACAAGGTGCCGATTGAATTTGTAAAATAATTTTGCGTGACTGTTGCTGGGGTTGTTGAAAACTTGAAAAATTTGAACTTTGGGAAAAACGTGCCTTCTTACTCTTCTCAAACCCCACATAATAGTCCAGCGAATATTCATGTCCATAAAACACCCCACTGAGTTGATCGGTGAGTGTCCATTCATTTGACGCATCGAGTCGATGTATAACCTCGGAGGTCGTTGTGTTTTTGTTGTTGCTGTTGAAGGAGGTCTTGTTTCCCATTTTTTGTTTGAAATTGTGCGAGTTTGAAAAGGACAAATATGAAAACTGCTTTTGTTCGAATGGTAAAATGTTCGATTAAATCCATGACGTTGATGATCACCAGGAGCAAATCACGGTGGTTTATAAATTGTAGTGGACATTGGTTTGAGATCAGCACAACGCTTTCATCAACCTCCAACTCTTCTGTGGGTACTTGATTTCTCATTAAGGGGTGATTCACAACGCTTAAAAGCTGGTGGATGATTCTGGTATGGATCCTTAATCACAAGGATCTTATTATTACTCCCAGCTCATCTCTCCTCCTATTAAGCAGTTTCAATCCAAAACTTGCACTTCAAAGAATCACTTCGAAAAGAATCAAAGATTCTCAACTCTTCTGGCCAATTTTATGAACAATACAGCCACACAACACATTAAAAAAACTTCTGTAGAACTACAAACACACCGAACAACCTCAATGTGCAAGAGTAGATCATCATCCTCCAACAACAACAACAAATGCCTTTGTCCAAGAGTACCTGTAGATCGCTCTATAAGGAAATATCGACATTCAAATAAATACCTCTCCACTCTTGCATCGGCCATTGCTGTTCACGGAGACTTGAGGAGGCGAGATGGAAGCGTGGTCAGCGAGCTTGAATCAAGAGATTTGTTGTTAAGGGAAGAGCAGGACCTTTCAAATATACCTAACAGCGCAACTCTAGACTCTCTATCACCAAAAGAAGATGGATTCGAAGAAAACGGATTGTCTCCTGTTTCTTTTTTCAGCATCACTGAGGGTTTTGACGATTTCGTAGACGATGACGACACAATGACACAACAAGAATTAAGCGAAAATAAAGAAGCAATCGAGTTAAGGTCGTGATACGCGGTTCTGAGTGTTACCATGACGTCACTGTTTTACCAACAAAAAAAATGAGACTCACATCAATCAACAAAGCAGGTGTTCTTGCTTGGTGTCCAATAAGCTCGCATACTGACTTATTGGCTGTGGGTTCTGTTGCTGGATCACTTGATTGGAGGAATGATACAACAACTGGTGGTTCCAGTAATGCTTCGGGAAGTGGGCCTGTATTGGAAATTTACAGCATGTTACCCAGCATCACTGAGAAACAAATCAGTAGCTTATCTTCGGGAGAGGAACAAGATCAAGAAGAAAACACGGCTGTACAAGAACAGACACAAGAGGAAGTAAAAACAACAACAACACACGATGATGATATTTTCCAAAGTCAACATAATGACGACTTTTTCTCCAACAGCTCTACTTCAGACGATTTCTTCAACACCCTCGCATCAACTCATCATCAAAACGTTTTGGCATCAACCGAAGAGGAAGAAAAGAGAAGATTGGATGCTGCCCGAAAGCAACCCAAGCTGTTGGCTCAAATTGAAGCACCAGATCGTTTTCATCGTTTAACCTGGGGAATACCTGGATCAACTGGTGATTCTCTTGGTATTGTTGCTGGTGCTCAGGTCGATGGAGTAATTAGCCTTTTTGATGCTAACAAGATGGTTGAATCATTCTCAAAGAAGAAGAAAATTTTGCCATCAGATGAAGCACTGATTGCAAGCATGGACAAGCACCAAAGTAGTGTCCGAGGCTTAGAATTCAATCCAAAGCAAGTGAATCTGTTGGCCAGTGCTGGTGATGATGGCCAACTTTATATTTGGAATTTGAAACAACCAAATCAACCACAAGCGGTTGTATTAGGATGTAAAAATCCACATCAAAACCAAACCATTTCTCACTTGCAATGGAATCGCAAGTTTGAATATATTTTGGCAACAACCTCGCACCAAGGAACATCGGTAGTGTGGGATTTGAAACAAAAACGAGTGTTGGTTCCTTTCAGTAACACAGCTCATCCAAAGTCTCGATACAGTTCCTTGGCTTGGAATCCCGATGTTCATACTCAATTATTAGTTGCATGTGAAGATGATGACAGACCAGTCATTGAAGTTTGGGATTTGAGAAAGGCTTATGCTCCAATCAGAGAGCTCGGGGCTGGCCAACAAGGCCACCAAAGAGGTGTTCTCAGCGTTAGTTGGTGTCCTGATGACAGCAATCTATTGGTCAGTACAGGAAAAGATAACAGAACTCTCATTTGGAATCCAAACACAGGAGATTTGCTGGGTGAATTATCTTCTGGCTTTTCTCAAGTGTCAGCAAGTAATACAAGAGGAGGACGAACCACAAATACATTCCCTCAAGATGAATACCAAAATTGGATTTTTGACGCTCAATGGTCCTATAGATCATCACTTGTTTCAACATGCTCATTCGACAAGAAGATTCAAGTTTACGCTGTTCAAGACGCTAGCAGTGTTGCAACAGGTGAGTCTGATGAGTTGACTGAAACAGTCAAAAAGTCAAACCAAAATATTACTCAGCCTGCTCCTGCTGTTTTGAAAACAGCACCAAAATGGCTTAAACGTCCAGCTGGTGTATCTTGGTGTTTTGGAAATAGACTAATCACATTCAGCAATACTTTGAAACAAGAAAGTGAGGAAAAGAGCTTGGAAAAGAACCAAAGCGTTCAGCAATACATGAGTCCAAATCCAATATCGATTTACAGTGGAGCATCTGCTGTTGCTTCTGCCACTTTTGATGAGTCTGAGACTGAAAAACTTGTAAATTTCAACAAGCAAGTTATCGAGTTGGAGAAAGTATCTCTATCGCAAACATCTCCACAAGAAAAGAGAGAAATTTCTGTACAATTCTGTAAGGAAAAACAACAAATGGCATCAAAAAAACAATTGATTGAATGGAAGTTGTTAGAAATTTTGTTCAGCTCAGAGGAAGAGAAGGGAAGCAAGATTCAAGCATTGCTAGGATTTAACCGTGAGGAGCTTAACCAAAAATCTCAGAGTATTGAGACACATCCAGTGGAGACCAATAGAAATGATAGTGAAGAGCTTTCGTCTCTCATTAAGGATAACATCATTGTTGGAAATATTCAAGGAGCAATCCAATGCTGTTTAGACGGAAACAGATTTGCAGACGCTCTCTTATTGTCGAAAGTTAGCGGCAACAGCGATATGTGGAGTTTAGCTCTTGATCAATACTTAAACAGCAAAGAGGGCTCTTCTATCGCAAAAATTAAGAACCTGATCTTCAAAAATTACGATGCAGTTATTGGAGATGACTCTCTAGAAAATTGGAAAGAAAAGCTTGCAATTCTTTGCTCTGATATGCCAAAGAACAAGTCTTTGATTGATGGAATTTTGAAGTCCTTAATTGAGAAGGAAGAGCAACGTCTTATCCATCAAAACGAGCAATCTGAAGAAGACACGTTTGGTGCTCTCGTTAGTTCCTTCTTGTCTGGTCAAATTGAGCAAATCTTTACAAGATGGATTTCTGAATTTGAAAAGAATGTTGAGAATATTCCTACATCTAGCCCATCCTTTGCTCTTGAACTTATTGATCTAATCTCCAAGATTGAGCTTTTGCATTTACATCACGTCACTAGTGCAGCCATTTCCAAAAAGACGACAACCATCACTTATATAGAGTCAATTTTGAACCAATTGTTGCAAAATGGCCATGTTTTGAATCAGCTCTATATTACCTTCGCCATGAAATGTGTAGAATTAGGTAGTCTTGTGGATATTCAAAAAACACTTCCACTTGCTCTACGATATTTGAATATTGCACTGGACCAAGTTTCAACACAAAATTCAGAATTGGTAATTCCAAAAGAGTACAGCAATGTTGATATTCAGGAATTGAGATATCGTCTCTATCATTCCATTGCCAGAGTGCCACCAAATATAAGAGCTCCATCCCTACCTGCTTCTTGGGCTCCAAAGAAATTGCAGCCTTTGTCAAAACCTGCAAAATCAACCACAACCAGTGTAGCCTCTCCTGTTTCCACCAGTCAACCTACAGCTTCAACAACTACATCTACAACGACTCACACAAGCCCTTCAACACATTCTACCCGTCCTGAGTCTCCTTCAAACAGAGGTTACAAAAGATCGGAGGTTAAATTACTTCCTCAACCAATGCTTGGAAAGAATGCAACTAGTGTTTTGCCTCCATCCATGAACCCACAACCTGTAGTTTCTCATACCACCACAACCACCGCAAACACTTTCAATCCATCCATTGGTGGAAGTAGCAATTTAGGTGGTGTTGCCACTTTTACTCCTCAACCTTTTAGTGGTACAACTACCACTCATATGGTACCTTCCTCAACAACAGCAGGTTTTAACGCTCCACACATGATGTCCAGTAATTTGGGAGGTGTAGCTACATTCTCACCACAGCCTATGGTGAGTGGGGGCGGCAATACAACTTTAGGATCATCTACCTCCTTTAATCCTTCTCTTCCATCGAGTGGATCCTCATGGCAACCTGTTACCAATATGCCACCAATGCAAGAAACGAGCTTACATCATCATCAGCCAATGCCTGTTCCAACAGCACAACCTGTGGTTGACCAACAAGCAATTTTGAAAGAAAACTTGGAGAAATACGCTGGAATTGACATTGAACGAAACGTCACTGGTAAAAATCAAGCCCTCATTGATGCCTTAACTCAATGCTTTGACAAGTTATATGGAGGAGAAGATAAGGGAGCAGCACATTTAGATAAGAAGAGAATGATTGCTCAAAGCGTTAATGCACTTTTTACTCTTGCACAAGAGACAACTGATGAGCAGCTGGTAAATAATCTCTTGTTGTGGACAGAACAAATGTTGAAATCAGAGTACACCAATGCTGATCATACCTTCAAACACTTGCAAAAGGATTATTTCAACCAACTAAAGAATGCCAAGAATATGAGATTTTTGATGACTTGCTTGAAGACGGCCAAACAATAATGTGTGAAAAAAGATTGAACAATTATTTCAAATTTTAGTAAAATAATATTTATCTTGTCATTTGGAGTTGAGTATTGCAATATTATCGGCAGTTTCACTGCTGCCCGTTTTTACAAAGTCTGTTTTCAATGAAACCTTTCCATCATAATTACACAAATCTGTCCATTGATTGACTGTTAGCGTTCGCATTTGCTTGTTGTGGGTTCAAGTCTAACTTGATTCCGAAGGCATTAGCCATCAATCGGTAAATAGCAAGCTTTTCATTATCTTGGGTCATCATGATTGGCAAGTACAAAATAACAAGAGCTGTTCCCGTTGTTAGTCCCATTCCAGCAATTGTAGAGCCAAATGACCAAATCTTGTTAAAGAGTTTCTTTAATCCGGTTGCTTGTTCTTCCGAAGACGATGATGATGTTGATGGTGATCCTAGAGGCAACATTTTTTCATTCAAAAAATTCAAATTGCTTTTTGATTGGAATTGCTTTCAGAGGTCTTTTTTACTCATCACCATGAATCATCATCATGAATATCAACAACACGAAGATAACAGGATTTTTCATCAACAGGAAATTGTAACTAGCAATAAGAACACGACATTGATGGCCTCCAAACAAGCTCTTTTTCGTTCATCATCCTTCTCGGAGCCCCTTTCCAATATTGATCAAAATATCATGAGTGATGATGATCAACAGCAGACTCACGAGCTTACATTTCCCGATGATATCGTTTTTCACGTCATGCAATTTCTAGAGTCTACCTTCCTCGGTACGACGTGCACAAGAGTGTGCAAGCAATGGTACTCACAAGTATGTCAAGTGCCTTTATCGTTGGATTTCTCGAGAAGAAGAAAGAATCAAAGTCTTCCCTTTGATGTTGTTCATGGTATCAATACCATGTTGAATATCACAAAATTGGATTTAACGTTGTGTTCCATTGGCGATGAGGGCGTGAAATTTATTTCAAATTGCGACTTTAAAAATTTGAAAATTCTTTGTTTATGGTATAACAATATTGGCTCTCAAGGTGCTGGATATATCGCGTCCAGTATGAAAAATTTAACGTATTTAGACTTGTATTATAATAATATTGGTGTGAAAGGATCCAGATGGATTGCCACGAGTGAACATTTGAAACATTTAACTTATTTGAACATCGGTTTTAATCAAATCAAATGTGCAGGTATTAAAGCACTATGCTCCAGTCCGCATAGTTGCCAAAATTTAGTGACGTTGAAAATAGGAGGCAGCACATTGGGAGTAGAAGGAGCAATATATCTTTCTACATGTGAAAGATTACAGAAATTAAATCATTTAGATGTGTCTTACAGCAAGTTGGGTGCTGAAGGAGCAAAACATATTGCTTCAAGTGTTTTCCTGAAGAATTTAACACACTTATCAATGAATGGAAATAATATTGAAGACGATGGAGTAAAATCGATTGCAACAAGTGCATACATGAAACATTTGAAAGAACTTCGCTTGGAACGAAATAATATTGGAAATGAAGGAGCAAAATATATTTCACAAAGTGAACATATGCGAACACTCATGGATCTAGATCTATGCTTGAATAAGATTGGTGATAAGGGTGCAACGTATATTGGAACTAGTGAGGTGTTAAAACACTTACAAGTTTTAGACTTGAGTCAAAACGAGATGACCGCTCATGGAGTGGGAGTGATACGCCAACATTTGACAGATTTATTGTATTTTCATCATTAATGTTCGAGTTCAAATACAACACTTGAAAGTAGGACAATACTCATTGTTGAGCAACAAGTCAATATTGTCTTTTTGAGATTTGAAAAATGGTGGTTTTCAAAATGAGTCGATGTTCGATCGAATAGTTCCTTCCGAGACAGCAAGTAGAAATCAAATCACAACAAAGGTATCATATCTAAATACCTTCAGGATATTTGAATTCATACAAGACATGTTGAGAAAAGTTTAACGATGGTCGTGCTCTTGGACTTTTAGCTGGCATGTCCATAGCAGCACTCAATTTCTCATAGCTAGGAGTATTTGGGATCAAATTCGACCATTCAACACCATCGTCCACAAGCATGGAATTCAATTCTTCCTGTTTAAACATTGAGAAGAGTTCTTCACAAAGAGTTGAAAATACAACTTGCACAATGGTGAGTAACAATGAAAGGAAATAGATGTAGTAACCTCTTGGTGTCATGATGATGGGGTGGGAGGTGGCACGAGTTTTGCTTGTCTTGGGATTTGATTTGTCATTGTGGTTGTGCATCGTGACTTTGCTATTGGGAGAAGTGTCCACATGCAACACACGATGTTGATGCACCGGCATGATGGAAGTCATCATCTTGAAACTGACGCCTTTGAGAGTAATATACTGAAAGGCTGAATTACTGTCTTGAGAGAATTAAATTGGTTTTTTTGAGATTTGAAAATTGGAATGAGCGCCACATTTTAAATTACAGTTGGGTAGTGGGGTTTATTTCCTTTCGAGGAAATTCAATAATCTGAAAATAGTTAAAAGTTGTTTTTTTCTAAAGCAATAACAAAAATTCCGCAAAGGTCATGAATATTTTGTAGTTGATTCACGATAAATGCAATGACAAGTGGAGATGTGAAAAGTTTCATAAGTTCTCACTTTCTTCACAACAAGCGCCAAGAGCATATGTACGAATGTGCTCCAGCTCTATTGAACTACATTTGAACTAAGCGTTTGCTTTGGAATGGGTATTTTCAGTGTTCTGAAAAACGATTGGATGAAAACTCGCGAGTACAAGGTCACCAGTACCGAATATATTCGTTCTACATCATTTTGTGATAGAATATCCTTGATCGATTTTCCTTCATGGCAGCGCTCTACAGTCTCGACAAACATCTCAAGCAACCTTGTTCGGTTTGCCAAAAATACAACATTATTAACGAATAATGATGTGACATCATTGGATGTTTTCAGCTTTAAGGATTCCATCACGTATTTAAATTGATTTGTAGAATTATTATCATCATTTTGAAGTTGAGGAACAATGATGCTCAAGTATCGACATGCTGATATGTAATCAAATCTTGGTCGATACTTGTCACAAAAATATGATAGAAACTCTCGAGCATTTTTCTCATGCTCCATCATAGGTTGGAGAATCCTATGAGACTTACTCGTAATTAGACCCTGAATGACTTCTGGTAAATGGCGAGAATGGTGTAAAAATTTGTGTGCGAAATACTTGAATACATTTCTTTTCTCCTCGTCATGTGACAAATTATGGATGGATGTAGTGACCGAACTGCAAATAATTTCAAAAAATCCACTCGAAGCCAATTTATACCTATAAACTTTCAAGAATCTATTATAAAATTGGCACCATTCACTAATGACCACTTGTTTCAGTTGTGATTGAGAAAAATTCTTTTGATGAATTTTCAACTTTTTAAGGAGAATCATTTGATTTTTTTCCACATATTTCAATCGACTTGATGCATCCTCATTTGGATACTCCTCATCAAATTTCTTGTAAAAATTAATTTTTTCCCAATAGTAATGAACATATTTTCGATTCCAAATTTCACCACTCTCCAACTCATTCGTGATGATCAAATGCCAATCCGAGCATACTAACACAAAATTCGGTAAATCACGCAATGAAAGAAAATCGGCAATCGTTGAAAGAACCAGAGAATCAAGAGTGAACTCAAACATTTTTTAAATTAGAAAACCATGATGATTTGCGCATTTACAGAATTGCACACCAAAAAGTAGTTACAATAATAATTACGGTGTTTTCGGAAACATGAAGAGAACCACAGACTCAGTTCAGATCTTGGTAGTTTTTAAGCGCACAATATCATTGCGTACTCTGTTGTGCACCTGCTGAGCATGTTTCATCAGAGGCTGTTTTCTTCTGTAATAAAATCAACGATCACTCTCATCATTTTCCAATTGAAAACAACACTTTCTCTTTCTTCAGGCATTTTTATCTCCTTGTTTTTATGGTTCCTAAAAATTATGAATTGGATGAAAGAGATAGGCAGAGAACGTTAAAAGACGAGTTCGAAACCCTTGATGTTGAACGTAGTAATGTTGAAAAGACGTAAAAGGTATGTAAGAATACCATTTCAAAGAGGGGCACTATCTCTGTTCTTCTTCATGGAGCAGTGTCATGCGTTGAGGACCTTAAACTTTCATGAACGTTTGGAGGTGGTTAATTGACCAAAAAAAATAATACGTCTCTTTGTCCCATGGAAAACTTTGAATCAGAGAGGATGATTTGTCATCAACAACAATCTCAACTCACTTTAATTAAAGAACTTGAATATTTACTGAGGGTGTGGAGGTCGACGCTTGAACTTGTGCACATACTTCTTGTCTTCCTTTTTCATGGCCTTTTCCAAATAACATTGTCCTTCCTGGCCATGCATGTGCCATCTTTCGAATTCAACCCTATAAAGGAATCTTTAATAGACAAGAAATCGTTGGACTTATCTTTTTCACACAAGAACTGTCAGATTTTCAATGAAAACCCTCCTCATGTCTCAACGTTGAATCAACCATCTCTTTCCCTTCAATCGATATTCGACGATTTATTTACAGTGCACCATGATCTGACCTCCCATATTATTGTAATGAAGGAGAATGATCGAGCGTTTTGGTATGATTTCGTGCAGAGACCCTCTCGGACACGATAACGTCACACAAGGTGAGCGATCCAGAGTTTAAGGGAGTAGCGTTCCATAACAGTTGCTTTAACGCTAGAGAAGTTTCACTCTCCAAAATGATGTTGTTCAAGTTCAATTTCAGTGTTGATTCCTCGTCAATCTGCGAAAAGGGAATAAATTCAAAAAAACAAAAAAAAAACTAAAAAAAATTCAACAATGAGCTTGTCTTCGCGATCAGTTACCGAATCAAAGAATTGTTGTGCCAGTTCTTCCACAAATACCCTCCAGCCTGTCAAGGATGAAGAGTATTTAGTATTGGGAGAATCTTCCGATGGCTTCTTTTATTATAATCGTTCAAATTCTCCACAACATATGGCTCTGCAGGAATTGTTGATGAAACAACACGAGCCTCATGCTAAGTGTTGTCAATTAACGGCATCGGGAATGCAAGCAATTTCAGCTACTTTACATGGAATTATCATTTCTAGAAAGAATGAAAACTTAAACTTGATCTATAGTGACGAGTTGTATTGTGATTCTCCGAGATTATTCCAATGGATTGCAAAAATGTTCAAAAATGTGACTTTGCATTCAATTAATGTTTTAGAGAAGAATAATATCATTCAATTATTTGAGGGTAAATTTGCTAAACAAACAAACATCTTATTCTTTGAGAGTTGCAGTAATCCAAATGGTAACATTTTTGATTTTTCAATCTTGTCCAAGTTAGAGGCAGCTTCAAAGGCTCTCATCACCATTGTAGATAATACTTGGTTGACTCATGAGATATTTAATCCATTCACTGTGAAACAAGTGGACTATGTAGTGAGTTCTCTCACAAAATATTACAGCGCTGGTCATTGTATTGGAGGAATGGTATTGGCTCGCTCCAAGAATGCCATGAAAGGTTGTACCGAATGGATGATTGTGAATGGTAATCATGTGAGTCCATACCATTGTGAATTAGTGAAAGAACATGCAGAAACGATTGCACAACGTATTGCATGCTCCTCAGTTGTAACAAAACGAGTCATTAACGAATTCCTGGTGAAACATCCCAAGGTTCTTCAAGTGAATCATCCATTGTGTCAGACTCATCCATCACATGCTCTCATGAAAACCTACTTTAAGCGGTCGAAGGATAATTTGGTTCCCAGTGTTTTCACGTTCAAGGTGAAAGGAACTAAAAGCGATGTGTTGCAAGTATTGAAAAAAGCAACCATTCTAGATCACAAAACATCATTTGGAGCTAAAATGTCACGAACCGATCCTTGGCCTCAAGAGGAATCAGGATTTACATTTGTCAGGTTATCCGTTGGATATGAAGATAACTATGAGAGAATTGTCAAAGGATTGGAGGAAATATTAAGCCACCTTTAAAGTGCTGCGACACGAGTTGTAGCTGAGATATTCTTGTCACCCTCCATTCAAACTAAAATAATATTATCTGAACAAAACTGAATATTCTCTTTTTGAGCGAGATGGTTCGTGTAGGACTAATCTTGTAATCATAATATCCAAATGGTAATGCTGTTTATGATCGAGCGCTTCTCCCGCAGTGGATTACAGAATACTACAACTGCAAAAAGACTCATTTCAATTTTGGCGGCAAGATACTACTCCTTATTTTGGTTCAATAATTGTTAGCAGAGAAAGTGCGATCATGGTATAGTTCCAGTTCATCAGATAATTTGTCGCTGCGATCATGAGACATCATGTCACATTTGTTTGAGAATTATTCGGTCACCAGGGTGTACAAACACAAAAAAAGTAGTATACCTTCCACGCCTCAACAACAATTCAACAACATCATGGTTTTCAGTTCGAAAATTGTCCCATCCAACATTCGACAGAGTATTGAGAGTGCTGGTCGAGGAGTTCTCTCAGAAAAGGGAACTTTCTACAACCCAAGTGGGAATCATAGCAGCAGAAATGACCAATACTTTTTGAGATATTCCGTTGCAAAATCAACTGTTACAAATGTTGGAGCTAATTCTAAATACAATGGTGAAGATAATGAAGATTCTCCTCCTGATAACGATGTCGCTCCATCAGCACGAAAAACATCCCTCATTGAAAGTTGTAAATCTATCAAATTCTTTGTCATTGTTTTGATCACCTTGTTAGTAGTAGCCAGTGCCTTTGTCATTTCAACCACATGGTTGGGCGCTTTCATCCCTGCAATCTCTGATTTTAGTTTTGATGTAAGACAGGGAGAAAATGACAAGTTAGTCATGAACATTAGACAAACCATGACCGAAGGTAAGTCTTGTGCATCCATAGATCGCAAATTTCAGAGTGACCACACTGTTTCTTACTTTTGAATTTTACCATGACAGCTGTTATTGTCTTAGAAACTGCAAAGGGGCAATATCGAAAAGAGGATTTAATCAACCCCGCCTCAATAGAATTGTCCCTCTACAGATTCTTTCAAAGTGAAACCAATTACCATGGAGGATTGCCACTTGCGGTTCTACTTGGTAATCACACAATGTCATACACCGTTCTTCAATGGGGGCCTATTCCATCCTTCATAGAAATTGGCCCTGTCATGCAAAAAATATACTACTGTGCGGGCCTTACTGCAGATTATTGTGCGAGGGCGACAACGCCAGCTATGGTCATGCCATCTTTTGATTTGAGCTTGATTATTTCCACTGCTGAGAAACGGCCTGGAAAACCGACCTTTACTCCCTCTTACAGTGTTAGTGGTTCCTTGATATTTGTCACGCTTGTCACCAGTTGGAAGGCACAAGGGAATCAAACGGCCGACTCCTCTCCTATCAGCAACTATCTGGCATTTGCAATGACAACAGACAAGTTATCCAAGTACTTGAAACAATTGTCACAGGACATGTCCGGATCAAAGGCCATGATTATCGAAACAAGTACTAATTATTTGTTGGCGAGTAAGTAATTTCAAGTGTTGTGTGACGTTGTTGTATTCATCTTCGCCTCAATTAATCAAACAGTCGATAATGAAACATCCATTTTGGCAGTTCAAGAAGGAGCTACAGCGATCAGAAAAACACCTCTCAATATTGATATCAAGGAGTATCGAGATATTGGAAATGCTATCTATCAACATATTCCAAACTTAAAATCAGGCATCGAATGTAATACTTACAAGCATTTAGTTCTCTCTTCCAGTTACATAATGTTGTATCGTATGTGTTCCGAGTACAATATGGATTGGGTGATTGTTGTATCGACTCCTCAGTGGGATTATATAAGCCCCATTATTTATGCCTTAATTGCAGCGTTGTGTGGAAGTGCGATTGTGTTGGGAGTTAGCGTGCTGGTTGGCATTCTGTTTTCACTCAAGATTGTGAGGCCATTCAAAAATCTCATGCTCATGTTTGAAAGTGTCTCAAGAATGGACTTGGATAACATTCTTGGCTTGACAACTAATAGCTTTGAGTTTTCTGAAATGAAATTTGTGAAATATCAATTTCAGGAAATGTTAAAAAAGCTCAAGCTCTATAGAGCGTTCATTCCTTCTCATCTCTTGCAAGAAATTGAAGGTGATCAACAAGAGCTTGTTGAACATTCAACGAATAATTCTCAGCTCGGGAACTCAAATGTTAAACATTCCCATTCTTCAGGAAGTGGTTCAAAACACACACTAAATTCAAGCGTAAAGAGTTCTCAACATTCATCCATCAACAAGTTTGCCCTCTACATCGAGGTAAAACAGGTTTCTTTTGCTGGGATTTTCATTGAAGGTCTTGAGATGTGGTATTTGAACACCGAAACTAATGGATCCAAAGAATTACTGTCACTTCTTTCTGACATTTTTGAGCAAGTCAATGCTGCTAGTAGAGTCTCTGGATGTCACATTGATACCTTCGATAATGACTTGATCGTATTGAGTTTCAACTCAAGCAAAGATCAAAAAAATCATATTGAAAAGGCGCTCTCAGTGTCTCAAACCCTTATGGAAAAGCTAACGGATGTCAAGCAATCTCTGTACAAATCTCAATTCGCGGTAGACAAACATCGAAAAAGTCATGGAAATCAGTTGAGAAATCACCATCTCATCGATGGTCTTAATTTCAGAATTGCGGTTACTTCACAGAAAGTATATTCAGGAAATGTTGGAACACAAGATTCCAAATTCTTCAGGTAAGTTTTGATTGTGCACCTGTTATACCAGCAATAACTGTTTTGTATCTATTCTATGTAATTCATTCAATTCTTTTTCATGTCTCTACTTAAAGTGTGGTTTCATCGATACGAAAGAACCTTGATCAACTAGTTGAAGTGGCTCATAGGCTAGACCTTTCCATTGTCTTTCCAGAAAGAATTTATCAAAAAGCATCCGAACTCTACCAAACTCGATTTGTGGATCTGAAAGAGCTTGTCGATGATTCATTCTTGTCACCCTCATGCTTCCTTAACAGCTCCTCGTGTCTCTCACCTCCTGAAGAAGAAATTTCAGAGCCCAACATGGCCCTTCGCAGTCAACTCTTCACTAAGGAAGCCATCTATGAATTGGGAGAGAGTAATCAAATTGAAAACGATCAAGAATGGATGTATGAATTGAATCACAAACAAAAGCTATTGAAATGGAAAAAGTATCAGGAAGCTTGTGTGGCCTTCTTTTCCGAGCAATACGACAAGGCACTGACGCTCTTTGAGGAGTTTTTAGCTGAGAGATCGGTCAAGGAATCTGCTTCATTATTTTCAGCTCGTCATCAGCAAGAGGAAAGTAGTGCAGATGATCATTCTTCTCCTCGAGTCGAGGTTTCATCCACCTCTTCACCAACAAGCAACAAGGCTCAACCAGCTCTAGACAAACCAGCCATGAATTTTGTGAGAATATGCCGAATGAAAATTGAAAATTTGTAATGAATGCAGTGTCCAACGTTTGTTAATAATAATAACTAACTGATAAACTCATCACACGTTGTTGGTAAATGGTACCACCTCATCATCACACACGTGTGTCGACGGTTTCAAAGACTTATCAAAGAAAATGTCTTCATCAACCGCCCTTCGTAGCAACTGCGTTCTCATCAGCTGCACTCTTATAATTGTAATACTTCTCATTGCAACCTTCTCCATGAGTTTTACTCTCAAGAACACAAATAATCATGGCGAGAAAGAACCAATAGTAAATTCTCATTCGGAACAAGTGAGCGTTGAATTTCAAAATTACATTAAAGAAAGGCTTGGTGATGAGTCTTTGCCATTATCCGATGAAGCAGAAGTCATTCCATCTGCCTCCACTCCTTGCGGAGCCACATGTGCCATATTCTGTGAGCATGGCAATGTGATGGACGAGAGAGGATGTCCTACTTGTTCTTGTTTACCTCCTCCCGAGTTGCAAAATCTCAACTTGAATCGGTAGATTCACTTGTGTAATTTTTAAATTTAATTGTAAATACTAGTAATGATTGGACCATACAGGTCAATTGTAATTAAATATAAATTGACTTGACCTTATAGCATACCATCAGCTGATCCATACTACAGGGTCTTGCTGCATAACAAAAAATTTAACAATTTGAATTGCTTAATTCTGAAAAGTACAATTATCATTAATTACAAGCAACCACCTTTGTGACGTCGTGGCATGGGTATACCCAACTTGGTCGATTAAAATTGCTCAGCATTCAATAGTAGTTTTTCTTAAATTGTTGAATTTCCCTCTTCAAAATGAACTTTGCTAAATCGAATTGCATAATTGAACTGAAATTTTCAAAAAAGAACAAACATCCACAATCATGGAGCAAAATCTACCAAAAGACGATTTTAGCAGCAAAAAGAACAAGGACATTCTTGGTTCCAGTGAAACCAAGTTAGGACAAACTGGATCCAATATTTCATCCAACGACCCTCAATACATGATGGGTGTTGGTGGAGGTGAAAATATTGGACAAAACAGAGAAGGTTACGATCAACCTTCAAATCTTCCAGGTGGTGTTGGAAAAGATGATATTCACAAGTACAGCAATGACACCACTCCATTGGATAGAACTTCGAAAGTTTAACTCGACCGGCCACACCATTATTGAATCAAACATAATCTATTCATAACACAATTTAATAAATAGTCATAATTTAAGAAATATTGAGGAATAATTTGAGGTGATGAAATTCAGAGCATGCGAGAGTATGTTGTTACACACACAGACAGAGCGGCATCCAATGGCGTAGTGGTGACCTTTTCGTTCGTCGTGTGTGATGTAACAAACTCTTGTAATTTCTAGCACTGCCAGTATTAATTGGTACTCGTATATAACATTCCATCCTTTGAAGATGAAGATTTCAATAATCCATTCTTCTCATTAAATTCTTCTTCCTCTTCACTGTCATGACTCTTTGTCTTGATATGCAAGAGAGAGGCATAGTGACTCAATTTCTTTGGCTTGGTCAATACAAATTCGTAACATAATGCACCCAAAGCACTACCAAGAAATGGTGCCTGTTATTCATGTGATTGTATTTTCAAAAGTTTCAGATTTGTGTAAATTATTATTGACAATTGTTGGAACTTACCGTGTAATAAATCCAGGAATGAGTAGGCCATATATTTCCAATCAATTGAGGACCAAAGGCACGTGCTGGATTCATGGAAGCTCCTGTCAATGGACCAGCCATTGCATCTGTTGTATGGACAAGTTCATGTAATGTCATGTTGCAACATCATAAATTATTGGAAATGATTGTGTGGATGTGAACGATTCTTTCACAATTCCATGAAAATATATAGAAAGTAGACATACCTGCTCCTAATGCAAAAGCAATTGGAAAGGCAGCAATTAATCCACCGACAGAACCCATTCCATCATTCTTTCTAAAATGTTGTGGCTTAATAGCTGTACCAAAAATGGTAATCATCAACACAAAGGTTAAAATAATTTCCAAAGCAAATCCTCTCCATGCATCTGCCAATTCACTTGTAGTTTTGAAATGATACATGAACTTCCATAAAAACACATGATAGAATTACCTACGTTGGTGGATTAAACACGGCTGCTTCGACACTCTTTCCAATTCCTAAACATAATGAAGCTCCAACAATACTTCCCAATAGTTGAACAACCATGTAGGCCAGACCACTCACTACTCCAATATTTCTTGTAATTAAGGCTCCAAATGTAACAGCCTTGTCAGTATTCATTATTATGATTCAATGTTGAAATGAAGAACGGAAAAATTGTAAATACATCCCGAGTTGAAGTTCTGTAAAGCACTTACA